CGTAGATATTATATCGGCTTCGAGATAATATCGAAAGGAGGGATATCTATTGAAAATATCTACTGATGGTAAAAAATGCTATTCTCGTGGATTTTCGATATTCCAATGATATTATATCTATCGTAGATATTCTGTCACTGCCGAATGCGTTCCGTTTTTCTCGATTAAGTTAACATCATAGTCTATATAAAATAATAATAAATTAGAGCAGAATTTTACAAGCAACAAAATGATATTTTATGAATTCCATTCATATTAAATATGAGTATACATTTTTTGAGTATAAGAAATCTCAACTTTACCTAAATTGTATGCATGTATAATTTCAACGTTATGTATAATGAAACGTCAATATTATTTAAGATTCTCCCTTTTTAGGGAAGGCAAAGGGAACAATGCCCATACAGCCTAGTCTTTAGTTATATTAATCTTCTTTTTTTACATTAGAATGTCGGTGTGACGCATTCTAATGTTTCTTGGAGTGTTTGGCACGAAATTTATGGAGTTGGCTTTTTCTCTAAGCTTCTGTGAGGTAGTCAACACTACAATAAAATTCTCGCGTCCACTTGACCGGAATAGCGTATATATTAAAGATTCCACTAATTCTTCAGTTGCGCAGACGGTTGTAACACCAAATCACACCAATTTTATTTCACAATAGCCACTATGAACGAATTTTAGAATAATTAAAATAAGACGCCAACCGCACTCGCAGAAATCCCGCCAAAAACTCCGTATCGTCAATAAGAAAATGGTGTCGATTCTGGCATGATTCTCTAAACCTAAACGTAAATTTGACAACAGTGTATCCTTGTCATTCTCCATACAGAATGAAAAGGAGAGACTGATGTTAAATTTAGTTTTAAGTTTAGAGAATCATGTCAGAATCGATACCAATGTCATTCATAACTTTATAGATTTATAACCAAATTTTTGTTTAAACGTAATTTTTTTATGAAGTCGGCGCCCCTCATTTCAAATGGGCCCTCTTGCTCTCACAACGGCGGCGCCTTAGCACAGCAGCAGCAATCACTAAATCATTGATGAAAACATGAATCAACTCATCCATCGTTAATATAAACTGGTGTCGATTCTGGCACGATTCTCTAAATCTAAACTTAAACTTGAAAACAGTGTTTCCTTGTCATTCTCTATACAGAATGAAAAAGAGAGACTGATGTTAAATTTAGGATTAAGTTTAGAGAAGCTGAACGCACAAACTGTGCATGCCATAAAAAAAAGAAAAAGAAGAAGTTTAGAGAATCACGCCAGAATCGACACCATTGTTTACCTACTTCTTTATTTCCTAATTATTTATGAAGGCAGTTAACAACATCTGGAGGTAACAATAATTGGCAATGACACACGACAACACAACAAATAATAGGTAAAAAAAGTGGAAATAACAAGATTGACATGCCAAGATCCATAGATATTTATATATCGAAGGCTCTTTACCAGTCGATGTATGTCTACTGATCATCCGTAGATAAATATCTATTGCGACATGGTGAGAATAGGGCAAAAAAGTTTTCCTTCGATAAAAGCCAGATCATTCGATATATATCGAAGGTGATATAATATCTATGCCGCGAGAATTGGGCCCCTGGATCTTTCCGCCAAAATACTTTTTGTATTAAGATTGCGTAATGGAGCTCCCGGCGTGCTTTCATCTGGTTTTATTTAGATACGGAGTAATGTGAACACGCTTTGGGATTTTAAAACAGAATGGCATACAGGCATTTTGTACTCGTTGTATAGCCCTCTCTGTGTTCACATTCAACCGTGGTCCGTAGACGGTGCTGCAGTAGTTGAAAGGAGACAACACCAACGAATCAACTAATAGAACTCTTAGTTCTTCAGTGATGTACCGTCTGATTCTGTAAAGTGCTTTCAATTTGAAGAAGGCTCCCCTAATTTTGCCATTAACATGTTGTACATATTTTTGTTCCCCGTCCAGTATTATACCCAGATTACGTGCATTTGTAATAAATTCAATAACTGCATTGTTTAATTGAACAACTATAATACAATCCAACACTCGCCTGATCTGATCTTTGGTTCCCAAGACAATTGCTTTAGACTTCTCTGGATTTAGTAACAAGTTGTTCCGTCGTGACCACTCCCAAATGCGTTACAGATCGTTGTTGATTCTTTCGATGGCAACACTCGTATCTCCCCTTTGAAATGAATGGTAAATTTGTGTGTCATCGGCATAAATATGATACTTACAAGTTAATATACAGTTTGTCTATAAAATCGTGACATTAATGTTTGAGGAACTAACATTATTCATGTGTCTGGCAACACCATTAAAAATCATTTAAAATGCTTAGTTATTCAGCAAAACATAATCCTTATGATTAACCCTTTCGATGGGTATCATTAAATACGTCGTGTTTTTTTTTCGAAATTTCACGAGGTTGATTCTCAGTTGTAACAGGCGATTTTAAAAAAATCTGTGATAGCAGTTCTAGTTATTATTAAAAATAAAATGATGTCTTCTTTCAGTAAAATGTCCTATCTTCAATATTTAATATACTTTCCCTCCGTGTGAGGTAGCCGTGGGACGCTCTGTATATAAAACAGAAACAAAATACGACTGTATAGTGTGTCTTATTAATTACCTATTTTACTTGAATGAACTGCTAGTATCAAAATCATTTTGGTCCGACTGTATAGGGTTGCTACATGCATACTAGTGGCGCCATCATTTAATGTCACTACTTTATAGACAAACTTGTATGTGCCGGGAGATCAGCCGTAAATATTGAGAACAATAGCAGGCTTAAAATCGAGCCCTGTGGAACACCACGCAGTACTTTACAAACAGAAGAAATTAGTTTTTACCGTTTGGTGCCTCCACAAGTACCATTTGTTCTCTATCGGTTAAAAAAGACCTGACCAAAAAAAGAAAGCGTCAGCAGAAAAACCACAATATTTCAATTTAACAAAAAAAAAACAAAAATTTCTTTATTCCAAATATTTTTTGTTTGTACAAAATAAGAACTGCTCTCATATAAGGTAGGGTAACCTGTTATGAGAGGCAGGCTCATCCTTATTATCTATACTAATAATATTATAAAGCTGCAGAGTTTGTTTGTTTCTTTGTTTGTTTGAACGCGCTAATCTCTGGAACTACTGGTCCGATTTGAATGATTCTTTCAGTGTTGGGTAGTCCATTTATCGAGGAAGGCTATAGGCTATATATTTTTTTTTCAAAATTAGGGATCCGTAATAAAATTGCTATTTTGTAACACAAGGTGTCAAATCAAAAACCTATTTTTGCGTGCGCTGCAAAAACTATTGACAATAGAACAAAATGATGTACTACGGGTTTGTAGATCCCATTATTTATTTATACTTTATTGCATAAAAGTATGTACAAATGGCGGACTTAATGCCATTAGGCATTCTCTACCAGTCAACCGGAGAATTTTAGCAAAAATCTTAAGGTAGTGCAAAAAGAATTCATCAAATTACTTATTATATTTTTATATCTATGGAAACAAGATAATATATATATACTACATAAAATAAATATCTATTAAAATACATAAATAATATATATATATATTTAGAATATACATACAAATATATATCATATCAGGAGGATGCGGAGGAGGAATCTAATAAATGATGACGTACGGAGCGTTTAAAAGCCAGTTTGTTCGGAGCATCTTGAATATGAGGAGGCAGTGCGTTCCAGAGTCGTATAGCTTGAAGAGAAAATGAGTTGGAAACAAAACCAGTATGGTGAGAGATAAAAGCTAGAGTTTGTTTGCTGCTAGACCGAAGATTCAGATTATGGATACTGCCAAGATACCGAAATTTACATTTCAAATACCCAGGAGCACATGGATCATTAATGATTGAATATAGGGTAGCCATTAAGACCTACAAAAAAGTCCGCAAGAACATCTATCTAGCTATCATGGTTTAATCGCAATAACCGATTTCGTGTTCAAAATAATTATTAAATCGTCTGAAGAAAAAAAAACTAAGTTAAAATGTATCGTAATATTAATTTTTATCGAAATTAAGCATTATGTTATCAAGAGTATTTATGTAGAAGTAAAATACTTTTTGTTTTATCTCAATCGAATATTTCGTTTAAAAGTTATCACGGTGTAAGATGTTAAGATTTGGTACCTATTAATGAGTTATGGGCCATAGAGTTTTTTATCAACAACATAACTCATAATAATCATATAGAAGTAGGTACATGTCACTAAAAATACAACTAATCATTTATTTAATTTAAAATTAATTCAAAACAGTAGTTTTTGCTGAAAATTAACTAACATTTTATTATATACAAATTCCTAAAATAATATATTATTTAAAAGCACAAAATGGATTAAAACTACTAAATAAACTAAATACTTATATCAAACTAAAAATAAAACTATATTATATAAAAAATCGACCCCAAATCGCTGCGCTCGCAGGGTAGGGTACCCAAGAGGCTAGGCAAGTCTTCGCATTAGCGTGCTGGTACTCACGGCACAACACCACAGACAAATATATTTTTGGCCTAGTACAAAAACAAATCAGAAGATATTAAATAAATATGAAATTCATATAGGATGTAATTAATTCATGATTGGACTGTCTAGTAAGAGAAAAAATTAAATGTTTGGTGTTTAAGATGTTCAATGTGCTCGGAAAAAAGCACATAATAATAGAGTAAAACAAAAAACTAGAAAATATACCGGAAATTATCAAACTGAGGAAGTTATATTGAATTTTAATAATAAAAAGAAGAAAAATAACTAATGACGAGGCAGTATGGTCCCAGACCTTAGCCTGTCCGAAAGGACAAACGAAAAAAAAAAAAAAAAAAAAAAAAACAAATCAGCTGTCTTGTCATTTGTTTGTTTGCCAATGAATTGTCAAATTTGTCTGTCAGACAAAAAGTGGTTTTGTTTCGTTTGATGGTCTTTGTTACTGTACTAAAACATTAATATTCTGGTAATTCCATAAAAATATGTTAAATAATGGATGCCATGTTTGATATTTGTTACCTGTCCTCCGAAGGTAACAGCGTAGAACCTGATGATATCCCCAAAACAAAGGAAAATGTTTGGATCCTCGGGAAGAAATACAGCGCTGTTCAAGGTGCGTGAAATTAAACTTAGGTACCACTTAAAATTAAAGTGTTAGAATCTGTCGCATCTCGTCATTTGACTTTAGGAAATGATGCGAAACAATATCACGAAATCAATAAACTTTTAGAAACCAAATAAAGAATCTACTATTTATGAGCAACCGATATAAGCTCAGAGCGTTATTATAAATTTGACTTCATGATTAGAAAGAAATTACTTACCTTTACTACGACAAACTTTTCAGATTTGGATCGTATTAGGCGTGACATTAGTTCTATAATTTGGTGTACATACAGAAAGGGATTTGTACCAATCGGAGATGAAGGCTTAACTTCAGATAAAGGCTGGGGCTGCATGTTGAGGTGTGGTCAGATGGTTCTTGGGGTGGCCCTGGTTAGGATACATTTGAGTGCAGATTGGGTGTGGACACCAGAGACAAGGTATAAGTAAAACATTTCAAAATTTTAGGTAATTAATTTATAACTTACTTTCTCTCAGATAATTTAAGCACTTTTTTCAATATTTGTCCAGGGATCCTACATACTTAAAAATAATACAACGATTTGAGGAAAGAAAACAGGCCCCATATTCAATTCATCAAGTTGCCTTAATGGGAGCATCGGAAGGCAAGGAAGTGGGTCAATGGTTTGGTCCAAATACTATAGCACAAGTGTTAAAGTAAGATATTTTTTTAATTAATATTAGTTTTTCGAATTGTTAAGGAATTAAATATTGCTTTAAAATTCCAGAAAGTTGGTGGTTTTTGACAAGTGGAGTTCTTTGGTAATTCATGTAGCATTAGATAACACAGTTGTAAGGGAAGATATCTGTAAGTATAACACTGACAAAATTAGTATTGGTATGCATAACTTCACAAATTAAATGTTTTGAAAATGTTATAAATAAATTTTTAATATATTTAATTTACAACAATATGGTGCAATATGAATAAATTTGAGAATAATTAAAACAAAAAATATACTATAACAATGAACCTAAAACTAAAAACCTTAAAAAATAAAATATAATAACTAAAATACATTAATATAAGGAGTCCCTTTAGGCAAGGTTCCGAAGATACTGGCAGCGTTCCCCCTTTGGATAGCTAGACTAATTCTTTGTCCGAGGTAGCTGCCAGCTCTTCGGTCTCCTGTGATGTCGACTAATCTTTTCGCTATTTCTTTAAAAAGCCTTATAGCTCTAGGACCCCACGGACCAAGGGTCTCGACACCGAATGGGACAAAATCATATTCGGAGCCTGGACCCCTGTATTTGCCTGCCTTAGCTTTTTCAGCCGCTTCACAAGCCGCACCAGCTCTGTTGTTGGTTCCATGTAGATGGGAAGGGGCCAGCGTGTCTGAACAGGTTGCATCCCATACTAGCACCCGACCCATCTTCCATGGAAAAAATAAAAAAATAAATAAATTGTTTATTAAATTTTAATTTTTATCTGCTAATCTCAAGCAGTAAAAATGATAAAGAACCATCCTTTTCAACTGAATTATCATCACCTGCTCTCAGTTTTATTTTGAGGAGAATAAATTTTATTATAAATATATTATAAATTATACTAACACAAAATATGATTTTTTTACAGTGCAACAATGTGTTGTGAATAATGATAGAGGTGACTCTTCATTGGCACATGATGTTACATTAGTATCAGATTGGATGCCATTACTGTTAATAGTACCCCTAAGATTAGGACTCAGTGAAATAAATCCAGTTTACATAGATGGTCTTAAGGTAAGAATTGATAGAGATTTTTGTAATAGGGTACAATGAAAAAATAATACATCCACCATTTAAATATTCAATGCATTATCTCTTTTTCATATTAAAATATTAATCTACTTGTTTATTTAGAAATAATATGACCTTTCTGTTAACCTTATATTTTAGCAGTCTGCCATAGTAAATTTTATAACTATAGTGTATATAGTGACTATGCTCTTTGTTATATATTTAAATTTGTTTTTTACAATCACTCATATTTGTTGGTGCTGTGTAGTTATTGATTAAATCACTACAGCTACTAGGTACCGCTTAGTGTTTGTATTGATTTGAATATGTAGGTATTCTGTGACTCATAATATTGTTTTTAGGTTAATCACATAAAGACTGTGCCAATGACAAGATTAAGAATCCCAAATACATAAACACATTTATATTAAGTACTTGCTTGTATTTCTTAATTTATGATTAGTTCAAAAGGGAGCCCTTATTACAATTATTCTAACAATTTCTGAATTTACATAATATGATAACAATTATCATAGAAAGCAAAAGATTGTATAAAAACGATTTTCTACTTCTTTATAGATATGCTTTCAATGCCCCCAATCAGTAGGTGTGATAGGAGGTAAACCTAACCAAGCTTTGTATTTGATTGGCTGTGTTGGTGATGAAGTTATTTATTTGGATCCCCATACAACCCAAAAGTCTGGATTAATTGAGGTAAGAATATTATAGCATATTTTGCTGTAAATTATGTTCTTCTTGTATTATCTTATTTTTCATCTATTGATTGCAGAATAAAATGACTGATGAACAGAAAGAAATGGACTATTCCTATCACTGTAAATATGCCTCTCGAATACCGATGCTCGCAATGGACCCTTCTGTAGCTGTGGTTAGTTACATTATCATATTAAAATATGGTTTATAACATATTGAAAATGACGCATTAGTTTTGTAAGGTCATCTGGCTCTGGGTTTAAAATATAGTGAGACTACCGAAACAGAGGCCCATCCCTCTCCCTGTCACTTCAAATAAACAAAACTTATGTTGTTTTTAATATGTTGCAGGTTATTTTATATTCTTCAAACAAGTCAGTCTTTTGCTAGAAATTTTATAACTATCTAAATATATTAGGTTTAGGCAAACTTCTTGAGCGACAAACAAACCAATAAAGTTATGTAGTAGACGTTTTTGTCTATGGTTGTTGCTCAAGAAGTTTGCCGGATGTATGCCAAGTCATCATGACTTTAATTTTGCTACCATCTCTATGTACTATTCATAGTTTGTTACAGGAATTATTTTAATTTCAGTGTTTCCTCTGTCGAACAAAAAATGACTTTGAACAATTATGTAATACTATACAAAATAATCTTATGTCGGAAAGTCAACCTTTGTTCGAATTGTGCGAGAAACGGCCATCTCACTGGGGTCCCAGCCCCACAGACTACGACCTACAGAACACCACCCTATTCAATGGTAATATAATAAACTAAAACTCATTTCACGCCTACCCAAAAAACCATAAGTATGGTATATCTATGTAAAAAATCAAATGCTTTTGCCTACTGCACGCAATTGTATATATTATACAATAATTGCGTGCACTAGGTAAACAGGTACTACTACAGGTAGGGTAATATTTATAAATATTATATTTTATTTGAGTATTATATATATATATATTGCTGCCAATATATATATATATATATATATATATATATATATATATATATATATAGCTGCCAATATATATATATATATATAATCAACCTTTCACGGTAAATGTTGATCCAGTACTGATTTAGAACAAATGTTGATCCACCTATTTCGTGTGTACATTCAGCTCTGGATTCAGATACGGCTGTGTAGATCGAATATATGAATTCAGCGTATGACGTCAGTGGATGTGCTCTTACCCGTTTTTAATTTACTCGTCATAAAATTTTAAGGTTTTTGTTGATCCAATAACGGTCAAAAAAATGATATGCAAGCGCAAAATGTGGCTCCGATTTATATCCGACTTTTAGTGGTAAATGTAGCTCCATAGTTGAATATGAAGAGTACGGCAACGTCGCGCTATTGGGCAAATGAAGGAAGCATACGTTCCATTAAAAGTGAATGTGAGACAACATTCTGTCGAGTATTTCTGCATTTTGAATTGTAGAGATGTGTTTTACACGAGTCCAGCATAAGCACTTCTAATAGATTTCTACTTTTTTAGTAAATTTGAGGCAAAGAGGACGATGTTATGTCATATGGCCTTTTCTTGTGGGGCTCAGCTGCCAATATCGAAAGTATTTTCATACTGCAAAAGAGGGCTAGCTGTTGCGCCATATACAACTTAAAAGCAAGAGAATCTCTTAGGGAAAATTTATATCAAATTAGTATTTGAACACTGGCATCGCAACACATTTATTCAGCTAACTCCATACCAAATTTTATTAAAATCGCTCTAGGCGTTTATACGTGAAGAAGTAACAAACATACACACACACAAACTTTCGCCTTTATAATATTAATGTAGGTAATATAAGAAAAAACTATGACGCATTTGCAAAAAAAGTCAAACCCATAACTTTAACTGGAGATTTAAGAGCAAGCTTGCCGTTCCATGTTTCAGACTCCAAAATCAAGAGGTTTATTTCTGGGTTGTAGTATTGCACTGCTTAAAAAAGTTCCCCAAGATCTAATTGAGCTTCCACTGACCAAATTTAAATCTCAGATCAAGAATAATGTTATAAATAAGGGCTATTATAAAGTTGATGATTATCGAAATGATCGTAATGCATGGACATAGTGTTTCTTGTAATTTGATGGGTATTAGTAATTTTTCATAACAGTAATATGGTGCCTATCTAATGCCGCTTCCTATATATATACTAAATATAAAGTTAACTATAAAATTTATTGTTACTATATCCTAAATGATGTAATGGAAAGGCGACTTCAGAAGTAGCTTTGAAGTAATTTTTCAACTTGACGATTCTGTATATAACAATACAGGGAGAAAAAACAGCCCTTGCTGAGTTTCTTGCCGGTTCTTCTAGGTACAAGGTCTCCCGCCGTAGTTTTGCGAACCGATGGCGTAGCTTCTTGACCTTCACAAGTGCTTCTAACAGCCTAGACTGAATAAATGATTTATGATTTTGATGATTTAGTAGTAATTTCACTAGAAAATCGGTATAGTTTAGTAGATTCGGTAGAAAATCTATTTATTTACGACATTCTGAAAAATGGTCATCCAAAACATTATACCAGAAAATGAAATTCAATAAATGAAACTGGAGCAATGAATTTGAAGCACTGTAACTTGACATATGCAGCGTCGGTCAACCTTAACTGGTTCATTCTTCCCTGTAAGGGGGGTAAGTTCTCGAGGTCTCCTGTTTCCAGCACCGTCGAGCCGCCCGAACCCTTCTCGCTCGGAGAAGAGCGTGAGACACAGGGCGCCGGGGACGCAGGGAAGCACAGAGTCAGGTTGGGTCGTGGAGGGCCGGGCGGAGGCGCCACTCGGGGCAGGCCACGCGCACGACGCACTCAACCTCGATTCGGTCATAAACAGGGATTGAGAGAACTTAGGATGTGCCAACCACCTATGGAGGGTACCGCGCATACAGGCATCTTCTCCTTCTTTCGCTCCGACGGCGCAAGAGGTCAGCTCTAGCGTCCACCTCGTGAGCCCGTTGCCTCCTTTTGCGAGATGACGTCCTCACAAAAGGAGACCACGGCACGCCAAGACCTGTCGCCGCTCAGCATAGCGTTGACTTGGCTAGGCAGAGAGTCGTCGTTAGGGTGTCACACCGCTGACCCACGCGCTTCGCACCTCTAGAGTAAGCTGCGCAGTGTCCTCAGTAGCGCCGCCCTCATGACACGACGGGGTCACCTTCCTTCGCATCATGTGCAGGTAATTTCCAAAGCAGCTATGCCCGGACGCTTCTCTTCCTGTCCTCACCAGAGCCTCAATGGCGGGTCGTTCACCTCGCTCCTTGGGGTCGGCGCGCTCATTGTAAACAACCGTCAAGATCTAAGCTAACCCTGTGTTAAGGGCGTCCACCTAGAACGGCGCACTATACAGGGCCATATTGTGGAGGACACCCACATATAGCCTTTGACAGGTGGCATTAGATCCTCCCAAGTTGGGCACAAGTCTGCCTAGGGCAGCTGCCGCTCCCTCTAGCTTGGGGCCCAGGCGCCGGAAGTGCTCACTACCTTCCAGTAAGAGTCAAGCCAGAGCCCCAAGGTACTTGATTGAGGGTCATAATGGAGCACTAGCTCCATTATGACCATCAAATATGTGGGGAGCCGATGGTGGTAGAGGGACTTCCTAATACAGCTGTAGGGAAGGGTGCTAAATGCGTTTGCTATGTCAAGCGATATCGGTATGACAACCTCCCCTCTGCTAAATGTCTGTTGGGACAGCCGCTTTAGTCTGAGTATCGCGTCTACGGTGGACAGCCTTCTTCGGACGCCGGTTGGGCCGGGAGCCTTTATCTTCCCTCTGAGGCATTCCATGGCGTCCTGTCTCTTCGTCAGTCAAATCCTACTCATGTAATAACTGACCGCATTTAAACTCAATTCAAACGAAAGCGTTCTTATATTAAAACTAGCTGTCCCAGCGAATATCGTACCGCCATAAAAAATAGGGGTTGGTGGTAAAAGGGTGAAAATTTAGGGTTGTATGTATTTTTGTATTATGTATCATAAAAATATAAAAATAAAAAAAATATTTAAGGGTGGACCTTAAAAAACTCTTGACATTTATGGGAATGAAAAAAAGATGTTGTCCGATTTTCAGACCTACTGAATATGCATATAAAATGTCACGAAAATCGGTCGAGCCGTTTCGGAGTAGTTCAATTACGCATACCGTGACACGAGAATTTTATATATTAGATTAAAAGTTAAATTTTCGATTCTCAATGGACCAACTACTGTAGTAAGCGGAACGGCAACGTTGTATTAACCTCCATCGGCCAATCACGGTGGAAGTAATAAAGTGCTTCATCCTGATTGGTCCGTTTGAATCGGATCAACATGTTGACTAAATGTTGATCCGATCGGAGCCACATCAGTATGAGAAATAGCGTAATGGATCAACATAAAGCCTCCGGATCAACATTTGTTTTCGGATCAACAATTAACTGATCGTACGTCTCGAAAGATTAACATTTACCGTGTTGGTATCTCTATATATATATATATATATATATATATAGGTATATGCATATATACAAATTTCACAAAAAAGGTACTATAGGCCACGATGCCTAAGGCTGTAGTGCGTATAGAAAAAAATATTGTCTGTGAAGCCAACTTCGGGAATGCTAATCTTCCAGTTCTTAAATTCTTAAAATACTGATGAGGGCGGCGGGCAATGTTTTTCAACAACACTTCAAAAAAACTTTTATGACACTTAAGTGTCATATGAACTAAACTAAAGGGACCACAATTAGCGATAAGGATGCTTTCTAAAGCGTGCTAATGAACCAAAAACAGGACTGCCCACGAGGATACTCAAGTGTCCTCGGACGTTTGCCTGTAAAAACATTTATGACACTTAAGTGTCATAAGGCGTTTAGGAGGGTACAAAGCTTGAGAAAAGGCAGTACAACCACTGTAGAATTTTGTATACTTGAAGGTATTATACGTTTGCAGAGTTTTATCATCATTTTTATATCTATCGCAAAAGCATGGCAGTGGTGTCGATTCTGGCATGATTGTCTAAACTTAAAACTAAATCTGTCATCAGTCTCTCCTTTTCATTCAGTATAGAGAAAGGCAGATTGTTGTCAAATTTAAGTTTAGGTTTAGAGAATCATGCCAGAATCGACACCAGTGTTTTTGTATTCAATCAACCCCGCAATCTCGCGGGGTATCGGATTGATCCCCGGTCGAGTCAACTTATAAAATTACCTTTTTTTATTTTCTCAGGTCCAGCTGATTATTTTATCGTAGTTTTTTCTGATTCCCTTTATACAAAAGCTTCAATTAACTAATTTTGAATAGTAATATTATGTATATGATGTTGTACAATATTTATTAATTGATATCGTATGATATGTTTATTACAGTTTATTTCTTGCTCTTTCATCGCTACAAAGCTTCTATCTAATGTTTTAGTGCCGCCATATATCGAGAAATTAAACATTTTCTTACGATTACGGCAGTGCTTTTGTAGCAAAACTAGCATTTAAAGCATGCGTGCTTTAAATTATCTAACCTTTAAAATAGTTTGCTTCAAATTCCTTAGATGGAGCGTGCAATCGCAAGTACATGTATGAAACTTGGTGTCTAAGTAATATAGTTTATTTTTGGTTGCGAAAAATATAACTTATGTTAAATAGTATATTAATGTTTCACTTAAAGTGATTTGTTTAATAATGTCGTTAAACATAACGCACATTTCTTTTTTTCCTTTTTAGAGCTATTATTTATTTTTTGGTATAAAATATTTAATTTGACCTAGAGAGTTGAGTTTTAACATAGGTGTTGTCTTTAAGACTTACCTCGTCATGAAAGACTTTTACGTGTGCACATTTTTGTAGGTTTCACTTTTATCGCATGTGAACAGCACATGTCCGTTTTTTTTATTTGTTATTTACCTTAAGACGTTAGTTGTGAATAAATAGATGGTACTAATTTTACAACTTTAATGCTTTTATTATATGCAAGCTAATATAGCTAATATTATCAGCACAATAAGGAATTTTTTGCACGTTGTTCACTGCAGCATATGTCGGAGCGCACTAACGGCACATATTAGAAATCACTAACTATAGTGCAAGGACGATACGCCCACATGGCCCTTTTACCTTGATTTATTTTTGTCGTCGTTCCATAGTATATCATTTCATAAAAGTCGTTTATATTTTAAACAATTTGTTTATAATAATTATTATTTTATCTTTCAGAATTCGAAGAGGTGGACAGACAATTTGATGATTCGGATAATGAATTTGAAATACTTTAAGATGATATTTTGGACAATATAGATGAACATCACAATTCAGTTTTTTAAACAAATAAAACAATGTAATATATAAATATTTTACGTATGATTGTTTAAAACACAATAGCATATTTAAGTATGATAAGAGCATAATAATGCCTACCAATTTACCTACATAACTCGTGGGGAATATGTAATACGCCTTTTGTGCCCAGATACAGCGAACGAAAATCAACTAGACTGGAATAGTATAAGCATTACCTTCATATTTTGCAGTGCCTTTAAAAGTTCATTAATGTATATTTCTTATTAGATAGTCTCTTCACATTCCTACGATATTGGCGCTTAGAATACAAAACTTTATTATCGATTTTCAAGAGATTATGTTAATTACAAAATTTTCTTCTCCATCCTGTTTATGGGGTTATTCTGATGTAGCCTTAGATTAAAACAAAAAGGGAAGATACGGTACGCTCATCAAACAAAATATCACTAGCATCAAATAAAATATGATCCGACTCAACTACGCAACTCTCATACACGCACACGTCTAGGCTTGTTGAAAATATATCGATATATCGATATTTTTTGTACGATATATCGATATTATTAGCCGATATATTTTGATTCGATATATCGATACATCGATACAAAATAACCAATATCGAAATTCGTATCAAAAACGATATTTTTTAATTATTAGCGGCATATCACGATCCAACTAAATTCGTATCTGGAAAAATCGTAACTGGATCTCAGATTGATGATATTCAACATATCTATGATCTGTGCTGTATTTAGTACTGTCTATGATTTGTAAATCTGTTTCGCTGGTGAATTGGCTGTGCTGAATTCCATTATATTCTGTGGAAGTGTGTGACTGTCTAGTCTTGTTTACGAAAGATGGCACCTGAGAGGTTCTGCAATCATTTTCATCATACGAAAATAGGGTCTATTTTAGGTAGATAATTTTCGTTCCATTATTATTCCGCGTGTCATCTTTCGTGAGATACTGTACTGTCATGTAGTGTAGCGGCAATTTGGTACTTTGATAATTCTTTCTTCAATTGTAATTTGTATTGTTATTATTACTGTGCTAGGCTTATCTAAATATATTTTTGGGAAAATTGGTCCGATATATCGATATATCGATGTTATTTTCGCGATATATCGAAGCCGATATTGATATTTTTTTAAATATCGATGTATCGATATATCGATTTTTTTTTCAACATTCGACATCCCTACACACGTCTGTTTAAAATCATTCAATAGAGCGATCGAGACAGAACTGTACGCTTCATCTTCAACGCAGCTTATTGTTTTCCTTTTCTTTATAACAAAATGGTGATTACGTAAATAACATTCACGACAAACCGAGATTTTTGAGAAAAAAATGTTTTTACAGTTTTACGAATAAAGTTTTTCCGAGGCATTTGATTTTTAACTTTTTGTGTTCTTTATAAAAGCATCGAAGGCATTATTTTATCTTTATAACACAGAGTATACGCAATATTGTTATATTGAGTGCACATACAGTGTATTTGAATGTCCAATTGTGACTAAAGCAAATTGTGGTCATGCAGCATAATTTAAGCGGATCACTTTTGAACCGCAAGTGCCGTATCTTCCCTTCTTGTTTTAATCTAAGGATGTAGCTGTTTTTCTAGTCATATACAGTACACTTAGCATTTTGAAGCATTCAGGAATTTCGTGAAAGAAAGATTAAGATAGTTTATATAAGAAAGATTTGTTGCCTAGTAGCTATTACCTACATAATATTGCTATTGCATAATTTTATATACTTACGCTCTAATATTTTTTATTTAAGTATTAGACATTATATCGTAGGTGTGACGTATGATGACTAATAAACCTGTATTTTGTAAAACCCACATCACTGATACCTAGTTTGCAAAAAATGCTTTTTAAAAATATTACACGGATCCGACCGAACTTATATTACTTGTCCTTTTTTTTATTTGTGTCATGTAGTTTCTTGAAAACATAAAATTTTATTTTTATGTCCAATATGTCCAATTAATGTATTTTGAAAGAAGTGGCCAAAGACTCAAATATTTTTTGGTAATAAAATCCCATGAAATTGATATTTGGTATTTAATTTTATGCCTGGTGACCCTTCTTGTGCTTAGGATTTTCATTTGTAGATAATTAGTAGGTAGAAATTTAAAATAATAAATCACTAACTCCAGGCGCGTAATTTATTTGTTTTCTCTAATGTAGGCAGGTAAGTTGCCCAGTATGATTTACCCAAGGACTTACAGTATCAAGCCGAAATGATTGGGTTCAAAGTTCTTTAAAATTATATATATAATGTATACAAACCTTGTCGTGACAATAACGAACAGATAAAATAATTTCCAATTTCGTGAGGTTTTTCGGAAGTTATACATACACTTTGCAGGTCGAATTTGATCTAAGTCGATTGGTCGATTTGATCGTTTCAGCTGTTGTAGCGTGAAGAGGTTACAGTCAGACACTCTTTCGCATTTATAATATTAGTATGGATACAGACATGCAGTAGTAATACAAGTCCGGGGAGATGGCAAGCTGATCCCATTCTACTACGTTTTGTCATAGTTGCCATATATTTGCACATAAAATACTAAAATGCTACTTTATTATTTTAAATGTTTTCATTTCTGTAATTACGACATAATTATGTATTTTCCAGTACCGCAAGCATAAACTTTGTCACATCCATGTTCGTATTGCCAACGTCAAAATTTCTATAGAAACTAAACAGCGCTCCTACCGGACTGGAGAACAAACTAGCTTTTCCAAACTTTGACATGACGATAGGAATACTTTGTTGTTCGTGCTTGGGCTACTACCGCATTCGTTTCTTCAACGTCAAAGTTTCTTTGGAAACTAAACAGCACCCCTACCGGACGTATCACCACGGACCGTACGACCATAGAGGCTACACTACACCCATATTACGATCGTGTTAATTGGGTACCTTAATGAAAGAATGAAATGGTTCATATTTCCATTTATTACGTACACATATTACATTAGGCTTTAGTGGGTGTAAGCATCAAGACTGACGCGATTGTTATATTATCGGGGAAACACTACTATTTATTATAGGTGCGAGTTATATACACTTGCAACGTTTTTTTTACATAAATTATTGACCATAGAATAATAATATTTTTTCTATGATAGGTACTGGATTTTGTGCAGGTATTGAGATCCGCCAAGTCTTAGCCGCTAAGACATTTTAACATTTAATAGAAATAAATACTATAAAACTGTATAAAGCAGCTGAGATGAAACATAAAATTTTGTAGTATGAAGTGAATCTTAAAATAAGTTTAAAAAAGAAAGTCTCGCTGTCTGTAAGCTTAGATCTTTCTAATTTTCAGCAAAAGATAGTGATTCAAGAGAAAGGTCTTCACCGAAGCCAAGCGAGGTTGGTTCACTATTGAATTATATAAAGGTTTATATTATGAGCCACAATTTGGCACCAGTAGCATTCATGTTATAAATGAATAGCAATCACAGTACTTCCTAATACTTCACATGGCTATGCTATGTATTTCCTATTTGTGAATTTAACAGCAGTATATCCTTATCATAAAACTGGCCCAGTATACATTATAACAACAGCCATTAACAAGAGGATGTAGAACTAAAAAGGAGAGACTGCTTTTAGCTTAACAAATATCAATTATCCATGAAAAGTTCTAGCATAAAAGGTAAACAATATTCTAAGGTCAACATTACCACTTCATTTGGCCCCATTACATGTAATAGTTTGCCGTAAAGATGGATTAAACTATTTCAGTACCCATAGGACCAATGTGTTCGTTAAAAAATTACTTTTGTACTTACATTGAATAATTATATGATACATACAAAAATACTTCATGCTAAAAATGATTTTTCGTAATTACACAACAACAAATCAAGTTAAAAAAAGCCAATCTATCCATAAACACTTACTTAATATAATATTTTATGATAATAATGTAACTTTTAAAGTCAACAGGTTTTAGGTGTGGTACCTAATGACTAGCACCAGAGGCAAAACTTAGGTGAATATTGGCATGTATAATCTTAATGCATAAAAAATGGTAACAAACATATTATTTTTATAATTAATATCAAATGCAGGTCCCATTGTTTGACCCTTTAAAACAATGAACACTCCTGGAAATACATATTTCCTTGATATGAGGTTAAAACAATAATGCTAACACAATGCAAATTTTAAGTATAAGCATTACTTAGATACAGTAATCAATCACAGTAATTGATAAATACAAAAGGTATTTAAAAAAAATACTAGTCTTGTTATAAAATTGTTAATTTTGAATGGACTTTACAAACTTTTCCTCATCACAACCATACATAAATTCAAAATGTTCAATTTCAAAAATATTACATTATACATTTTTACATTCAAAAATATATTTTGTCTAAGCAGAGATTTCTACTGGACGTAACTATTTAATTTACATTTTCCAAAAGTCCTTAACCAATTTATGAAATTGATAATTTATAATTATATTCTAGGTTTATGATTGCAAATCTCTTTTCACAATACTAACACCACACCACAACAACAATCGTGTACTTACATTATGCCAAGGCATATACTGATTTTTCAATTTTTGTTCATTCCTATTTTTCCTTCTTTCAATCTGAATCTTTTCATAGTAATAAAAAAACACTGCAGTTCATATGTGATATAAAAATAAATACCAAATTATTACTTAGTTTTAAAATTACAATGTACTTATCGCTGGTGTTTGCCTAGACACAATGCAAGCTTCCATTAGTTACATATTATTGTAATCTAATAATAATCTATTGTAGTACTTAGCCCATTTAAGAAACTGTAATATTTGTATAATGTCAAAGTTCAAAATGTTCAAAACATACTTTTGGATGGTTACACCATTATACTTTGATGACATTATTATAATTTGATTCTTATACATATGTCAATATTAATATGAAGGTTTCATAAAGGTAAAATGTCTTCCCAGTGTGGAAAGTTCACAATTTCAATATTACTCTGTCTTACTTGCTGTAGCAATTCTATCATTTGTGAAATTGATAACTAATACAGTAATGTTGTCCACAGAACCTCGATAGTATGCTTGAAGTGTCAAGCTTTTGGCACCAAAATCAGGTTCATCTAAACGTTCTTTAATGAATTTAATAGCTTCTTCATTTGTAAATGTATCCCATAGGCCATCAGAAGCTAATACTAAAAACATAGGCTTGTGGTCATCTAAATTAAATGTAAGAATATCAGGATCGGCAATGACAAATTTTTTATCTTTTAAAGGATAATCGCCCATAGCTCGTGATGTTGCCAGTATACCTGCTACTCTCCAAACACCATTAAAAGCAATGTATCCTCCTGCAGCTTCAATTCTCTTTTGTTCTCTTACCTGAAAAAAGATCAGTCAGTAATAAACATACTGCAAAATACCATATATACCAGTAACTAATAAAGTAACTGTCAAGTACATACTTGTTGTGGTTTATGGTCAAAAGACACAGGTATTGCATTGCCTCGTGAGTCACACATGACTCCTCTGGAGTCTCCAACATTAGCAACAATCAAATGATTATTTTCCATGATAGCAATTAGGGCTGTGGTGCCAGCAACATTCATAGACCTCTTTGCTGCTTCTACGAGTAATCGATCAGCTGCCAATACCTCATCAGTAAGAAGCTTTCCATAGTTTATCTTTCCTTTGTCTAAGTAGGAGGAAATTGGGATCACAATATTTTTTAGGGGTTTGACTGTTGGTCTCACCTCTCTTGTTATAGGCCTAGCTTTAGAAAGTTGTGCCAATATTTCTGGATCTGTGATTTCCTTACGGGAAGTGTCATCAGCTGCACTGATAGACTTTTTAAAACTAGTCTTCCTTTCTATGTTAATAGTATTTTCTTGTTCCTTTGGTTTTGCGTCATCTGGATTCTCTTTGGGTGGGGTGCTAAGGATCTTGCCATCCTTGAATGCATTTATTTCCACAATTTTATTGTAAAGATTTTGAATAAGGTGATCTTTCGCGTAATTTGCTGCAAATTCTCCACCGTGCCCATCGAATATAGCAAAGAGAGAGATTCCTGTGTTGTTAATGTTTTCGTTGATAATAAACCTGTCTTCCATATGCATTCTCCTCCCTTTAATTGCATAAGCTGCGCTCAAAGTACCTTTCAATTCCCAGCTTTGCTTGTCCGCTTCAGACCCTTCCATGAACTTCATCCTTTGGACCGCTCCCATAGGACTCATGGCTTGAGATAAACGACTTAAAAGGGTGCGACTCCATAGTTCTATCGTTTGCAAATACATTAAAAATAATAATATACCTAAAGTGAACACTACAACTTCAGATCGAAGTAAATAAAGACGGACCATTTTCCATAAATAGCTCACGGGAGCATCAAATGGAACACTGCTTGTGAAACGTGATAAAACTTTCATAAAAGAAAGGTAGGTTTGGTGCACAACTCTATCTTCTAATTCGTCTTCCATGTCCCTTGAAAATTATGCTGCGTGTAGGTTTGAAGGCCTACCGTCTAAAATACGAAGTAAAATGTGTATACGTCTCAGATTTTTTTATAAACATTCGCCCATATTCACAAAATGTCTGCGTGACAGTGACAGTTATTTTGATTTTTTTAAATATTATCCCTTTTCAGGGAAAGCAAAGGGACAATGCCCATACAGCCAAATCTTCTAACTTAATCTATCTTATTTTTTTACATTTCGGTGTGACGCATTCTAATGTTTCTTGGAGTGTTTGGTACGAAACGTAGTGAGTTGGCATTTTTGATAAGCTTCTGTAAGGTAGTCATCACTACGACCGACGTCCATTTCACTGGAATAGCGTATATTTTAAGATTACACTAATTCTTTAGTTGCGCAGACGGTTGTAACAAAACATGGCACCGATTTTATTTCACAATAGCCACTATGAACGAATTTAAGAATAAGTAAAATAAGACGCCAACCGCACCCGCCGAAAGCTCGTTGTTTTTGATAAATCTATCGGAATGGGAGGACAAAGTTTTAAGTGATTTTTGCACATTACGATCAAGATTTATGGCCTAAGAAGTTTCTGTGCGACAGGGATATTTTCTGTGATGATGATGATGTGAGTAACATTTCAGAGATAATGTCCATCTGTCTACGTAAATGGCATACAAAATGTGACGTTTATAAAGACGGCGGTGTTAGTTCCCATTTTCACCACATTCATAAAGATCCCTGTCGCAATGCGATATCTGTTTTTAGTACAATATGCATAAGATCGGCTATGAAGTTACACACTACTGCGATAACAACGAGACGCAAATAGGAGTAGGACGAATTATCGCCCGATAAAAAACAGCCTATGGGGGGAAGGTTTTAAACCGCCTAACTTTAGGGAGGGTTGCCATCTCTAAAATTTGGTAACCAGAACAAGACGCGTGAATATCCCGGATTTTGCAGGCCAGAACCCATACAGGTCAACAGGTTTTTTTTTAACTTATTAATAAACAGTTCAAAATGTCATAATTCAACTTTTTTATATTGATGCCAGTAAAAGAGCTAGCAGTCTACCTGATGGCCACTGCCGTCTATGGACACTTGCAGAACCAAGGTAACAACTCATCTGTTGCCACCACTGAAGGAAAGCTTTTTGAAGACAGAGGAGAAAATGCTGAGGCAAGTTCGTTCTAGATCTTGTCGGCTCGTATAATTAGCCTGTTTAACTGAGTCCTCGCCTGCGGAATAAAAGGTGAGGGGGTAGGACGAGAACGGGGACCGTGAGAGGTGCGCACGCATGCACATTCTTGTCAAAATTACAAGCGCCCGTCGCCCACACCTCACGATCCCTGTTCTCTTCCACTGTTGAGAGAGAGAGAGAACAAAAGAGAAAAAATATAAATAAAATCGTTTTGGAACGCCAAAGTTAATTAATATACAAGAAAGTTAAGAAATTTTATTATGAAATATAGTTATATGTATTAGGTTGCTTCTTAAAATTTTGCAACTTTTCTCTCTTGTCAAATCATGTCTTTTGATAACTTAACCATTCGGAAATGAGGGCTTCCGCACAAGGTTTCTTTTAGTTAGTTATGAATGGTCTCACAGAGAAGCGGCCTGCGGTTTCGGCCAGTGGGCCAATCGCCTAACCAGATTGCTTTGGAAAACGCTATCGCTTACGATTTCATTTTGTTATTTCTAACCGCCGAAATACCTCACGCTCATTTTCTTTAACATTGTTATTACCAATGCAAAAGAAAAAAAAAGAGCGCGAGGCATTTGAAAACCTCAGGGGGCTAGAAATAACAAAATGAAATCGTAAGCGATAGAGTTTTCCAAAGCAATCCAGTTAGGCGATTGGCCTCCTGGCCTTATTGATCACTCGTGTGTGATCACTCGCTTACATTGCAAGCGAATACAACTGGTCGCCACCACGACAGCGGCCTCATGCCGCATCTGTGTGAGATTCATAAGGCTCATTAAATAACTATACTAACATACAAATTACGAGCAACGGTGTTGAAAAATCATCTTTGTATTCATTACTTGTACTGCTACGATTATTTTCTTTTGGGATAGGCGTAAAAATTCCATAAAAATAAAACAACAGGTAGTAAGTATTATAAAAAAAATGTAATAAAACTGTGAAATTCAGATTAAGTCATAAAAGTCGCTTCATATCATAATTCATGTGTGCGTTGATTATGTATTATTATTATAATTTACAACAACAATATGACTACATACAGTTTGGCTAATAAATAGTATAATATTTCAACGGCTTCATGTTCAATTAAATTTTGTACGGGACTGACGCCTACTTTATAAATTTTTCACGTTATTTCTTTATTTAATTTGTACATTGTCGCATAGAAACAAATAGACTCGCAATCGCCTAACAAAATTGAAACAAAAAACGCCGGGCGGCGCTGTATTTTACATAAGCATCAACATAGAGATGACATTTTGTTCAACTGACCACGTTATATCGTGGCAGTAAGGTTCAATGTAAATTGTAAACGAGAGAAAGAGTTTGATTACGGCGCGAGAGACACATACACGATCACGTGACGCACAAGCTGCACACGTGGAGAGATACATTATTGTAACTATTAAAATGTAATTAATTAGCAATACGAAAACGCCAAGATAGTTGCGTTATTTTGGAAGTTTAAAAGGACACTTACCTGAAATACGACGCTCATGTTTTTTAGGTATCAATGCGTGGCGTTGTATTCGATGGGCGGTCGAATCAAGACTGTTTTAAAAATTACGCACATTAGACGAGTGTGCGTAATATTGTTTAAGACACTTTTTAAACGCGATTGTGAGTCTACTTGTTTTAATATATCAATGATATTAAAATATAAAAAAAATAGCTTGAGTGAATTTTGTTCAAAATTCTTATATAAGTACGTAAGTCAATTGGGATTTATTTAAGTACCATAAAATTGTTATTAATAGAACCCATACCTGTTAAATACGAATATTATTTACAAACACTATAATCTGAAAGCCTATTTAGAACGCAGAGCCCTAATACAGTCAATTGATTCTCTAAGCCTAAAATTAAATTAAACAACAGTGTATCCTTATCATTTTCAATATAGAATGAAAGGGGGAGGCTGTTGTTAAATGTTGTTTTAAGTTTACTTTCATGCCAGAATAGACTCCATAATCACCTTTTACTGCCATGTGGGGATTTTGATATATTTTTTTTGTATGGCGAAGGGCAACTGATATATTTTTATAAGGATGGGACTCATAACGAACATTGTGCAAAATTTTATTATTTTCTCATAACCTGGCAAAAATCCAGCAGAAGTTGAAAACCTTTAAATTATTAGAAGGTAATTATTAGAGTCGTTCCAACTGCAGCTTAAGGCAGTCAAAATGCAGGCTGTATGTTTAAAGCTTTAGTATTCTGCAAATAACTTAAATCCGGAAGCAAGTTTAAGTTTGGAAAATGGCACGCACACCACATACCTCACAGCCGACATGACAGATAGATCATCTCGCTGTGAAAACATAATTTGCATATTGAATCCCATGTTACATTCACATAATTTGAATAAATATATAATAATATACAGCCACGAAAGTGATATTTTTTCATTTTTCTACGATCGGAACAGAATAGTACTAAATGTACAGTCAACATCATATTAGGAGGGCTAAAAAGAAGAAGAATCTTTTAGTTGCAATTACTGAAGTGACACTTCTTTTCGGACAGGGTGTAAATGGAAAAGATGAAACGGAAATGTGTCACGAGCGTCACACGCGACAATATATATATATATATGAGTGATGCGTGCGCTGCTCCATTCCCCTAGGCCTTATGCACCGCCTAATATTAGGTTATTTAAGAAGTTTCACTTCAGATGTGTGGTCCGTGGACACGAATTTTTATCAGTTTGCTAGATAACAACTGAGCGCACGCAAATACCAATGAATCCGGATGTCGTTTATTATTTGGAAAAGGAATTGGGTTGCGTTAAAACCTACGCTCTAGGTGCGTCAAAGTTGCCATCAGCTTCATATTTTTTTTGTCAAAATTGAAACGTCAAGTTAAAAATTTGCACTCAGAGCGTAGGTTTAGAACGCAGCCTTGCATTCAGACGTATTGCAATGTCTCCATTTTAGCACTCAAGTTATCTAAAATTATCAAATTTCTTCAACTGAATTATAACCTAAACATGTTTGATACAATGATCTTAAATGACTTGAGAATAATTTTGTTTCACCTGAGTGTTTAAGTGACTGTTCACTTGTATATTAAATAGCTCACCATTAAACCCATTGTGGAAACCATTACTGATAAACTGTATAAACAATAGACTTCCAGAAAGGTATGAAATAGTGGCACCGGTGACCGACAAGAACCAATGATCGACTTTTTCTTCCGTGATCAATGAAAACAAGAGCAGGCAACCGATCACTAAATATGGCAACATCGAGCTATAGACGCTCGGTGTTACCACATTAAGCGATCGGCCATCTACTCTTCCTTTCATTGATCACAGAGGGAAAAGTCGATAATTGGTTCTTGTCGGTCATTGGTGCCACTATCATAGATGAATTGTAAAAGAGGTTACATATTTAAAAAATATGAAAAAAAATGCAACCAACAAAACTTTACCTTATGACTAGAAAGTTTTGTTCATAGATTTTCAATTATAATTTCCATCCGATCACAACTAAGGAAATGAAGTGTTTTCTATTTTTGTCAATTTAGAACAAAATAATGTATTGACAAAAAGAAACATATTAATCAATCAATGCAGCCGTTTCAATATGTTGTTTATTATTAGCGACTTTATTTGCTGTGCAGTACTGTATATTAATTATGATTTAGATTATATGAATAAATAAATAAATTATGGAATGAATTCAGAGCGCTTATTATTAGACACTATCCTTACTACCATGAAAAGAAGTCATGTAATGTAATTTTCAATTCATTATAAGATAATGACACGGTCCTAATTATTACTAATTCAGAAATTAATAACAATGGATACTATATTTTTAATAATGAATACAAATAATGCAATTATCATTTATGCATATTGTGAAGCTACCTACTACAGGCACTTCGTTTTCTTGGTAGGTAAACAAATAAAATTAAACCTATATTTGAACGTGACACTAAACTTTAATTTGTAACACAACAAAATAAATAAACAGTCATAATTATTAAAAAAAAAAACTATTTGAAGGGTCTTGTAGACCCCTGACAAACACCAAACTGAAATCTTTTGTTCTTTGATAAAATACTATAATTGTCCATACGTAGTGAAACAGACCCCTTAATTACTTTACGTATCGTATTTAACTGTAATATCGCTAGTTTATATGAGATTTACGTTTTAGTTACGTCCCTTATCGAGATAGATTACAAAGACGAATCCAAATCATTAGTGTCTGACAAAAAGGATGGATTTGGTAATTGACGGTTGACATGGACTTCGACTCCTAAGCACTAACATTATTCTAGACGAGTTGGTAAAATATCTTAAGTTTTATAGTCCTTTTAATTTGTGATTCGAATTACTTTTATTACGATATTGTGCGACAAATTAATAAAAATACTGTTGAACACCATCTTTTTGAAAGACAGTGATAATAGAACAGTGTAGTTGTTCCAAAATCATAATTATTTTGGCATTGAGTTTTATGGATTTTTCTAATTATGATAATGATAAGCGAGTTAACGCCCTTGGACTGCGATCATGCAAGTTAAGCAACTTCCGCAATTAAAGGTTAAGACAGGTGATCAAAAATTATAATCTTGAGTTCCTCCGTGCTTTGGAAGGCACGCTAGGTTATATATAGCCTGTCCTATTCCGTCAATAGGATAACCGTCCCGTGGCGATATTAATAGGTTGATGATACAATTATTGACATGCCAAATAGAGAGCATTTAAATATTTAAAAACCTAGTTCTTTATAACTTATAACAGTTATCAACATCGATAGGTAATTAATTAAAACTTATATTTTCAACAGATCAAAATTGAGATAAACCGGGTTAAGTACATCATATTCATAGTAAAAATCATCTTAAAGAAGTTGAGCGATTTACAACCATATAATATTCGCGACAACTTGATATTCTGACACAAAGAAAAAGCCTCTTTCAACATTAGCCATAAAGAACAATTTTGCATACACATTCGCATATAAATAAAGGCAGTAAGGCAGTGTTTTTAAACATGAATCAAACATTTGTGATCGAAAATCAAATTAGTGTGACTTCTAATTAGAACTAACTATTTGATATACTACATGTTCGGTGTAATTAATTGAAGTTTGGTTTAAGGCTGCTTTGATTTTTTTTCCTTCTGTTTGTTTAAAGTCAGATAACTCTCATGTTTACAGAATACTATAAACAAGTTTAAGCGTTACTGCTCTCCAGTTCAACTCCGGTGACCGTGGTGCTGAGGTTTCCATTGAGTAAGATGTCTTGTAAAGGCTGGCCTAAGACGGTAGACAGGGAGTCGCTCAGTTTGTAGAAGTTCGCCTCGAGCGCTTCGTGGTATGTCATCTGGTCGGGACCGATCAGTTTGGCGTTGAGTTGTAACGCTGAGTGGCACACAGTGAGGAACTCTCTAAAAACAATTAATAAATATTAAACAATTAATTTACTGATTTCTTTTCCTATTTCTTCTCTGTGCATTCTGTACGTCTATGAAACTCATTGCCAGAAACTATTCGAAAGGCTCGCACTCAGAACTCGTTTAGGGATCAAGTTCGAAGTTATTTCCTATCCCAACAATTATGTTAAATTTCTTACTTCATCCTCTCTCTTTCCTCCCTTAGATTATTTTTTCATTTATTTTGGCAACAAACAGTCATTTACATAATATCGAGGTACAGAGGGGTCACGGGCGCGTGAACACTTCAAAAAATCTTTCCTGTGCAAGCGCTAGACGGGTGATTTTACGGGCCCATCCTGATTGGTCGTGCACTGGGTGCAGTTATGAATGATGCGAGCGAGAGTAAATATTATGCGCGACGTTGCTCTATGCCGCTACACAGCTACAGCCAGCGGTTTGGCAACATCTCGGGATTTCTGTGATGCGCGTGCGATGTCGGGACCAAATAAGAAATAATAAAACAACAACAATAATCATACGCGTAATTTTACATTTGGTTTCGATTTTAATATTGAATTCAAGAATCTGGTATAGTCATATTTTTAAAGTGAACGTATAACCTTTTTACTCTCAAATAGAATGAGCTTAATTATTATTTCTTTGATATTTATTATGCTCTTGTAAAATAGGTACTAGCTTTCCGTCAGCGGCTTCGCATGCGCAGAACAAAACTTTGATCCTACATTGTAACCCCTCAGAGTATAAATTAGAAAATACTACCATTTTCTATTTTTCTAGGTAATTAGAAGCCTAATTAATTACCAACTCCGATATTAACAACTTTAAAAATTTTAACTTTAATTTATACACATTTATCCCCATTTTAAGGAAGTTTCCTAAAATCCTTTTTAGGAAACGACTCCTAATCATTAATTACTTTCGTGTAAAATTTCACCTTCATATTTTAGTAGTTTTCGAGATTTGAATAAATACTCAAGTGGTTTCGGTTCTATATACCTATCTAAAGAATGCGTTAGCATCTAATAGTCAGTGAGATATATTTTGTTATTTATTTTAATATAAGGCGCAGAAAATTTCCCCTCCCCAGCCAGATATTTAAGTTTGAGTGGGGACTAGTGAAGCCCGAAGATAACTGATGTAATAAAAAAGTGTGCCGCTCCAGCCATTCTCAACTTGCTGGCCTGAACCCAATCCCCGTCCCCGTGGAGCCCAAAAACCTTTTTCACCAACAGAAACACAACACTAAAAGGTAGGAAGTATTATTTTACTGTGGTCTTCTGTAAGAAAAAGGTTACTTTTCCAGACGGGCGTTCAAATTCCACTGAGAAATCCGCTATGCCCTATCTCTTTTAAAATAAATATAATATCGTTAGTGATAGTTTTTATATATTAAGTATTTACTTTTACCAGCATCTATTTTACCTTTAAAAGACGTAGGGCATAGCGGATTTCCCTTGAATTGGAGCGCGCGTTATACTTGATTAATCACAAACCCCTTTCTAAGCAATGGGCAAAATTTAATTTGTGAGACCCTTAGGTCGCGCTGAATCGCTGCCGTACTCAGAGACGCCAATTAACTTTTAATTTAAATTAAAGTTGATGCTGTTACTTTCTTTGTAGAAACAAAATTTCTTGCTAAAACAAAATAAGACTACACGCGACTTAATGAAGCATTACCTTTAATTGACGTCTTTGAGTGCGGCCGTTAGTGACATATAAAATATCACTTAAACTATCAGGAGTTATGATTCTTATAAATAAATAAGTTGTTAAATAATCTACAGAAATCTTACTTCGTGAATAGCACGAACGATTACAACTGTTTCCGGATTTAATTATGTAGGTAATTGAAAAGAGGACATTCATTAAATCATTTACGAATTCCAAACAAAATGTAATATCATGAGCATGCATTCATCACAACACAACCGAGCTATTGCTGTTCATTCATAAAAAGTCGACAGCCCGCCCACTAAAGAATCGTACAAAACGAGTGCATGGCAAAATCGCCTTAGAGCTGTTCACGCGCCCGTGACAATGTTTGTACATGCATATATGTAATAAACCAAATTAAATATTAATAGACCAAACAGTGCCCAAAGCTTATTACATTTATAGTAGCAAAGAGAGTCTGAACATAGTCAGATATGCACGTGTATTTATCTAATGCTAAACAATTTCGTTACCTAAAATAAAATAAAATTAAATAAATTACAATTTTCATAAAAACTATTTTTTTGGGTTTTCCATCAATATTCCATTTAGATTTCTTTTTAAACTATTAATAGATAGATTGCAAAGATGCAAATCAGAGAATTCTTTGTTATAAACGTTGGTGGAACGACACGATATATCTGTTTTCCTGTCATTGATATTATTATGTTTTTCTATAACACCCCTCCTTTTCTCCTTCATATTTATTTATCTTTCTATTATGGGTTGCCTGGAAAACATTGCTGCCTAGCAATAAGGGCGCCTATATTGTGTACGTTCTGTCTATTTTGTTATAATTTACTTGTGTGTCTTGTATGGTGTATTACAGTAAAGAATATTATTATTATTAAATATTTCTTACACTCTAGCCCAATTAAATATAGATTATATTTCGAATACTCTCACGAAATGTAAGCACTATAAGGATTATTTTATAGGGTACAAGGGTAACCGATATAAATACGATGATAATGATACAAAGATGGGTTTATTTTGTAGAGATATATACCTTCATGAACAATCATGACTCATGTACAAATATGCGTATTGACCAAACAAACATTTGCTCCTACAGGGATTCGAACCCAGAACCTCCTTGAAACGCGGTGTGCATACCACTTTTCCACGGGCGACAAAAGAAATAACAATAAGTTTTATTTTGAGTTCGAACTTTAAACTCATAACAAGTGTGGATGTTTTTAGTTTCCGTTTTTGAGATCACGAAAAATATGAATTCGAGTAAATATCATTGTTTCGAAATCGAAGAACATATTGGTGACTTTAAATGAACCTGGAGGTCTACTCTCTTTCTCCGAAACGAACTTTCGATAACGAAGTTAAAACAAAATTTAATTTCGTCAATTTAAGTTTATACTTAACTCGAATGAAAAACTGTCAAATTGAAGCTTTCATTGAGTAGGCTTAGAAAATCTACACCTAAATCTATATTCCGACGCCGAATATTATTATAAATAAAAATGAACCAGAAACATAGTAAGAAAAGTGCGTAGTTTCGATCGAAATATCGTTTTTCGTTGAATTAGAGTAGGCCTCCTGTAATGGTTTTCCTATGTCGTTATAGGCTGATAATATGTATCTTTACGCCACATCTATATCACTTAAGGCATGGCATTTCTTTGAATAAATTGAGTTATCTGTTTACTTTCTTCTAGATCGATTTCTAATTATAAGATCACTGGTAGAATGACCTTTGAAGTCACAATTGTTACATTAATTTGGCGTTAGTAGCACAATTTTTGTTCTCATTCTTCTATTCATGCAAACTAATAAATGAATGTCTATTTTATAATAAAAAAATCAAACAAATGCATTAAGACGGCGTCCTAATTGGCCACGATCGTACGATAACACGATGCGATCTCGTCATGCGATAAAAATTATAGGCGTATTTTATTACATGGTCGAACGATTAAACCCATTGTACGACCGTTTATTAAATAATGCCTGCGTGTTCGAGCGACGGCCTACGAGCTGTACCAGCACGAACCAATATCGAATTCGAATAGTATGCGAGTCCGAAATGTCATTGCCAATTTTTGTATGGAAAATTGAACAGCAACGCCATAACGGACATAACAAGAACTTAAAATCAGTACACATTTGACATTGACATTTCGCACTCACGAACTATTCGAATTCATGAATTGGTTCATGCTAAGGATACTGTAATTACAATACTTCTGAAAAAATCTGTAGAATTAAACTCATCGCGCGACGAGAACCTGTTGTGTTATCGTACGGCCTTTAACAATTAGGACGACGCCTAAGGCTTATATCTGTCGCAGGCAATTAGTATGATTCCGCATTTTACAAACGGCGTCGTCCGTTTAAAGACGCTTGCTGTTTTAAAATATAAATGTATATTGTCTTGTCACTTTATAATAAGCCACAACATTTTCAATCGGCGATTACAAAATGCCGTGGCAAATTGAAGTATTTAGTTCATTTTCTTACCATGCGTGGCGCATTAGTGATAACAAGAGAAATGATAACGTCGAGTTGTTTTTGTAATAAAGAAAAATATAAACAGTGCAAATTCTACGTTTACAAAGGACGTTTCACAAAAAATAATGTTTTAAAGAGAAATTTTTCCGATTCACAATAGGACCAGTAAAAAAGCCGTGTGCAAATGACAAAGATTTTGAGGTTATCCGGCACGTAAAAAATGCTATGGTGTTCATGGAATCTGCTGCACGGAGGACTCCTGCGGAATATTATTTATTGGTATGATGATTATTCGCTATGTGGACCATTTTATTCTGAAAAAGGACAGCACTGAAAGTACAACGGCGGTCCATGTAATACCATTACAAGAATATTTTGATATATTATTAGATATTCATAGTGGCTCTGGCCATGGTGTTCGAGACAAAATTCAGTACCTACCAAATTAAAGATCGATAAATTAATGTTTGTTTGTTATTTAATAAATTTAATTACTTTAGTAGTGCCCAACTAAGCATGTCTTTTAAGCTAGTCCTATTTGAATAGATAACTACCTGATTTCTAAAATGAAGTCTGACTTGGCCAACCTGTGTTCCATGATGGTTACAATACCATTACAATTAATGTCGAAATTTTAACAATTAAACGAGTCGCCATTTTGCCTTCGGCATATTTTAAAACAGAGAGCGTTTTTAAACGGAGGACGCCGTTTGTAAAATGCGGAATCATACAAATTGTCTGTGACATATCTAAGAAGTGTAATCAAAGAGTTAATACTAAAGGCATGTCGTTAATAATCATGAAGATACTGACTTGAATGTGTTCTTCAGTTTGTCCACCGATTCGTCTGGATACATGTGCGACAGCGCTGGGTCTAAGAAGGCGTCGGCGTACTCCTGCGGTCCCGCGTTCACTTGCACGCAAATACTTCCTTGCAACCTTTAACAAGCATTGGATATATTCAGCGTTTTTACGAGAATCTTCTCGTATTTATAGTAGATATTGAATTCATTTTTGTATTAAGTTAGAATTGGAAAGAAGAGATTGATATAAGTACATCATATAATAATATCCCCTAGAAATGTAACACCCTTCCATACACACTACATATTTAAGAAGTTTGGCGATTTATGGATTCCAAATTTACATTAAGATCTTATCAATGTGGCTATGTGGTAGGCTAAGTGCCTGATGTTATTGTACGGAAAATGCAGTTCTCTCCATCATAAAAAAAGGAGGGCAGATCAACCAAAGATCTGGTCTGGGTCGCAAGAAGCCGCTGGATTTGTACAGCGAAGGGCAACCCGTTGTTAAGATATTACGCGGAGGCTCATTCTCAGCAGTGGGCGCCGTACAGCTAAGAACATGATTAAGGCCCTATTGCTAGGGCACTGGCTTGCCTTATGCCTTTGCATATGCTGTCCCGTGTTTCTGTTAACACATAGGGGAGACAGGCAATGACATGAACTACCACGTTCCGGCTGCATCTGGAACCCCAATCGATAATAAATTAGATAATTAATTCCCATATTTGGATTATAGTTATTTAATAAACCATGACCATAAGCATACCTAAATATGATTCACTTGTAATAATTCACTCCATAAACAGTACACTTTCGATAAAAAAATATTGCTTTCCTAGCTACATTTCAGACTTCACTGACGCAAAATTTGGCATTGGTTTGTATGTTTGTATTGGTGTGTATGTTTGAATATATGTGTCTTTGTTCTTTTTAATTAAATAATGTATATTAAAAACAAGTTTTAATTTATATGTTAATGAATGACGTCAATTTATAGGTATTTTTCTCTTCAAAATATATTTATTTATTTAGCCACATTTAACAGCATATTCTTGGCTAGACTTTTTATTACGTAGACTTGGTAATTCCATGTTTGCTGTATGTAAAGTCGTAAATCGTTCTCATGTGTAGCGGGCACAAGGCTGCAAGCGCTCTGCCACCGATCTTGTTAAACTGCATCCATATACCAATTCAGGACACTGTTAAAAATATTGGTGTGTTGTTTGATAATAACTTGTCTTGGAGCCACCATGTTGGTGAAGTTAGTAGGAGGGTATTTGGCGCGTCTGGCTCGCTGAAGCGCCTGAAAAACCTTTTGCCGACCAAGACTAAAATTTCTCTTGCACAGTCTCTTCTACTCCCGTTGCTTGACTACGCCGATGCCTGTTACTCTGATCTTAGTTTTGTTCTTCTTAATAAACTAGAGCGTCTGCAGAATTTATGTATCCTATTAATTTTCGGTCTGCGTAAGTACGACTATATCTCTCATTATCGTTCCCAACTTTAATGGCTACCCATTTCTCGTTGAAGAGACTGCCATATCATATCACTCCTTTATTCTATCCTTTTTCATCCACACACTCCTCTCTAGCTTAAGGAGCGTTTCACATTTCATTTTTTTAATCCTGTCCGTGATCTTCCGTCTTCTCATAACCTATCCTTAGTTATCCCACCCCACTCCACTGATTTTGTAGCCAACTCATTCTATGTATGCAGTAGCAGTTAAATTGTGGAACTCTTTACCTCTGGATATTAAACGTACACAGACAAAATATCTAAAATATAACAAGTTACTGAAAAAATGTGTTTATCAATCAAAAAAAATAACCAATAAAACTTATATTACAAATAGCAAAAATATAGGTAAAGCTACATGGACAATTATAAAAAAAGAAACCAACAATATAGAAACAAAAAAATATATTAATAAAATAGTAATCAACGGAAAGGACATAAAATCACCCATAGACATAGCTTCGACATTTAATAAACATTTCATTGACATAAATAAAACAACTATCAATAACACTATAAACACTTGTAAAGTTAATAATTTCTATCATTCAATCTTTTTTACCCCTGTGACTGAAAACGAAATAAATAAGATAATAATGACATTAAATAACACTCCATCAGAAGGATTTGACTCAATAAGTACCAAAATAATAAAATTATGCAAGACCGAAATAATTCCAATACTAACTCATTTAGTAAATTTATCACTGGAAACCGGCACCTTTCCAGAAAGATAAAAAATGTCTGTTGTCAAACCTTTGTACAAAAAAGGTGACACTACTAATGTTGATAATTATAGACCAATTACCTTGATTTCAATTTTTTCGAAAATATTTGAGAGAGTTATGTATAATCAACTTTCGTCATTATTTAATAAATTTAATGTTATAAGTAGAAGTCAGTATGGTTTTCAAAAACTTAAATCTACGACACAAGCGGTGTATAATTTAGTAAATAATATTCTACAAAATGTTAATGAGAATAAATACACCTCAGTCGCATTCATTGACATGTCTAAAGCATTTGATCGGGTGTCACACAAAAAACTACTCGATAAACTACAGTTGATCGGAATAAGAGGTCCTGCCTATGACTGGTTAAAATCGTACTTAGAGAACAGAGTTCAATTTGTTGAAATAGAACAAATAGGTAAAAAACATACGATACAAACCTACAGATCCAGTCTTGAAAAAAATGATACTGGCGTCCCACAGGGGAGTATACTCGGTCCATTGCTATTTCTGATTTATATAAATGACATTACAAATTGTTCAAACAATAAATTTACTTTATTTGCTGATGATATCTCAGTTTTAGTCTCTACTAATAAAGATAGCACAATGGAACAACATCGAAATGACATTATTCATACTTTGACATCCATAATAGATTGGCTAAATGATAATAATCTCCAAATTAATATTAACAAAACCAATTTAATTAATTTTAATAATTTTAGAAACTCTTTGACGAATATTAACTTTAACGGAGAACAAATTAAATGGGCTACAAAAGGTAAGTTTTTGGGTCTATTTATAGATAGCAGGCTTAATTGGAGAGACCAAATAGAAAATGTATTTGGAAAAATAAATAGTTTTGCATATGCTTTATATAATCTAGCAAGAATTACAGACAGAAAAACAGCAGTTTTAGCATATTTAGCTTATGTGGAATCTTGCCTTAGATATGGACTCATAACATATGGGAAATGGTACGGATATAAATAAAGTATTCATTGCCCAAAACAAATGTATTCGAGCCATTTGTAACATTGCACCGGATGTTTCTTGCAGACCGTACTTCAAAGCATTAAACATATTAACACTGCCCTGCTTATACGTATTAGAAATGGGAAAATTTGTTAAACAAAACAGCCACCTATACCAGCAATTAAAAGATAATACAAGCAAAAATTTTAGAAATTTGAACAAACTTGTATTGAGTAACAATCCCAAAACTTCGCGTTTTAATAAAAATGGTTATGCAATGGCTATAAAAATATATAATAAAGTACCTGACAATATTAAGCAACTACCCTACAACAGGTTCAGAATAGTATTAAAAAATTGGCTATTGGATAAAAGCTTTTATTCTGTAGAGGAATTTTTAAAAAATAAGTCCTGAATATTGAAATGAATGTCGATTTTGGATTAATTTTATTTTAAATGCATATAATATATTGACATGAATATTACTTTTTAATTGACATCAGGAATCGAATTAATATTTACATTGAATTGAATAATAATCTTAAATTGTCATACTAAAAAATTTTGTTATTATAGGTATATCACACTAAATTGACATAAAATATTTTTATTTTGAACTGACATTGAGAATTGTGATTAATATTGACATAAATTTGAATTTAAATTATAATGATAAAATACTTGTTATTAAATGAATGATTAGTAAATTTAATATGACTGTTATGTTTTAATATATTAGAATTTTTTGCATGCTATTAATATGGCTAAATAGGTTTAAGATTCTTAGCTTTTAACATATGCTTTATATGCAAACACCTTTTGTCAACCCTATTTAATGCAAATAAAGATTATTCTATTCTATTCTATTCAGACTCCTTTACTATTAAAATTAAGGAATATTTCCTCAAGCAATACTCTGCCTGATCTTTTACTTTTTATCTGTTAATTACTTTGTATTGTATTTCATAGCTTACTTATATACTTACTATTTTATACTCTTATATTTAAATTTATTAATTTATTTTTAAATTGCACTAGCCCGCTGTTTTTTCTATTCTCATGGTATGGTTTTATTTCGCTAAAGGTTACCTGGTAGAGATTGCTACCTTAGCATTAAGGCCGCCTTTTGTGTTTGTGTTCCTGAGTTTTATGTTTTATGTATTTTGTGTAATAGTGCAATAAAGAATATTCATTCATACATTCATTCAACAGCGCGAGCTCAGACGCCGAACGTCTTTTACGTCGTCACGTCTGTTGGCAGCCGACATGCAACTAATTGATTGGTCGAGCGCATCCCCCTCGACTGGAGTGTCAACTTTATAGCGATCAAGCTATAGCTAACCATGCATTGCCATTCAAAATAAACGTGTATGTCCAATTTCATGGTTCACAAATTAGAATAAACTTCAATATCATTCTTTGAATAAATTGAGTTAGCTCTTTATGTCCCAACCCACGAAAAAACCAAAAAGTTAAGTAAAAAGTTTTGCGACACTATTAAATTATATTAATATGTACATTTGAAAGATCGAAGAATAGTGGCTCAAATACAGTCCCATCATCATTACAGTACGGGGAAAAGTCAGCTCCCCATCTACAACCTCTTTTCGTCATACTTTCAAACTACTTTTCTTTCTCGGTCCTCTAGCGACAATTAATTCGACAATCTGTCTTATTCGACTTCAACAGATATTAATAATTCAAATTTTGTTAATAATATTGGTAGCGTCCAGATTGATTCAGAAAACCAAAATTTTCAGTCTTAAAATTACTCAAATCCGTTGATCTACGTAAAGGAGCAGGGCCGGATTGAATAGTGACATTATTTATTGTAAAATGTGCTGATCAATTAACGGAACCACTAGCTGTTCTATTGAAACGTTCAACCTCAGAAGGGATTGTACCCGAAATTTGGAAATCCGCGTTTATAACTCCAATACATACAGTTGGTTCGATCTTTTCCAAAATTTTAGAACGAATAGTTTATGATCACGTATATAATTCTTCATTCGAAAACGAATCTTTTGTACCTATAATTATGTAGTTTGTATTTATCATTATGTGTAAAACAAACTCGACCCCCCGTCGTCGTCGAACGTCGAGAAACGGCTCTATTTCAATTTCTATGACAAGATCACTGGTAGAATGAGCTATAAAGTCACTCATGTTACATTTTGCGCTTGTTGGACCATATTTTTCACATTCCTACAGGTAAAATAATATATATATCTTACGGGTGGAATTTATCAATGGATAGCAGAAAACGGCCATGGGCGAAAAAACTACCATGGGACACTAACGTAAGAAAGTACCATAGTGGGAGAAAAATACCGTTAAAAATTACCATAGGTGGAGGGGAATCTACTATAAAAAAACAAAATGGCGGATTAATACCCCAATCTAGCCATTCCCATCCGCCGTACCGACCGAAAAGGAACTTCGTTCCAATAGCCTTTATTGAGACATTTACAATATTACTTAAAAATTCTCTTTGACGCGACAACTCTGTCTGTATGGCACAAGTTGGCAAAGGTCTCCCACCAATTCTTTCAAATACCTACTAACTTCGCAAGTGAAATAATAGTTTTTAAAAACATTCAGTCGTACTATACACCCCGGCAATCTTCTTGAGCAACGACCATACGCAAGGAAGCCTGCGCAGTAGCAATTTTACATTCAAAAAACGTTTCCTGTGCAAGTTTATTTGTCTGTTGTTTTGCTCAAAAAGTTTGACGCTACCTATAGCAACATTGAAATACATATTTACCTGAGCTGTAGTTTTTTGAGATCGGGCACTTTGGCGTTGACAATATCCGTAAGTTCAACGACCTGACTTTCCATTTCAGCCACGGCCACTTCTATGGGTCGCTTCTCTTCTACTTGAGTGTCTACCACAGGAGCTCGGCGCTTCACGTAGGGAAACCAGTTTTCAGCTGAAAACAATATTTACTATTTTTAAACTGCCTGAGATCGTGGAAGTTAACCTACTTTCGCAATGGTCGGGTATAGCGCTCCTTCGTGCTCCGGAAGGCATGTTAAGCTATTGGTACCGCATGCATCTTCAGTCGTTAGTACCCACCAATCCGCAACGGGTCCGAATAGTGGTTTCAATCTTTTCTTGTATTCCATCTATAGGAAAGGCCTGTGCCCCAGCAGTGGAGACATTATTAGGCTGATGATGATGATTTTTTATACAAAAACCAGCTGAATACATATACCTGAAGTTAAGTACTAAGGGTGAAGTTCAGGAATTAAGATAGTGAGAGAAGACGGAGATACGTACAGGGTCAGCCAATCCTATCTAGCAGGACTGAAACGAATTCCACAACTTCACAACAAAATAACACTACTAATTTGGTGGCGTTGTGTTTCTGTCGGTGAGTAAGGTTCCAGGACTCTATGGATAGGAGATGGGCTGAGGGTAGGAAACGGCACGAATGATATTTTTGGTATCGCAAGCGTCTATAGGCTATGGTGGCCACTTACTATTACGCGGGCCATAAGGATGTTTGCCATCCTTTTAACATAAAAAACCTGCTTGAAGTTTTCTATACGGAAAAAAAAAGATTAATGTTAGTAGCAAAGGTTACCAGTATGTGTGAGTCGCAGTCTCTGCTTGGGCACGGGCGACGTCGGTAATGAAAGTCGTTTCGAAGACGAATCATCACACGTTGTGCACGCGCTTGAAGTAATCTTCACCTGAATCCCGCTAGTAGGCTTCTAGATATACCTATGTTTTGAGTGGTAAAGGTTACCAGTGATATTTGTTAGTCGCATTCTCTGCTTGTGCATGGGCTCCCTAGCGGCGCCATCGGTGGTGATAGGCGTTTTGAAGACGATTCGTTGCACGTTTTACACGCGCTCGAAGCAACCTTTACCGGAACCCCGCTAGTAGGTTTCTAGACATACCTATATTTTGAGTAGTAAAGCTTACCAGTGAGATGGGTTAGTCGAAGCCTTTGCTTGTGCACGGGCCCCCTGGCGGCGCCGTCGGTAGTGAAAGGCGTTTCAAAGACGAATCGTCGCACGTTGTGAACGCGCTCGAAACAACCCTCGCCTGAGCCTGCTACTGCCACGCCCTCTGGCGCGGGCCGCACCCAAGTTACTTGGATGTACGCTAGTTTGCTATCTAGCTCATTGCGATTAACCTGATGGTACAGTAGCATTAGTAAAAGAAATGTGTTGTGCAAATTTAAACAGCTACATATAAAGGCAGAAACTGACTTTACACCCGTACTAAGAAACCTCAAATTAATTTAAGGCAAGTCACGACTCAGGTGCTGTCTCATTAATTCTATTATTATATATAATTATTGGCGCAAAGAAAGTAACAGTATCCACTTAAGTCAAATTTAAAAGTAAATCGACTTCTCTGAGTGCGGCCAATTAGTGTCGTGATTGTGACTCGACAGATGTTTATTGTTTTGATGAATTTTCATACATAGGTATGGTTAGAAACACCAGTATGCTGCAGCGTAGTTTTTAATAATGTATTTCTATTTTTTTTTCTTTTTTTTTATAGTAGGTCCGACAAATGACTCCACCCCACCTGATGTTAAGTGAAGGTGAAGTCCAGACGCGAAGATAGCTGATGCAGCAGTTCTACCTGCCACACCAGCCATCCTCACCCTGCCGGCCTGCATGTTGCTTCTTCACGCCTCTTTTAAAGGATCCCAGGTTGTAAGAGGGAGAGAACACGTGAGCGGGCAGAGCATTCCATTTACGGATAGTGCGACACAGAAATGAGTTACCAAATTTCGGTACGCGTTGGAATTGTGGGGACAGTGAGACGGTAACAACGTAGGCCAGCGCGCGTGGTCCTCTTAAGGAAAGGGGAAGGTGGAATAAGAGAGAATAACTCCTCAGAATACTCGCCGTGGTACATACGATAGAACGCGCTTAGTGATGCCACGTCACGGCGTAATTGAAGAGGCTCGAGGTGTTTAGTCACCTCCTCATCGCCTATGACGGAGATCGCGCGCCGCTGTAACCTATCCAAAGCATCGGGCAAGTACTTGGCGGAGCCATCCAAGAGGTGCGAGCAATATTCCAAGCAAAATCGCACCTGCGTCTTATACAACAAGCACAGTTGCTCGGGCGTGAAAAAACGCCTTGTTCAGGACACCGAGTTTGCGTGAGGCCGTTTTTATCACACTTTCGATGTAATTATTTGGATTTAAGTCACAGCGAATCTCCATACCGAGCATGGTGATACTGCTCTCTAGCTCCATTGTTGTGCCCTGAAGAGAAGGACATGAAAGGAATGGCGATGTTGTTACCGTGAAAGCGCAGACCTGGGTCTTCTTAGCATTGAACTCAACCAAATTCTTGGTACCCCATTCAGAAATGTGGTCCAAAGCCTGATTGAGTTCAATGACAAGATTCTCCCGTTTCTCCTTGGTTACCGCCTGCCCAGCCGCTGCTTGTCCCCCCCGCATGCACTGTACTATCGTCTGCATAGCAATGAATATTCCCAAGAGGAATTAAGTCATAAGAGTGGGGGATAGGACGGAGCCCTGGGGAACGCCGGCATTCACTGACATGAACCGCGAACTGCTACCATCCGTAAGGACACGAATTCTACGCTCATGCAGGAAGTCAGCTACCCAAGAACAGAACTGGGCCGGCACACCGTATACCGGAAGCTTGGAGAGAAGGCTTTTGTGCCAGACCCTGTCAACGCCTTGGCAATGGCAAGGCTGGTAGTCAACGACTCGCCACGCTTGTCGATAGCCTCACCCCAGATATGAGTCAAGTACGCTAGAAGATCACCCGTCGAGCGTTTCGGCCTAAACCATATTGACGATCATTAATCGGTGAGTGATCTATAATCGGTGAAGGACCTTTTCTAGAACTTCTTGTTAAGGACCTTTACATAATACTGAGGTGACTGCTACTGGCCGGTAGTTTGCCGGGTCTGAGCGATCCCCTTTTTTGGGCACCGGTTGCACGTTAGCATCTCTCCAAGTCTTCGGCACACGCCCCAAAGAATACGAGCATTGGTACAAGCGCGTGAGCACGGGAGACAACACCGCTGCACATTTTTTCAGTACTACTGCTGGGATGCCATCAGGTCCACTAGCTTTTGGGACGTCGAGTGATTGCAATTCGGCACGAACCTCACGCTGCCTGATTTTCATATCAGGCATCGTTGTGCCACAATGTCGTAATGATAGTAGTGGCAGTGCATTGCAATCATCGATTTGGGAGTTAGCCGCAAAAAGTTTTGCCCGTAAATCGGCTTTCTGCTGCGGCTTATGAGCTAGTGTTCCGTCTGGGCATCTCAGATGTGGCAGGGCCTTTTGCACGGCCTTGGCCAAATGCCAATAGCTACGGGAGCCCGTAGGATGCGTTTTGAGTTCGTCAACGCGTTGGGCATCCGCTCTGATGTAAGCCTTCTTACAGGCCTTGGAAGCAATATTGTAGGCTGCTTTTAGTGAATCGACCCCGGGATCCTTAAGAGAGCAGCCTCTGATCCACGCACGATATGAAGCAGCTACAGCACAGTCGTGATTGAACCAGAGGTTACGTGTGCCCTTACTGATGAGATTGGAATGAGGAATATAGTACTCCATACCCACTACAATCTCCTCATTACTAGCAACGGCGCTGGCTCATAGGTCCTAGTCACTAAAGCAGCGCTGCTTCCAAGGGACAGACGCAAAGTAGCACGCATACCGTCCATATCTGCCTACCCATAGTGCCAGATCCTGCGTTTGACCACTGTTGGACGCGGAGGCTTGGCCTGTGGCACTTTGGCAGATATCAGGCAGTGATCCGAAGAGCCCAGGGGGGTACCTACCACAACCTGATAACCCTGTGGATGGGTCGTGAGCAGAAGGTCCAGTAATGAAGGCGCTTGACTTGAAATATCTGGAATCTGATCGACCAGTTGCTTCAAGTCATGCGTGAGAGCTAATGAGTAGAGATCCCTGCATGGTCAGTTTTCGAGGCACTTAACTACAAATTGTGGTGAGCATTAAAGTCCCCCAAAAACACCAATTCTGCATTGGGAAATTGCTCCTGCGCGTCATCTGCTGCCCAACTAAGATGTTCGAAAAGTCGAGCTGACCCTTGGTCCCAAACAACTTGAAACCCATTATATTGATTACAGTAACCGCGTATCGACCTTAACTTAGTATTATATTATTATTGATATAAATCTTTATAAAATCTTAAGCTAGTTATTAGGTTCAACTATAATAAAAAAAAAATAGTTACATAGTCCAAAGTTTTTCTTAAATTAATATATTTAATATTAAGACGCAGTTACGCGGGAGGAGGGATTGAAATATTATTATCCATGGGACGTCATTCGCAACTAAAAGGCCTACAATATGTTATTACCGGTTGGGATTGTTTGCTATCGTGGGAAAACGTCACTTTGACGTCACTTTAATTGTGGTCAGGTGTATAAGAAGTTTGCGGGAATTATTATGAGTGATCGTAAGCTTCATGTCAAGCACTGGGTTACATTTGACAAACTCTTCTAAAAAAAAATTACTAAAAAAAAATCCGTTCGGTCCAGGGATCACAATTTTCAGACACGAGTACCGTTTCCTCTTTGATTTAATCTAAGGGGGACACTGATTTTCCGTCCACTGTGTGGCGCCCCTAGTCTTTCGGCCCTGGGTTTTCTCACTTTAATAAGGCAATATTTCCATATTTGCTAAATCGATAAGAGTATTGTGAGAAGTTTAATAGTCTTTAGTTAGTGTAGTCTTACACTTAGTTAAACTTTTATAATAATATATATATATATAATATAATGTTAACAAAATTTTCTTAATAACATTGGTGGGGCCAGGCCCAACAAAGAACTTTGAGGAACATTAGGTTTTCTAAGTAATATTAAAAATCAGTATAAAAATAACAGAAAGTATTAAGAGGGGTAGCCACTAACCGGAACGGAGTCCATAATCATCTTGACGTGGTCAGCACCGAATTTTTGCTCATAGAAGTTCTGCAGCTTCTCCGATATCTCACTGAGAGATGTCAGCTTCGGCTCCTTGTATATAAACTCGACTCCTTCTTCATCTTCTCCGAAGTGCGCTTTGCCGAAGAAGGCGACGCGGTAGAAACGGCCCAGTAGCCTTTTCCCAGAGTTATTGACCTCGATCACTTTGGCGTACGCTTTAGTGAGATGCTGATAGCAAGTGAGTAAGGCTTGATAGTCCTTCCGCCTTTCATAGATCGGTATTATCAGTCTATAGAGCGGCCCCAGTAGCTCATATCTTTCGGCTTTGTCCACATATTCGGTGCAAATCATCAGCTGTTCCAGTAGAGCTTGCTCATTGTACTGAATATCTGTCATTCCTGAAACAAAGAAATTTGCTTTATAAGAAAACTTTTATAAAGCACTAATACATAAAAAAAAAAATTGGACAAGTGCGAGACGGACTCGCCCATCCAGGGTTCCGTACAAAGAAATAAACGTCCGTATCTTTTTTTTACTTCAACTTAAGTTTGTTTTTTTTACACAGTAAGAGACCGTATAGCTGAGTACTAATATGGTTTAAATTTTAATTCGATACCTCCGCGCGGTCCCGAGATAAAGAGTATTGACAAATAGACAAAGTGAAGCTAAGACGGAAGAAGCCTTAAAAATAGTAATTGACAAACCTAACTACGATACATTAATGTATTCGAGCTTGTAGTTATCTCCTTTCCTATTTGACCTCTTCGTACGAATGAGAAAAATTAACAGCCCTGTTATTATCCATCATCTGTAATATCCGTCATGATGATTTTATAAAAAAATATGTATTATAAAGCCATGCCCTCGGACCATCATAAAAGTTAGCGGAATCGTTTATTTTTCTAGAATTGAAACGAAAAGAATAAAATTTATCTACGCTCACGTAATTTTTTTCTGAGGAAAATGCCTTGTTTTCTTGTTAGAGATATCTTTTAATTTCTTTGTTGAATGACGGATGGTATTTATGGAATGGAACAGTTAAAGCCATTAAAATTATTAAGCTAATCTAATATATAAAATTCTCGTGTCACGGTGTCCGTAATTGAGCTACTCCGAAACGGCTCCACCGATTTTCGTGAAATTTTATATTAGGTCTGAGAATCGGACAACATTTATTTTTCATTCCCCTAAATATTAAGCGTGGTCCACCCTTAATTGTTTTTAAGGTAAAATTTTGTATTTTTATTTTTTTATGATACACTAGCGGCCGCTCGCGACTTCGTACGCGTGGAGATAGTTATTTGCACATACTTTTTGACCCCAAAAGGAGGTTTATTTTTTATAGATACATTATTAGTACACCTCTACGCCATCTAAAGAGCATACATGTAAAATTTCAAGTTTCTTACTTCAAAAACATAGGATTTTCATACAAACTTCCAACCCCCGTATTACCCCTTAGATGTGGAGTTTCGTGCTAATATGTAGCCTATATGTTAACCCGACTACTTAATCATATTCGTGCCAAATTAGAAGTAAATCCATGCAGTACTTTTTGCGTTTATCCCGGACATACATACAGACAAACAGACAAATATTCTAAAAACTATCCCCAAGTATTCTTTTGAAAAAATATTCAATAAACAGTTTTGACTTTCCTACCATTTTATTATATGTATATATCATACAAAAATACATACAACCCTAAATTTTCACCCTTCTACCACCAATTCCAATTTTTTATGGCGGTTAGAAGTTCGCTGGGACAGCTACTTTTGACTTTAATATTACTTGCACGTGTACTTACAAATATCAAGATAAAATTATTCCTTCTTTGAAAACGGACTTACGAACGAACGAATGGGACGCGCCCCATAGACTCTACTTTAATTTCCATCTATAAATAAACTACCTATTATGTATATGTAGTAAATAAACAATTACCTATTATTATTATATCAATTTTAGTTTATAATGTGTACTCGGCTTCATAATACCTTAGAGAAAATTGTAATCTTGAAATATATCCAAAGCTGGCATCAATTATTGACATTGTGTAACTTTATTCCCCTTTATAAACGACGAAAAAAACGGAGGAGGTTCTCAAATCGACGCGTAAATTTTATTTATGTATGATCACGCATAACATTTTACAGAGTAGTCCGATTTTAATAATTCGTTTTTTATTGAAAATGAGATACATCAAAGTTGGTCTCACACAAATTATTAAAAAAAACTACCCTAAGGGTGGGAAAAAAGAGGTGATTATTCACTTACAGATTTTGATGCCGAGTTGTATATTACAAAAAATATAGCCACAAAAAATGTAAAATAAATACTTTTTAAAAAAATATAAAACCGCCGAAAAGTAATTAATTCTTTAGTCAAATTAATACTTAGAGTCGGTGCCATAGGTCTGATATACGAGTATCTAAGGTCTCATTTACTACTTGGGTTGACCTGGCTATAATTGACTAGATATAAAAAAGAAAATAATAAGTATTTATTTGTTTTATATAAAATACTTATTACTTTTACTAATCATAGTTAATTTATAAATGTAGTAATTGTTTTTAATACAAAATGACGTTATAAACAGATAACATTCCGCAGCTGTTTTGTACGTTCTTTAATACGCACGTTATTGTCACACAAATTACCCATTCTTATTATAAACAATTAAATAAACCGCCTAAGAAGTGATGCGATTCTGACCCTAGTGCAATTTTCCTACATATCATATTTAAACCCGTATAAACGGAGCAGAGCCTCTCTCGATCGCAGTCGAAATCAGCCGGCGTACGCGCATGGCGTTGTCTTATCGAGCGGCTGCGTAGCGGGAAATTTGAAATCAAATAGTACGAAAATGTTTTTTTCGTGTTTCGTTGCTGTAGCGGTGTTTTGGGGGTGTGGAGTTGAATCTCACGTAGTGGAGCCGGCGAACAGCCTTCCGGATAGGACACTGATTGATACGGACATGGTTCTCGCTTTTGTGGTACGTTGGATATGTCAATTTTCGCTATTCAGCTTGTCACGCCTGGCTTGCGTGTGGTGTACTGTATACTTCCTATACGAATCGCGGATCGTTTATTGAATAAGGATCGCTGGCTAACCATCCGTGTAATGTTAACGTTACCAAAGCGATATAAATATAAGAGCGATTACAAATTAATGTGTTTTTTACCATTAACTCAGAAGATATATTTTTATCGCATCTAATAAAAACAACTAAAGAGAAAGCATTCATTACATATTTTCATAAATATATTCAATGGCTGCTTAATGGAAGACAATATTTTTAAAACATATCCAATATAGTATATTTTTTTGTTCATTTAAAATAGGTGGGAAGCTGTTTAATGTTGTTTTTTCGAAATAAGTATGTGGAAAGTATCGTGTTTTTTTTATATAAGTCTTACCTATAATTATTTTACAACGAGGATGGTTTAACTAAATTATACGTATTGCTTTCATCAGATATTTCGGCACGGAGACCGAACACCAGATCTAGAGGAACTTGCACTGTACTCAACTGACGAGAAGTATAAAGACGTTTTCTTCCCCTACGGAACTAAGGCGTTAACTAATGTAAGTACAATGATCGAACAACGAAATAATGAAATAGTCTTAATCCATTTTGCCATTTAGGTGTTATTACGAGTGAAAATTTTACTAACAATTGTTATAATGAGTTAATAATATTGGAATAAGTCTGCATTTATAACACTAATGGCCACACTTAGTAAAGTGAATAAGGTTTAAAGTGTAATTAAGGTTAGTGCTGTCACTTTCTTTATGATGAAATATCATCAGACAGTAAATAACATTAAATTAATTTGACGTCTCTGAGTATGATCAACGTCGACTGCTGGACTCCTCTAGGGATATCCAAACATAACGCTCCTGCGCTTTCCGCATCCAATAAGTAACAGTAGATAGCTAAGATTAGAGCAATTTAAAGGTCTAAAGCGCATAGTTGCCTAGTTCACAGCCACCATAAAGTTGAAATCGTTCTTTACATTTGTTACTAGGCCATGTAACTTATGTTATTGCATGCATTTCAGTAATTTTTCGTAGTAAAATAAATTGATTAGCCACGTATGTTTTTTTTATTAAGTTGCGTAGATTATGCTGAGTACTTAGCAACCCTAATGTATAACTTCCTTTCGTTCTGTTATTTGGCACAAGCTTAATGTGAGTTTTTTTAATTGTCAGTAAAGCCTAAATTTGTAGCATGTAAAAAAATCTGATAATACTAGTACCAATATTATATCAATTGCCCAAGTTCTGAATCAAAGTTTGAACATTGAGTGGCCTTCTTATATTTTCATAGAAAGGAAAGCAACGGGGGTTCCTTGTAGGGCGATACTTGAGGCGCCGCTACGACGGCTTCATATCCCGGTTGTACCTACCAGATGAGATGACCGCGAGGACCACAAACTACGCGCGCACCAAGATGACAGCGCTGACTGCGTTTGCTGCTCTATACCCTCCACAACCTGCTCAGCAATGGAACCCTAATCTGGACTGGCAGCCAATACCTTATAACACAGAGGACAGCAATTCGGATGACGTGAGTACCCTTTTTTACCTGGAGAAATGCGTTATGCAATACCCCGCAGCTGCTTAAGGCGACGAGGTTATGTGGGACTCTTCCCGCCACCACCCGCCCTACCCAATAAAACTCCGGAATGTGCCCCTCCTGCCAATGTCGACGACGTGGGCTCCCTGAGGTGTTGGACATCAACCACGCCATGGAGTGTGACGGCATGTCGCGTAATGTGACGTCATGTCACGAGTTAGTTCCACGTTCCGCGGTGTAAGTGAAGTGAGGTCGAGGGGTTCCTTCAACCTCCTCCTCCCTCCCCCTCGAAGAGTACCTCGACCCCGCGGAGCGTGTTTGGGCTCAAACGGACCGGACAAAAAGCCTCACAATACTGCCCCGAGGAAAACGAACGACACGTTGTCACGTAAAAAGACTTTACAGGCAACCTTGTTTTTAGTAACTTTCAATTGATGATTTATTTATACTTAACGAGAATTTTCAAAAGCTTTTTGTTTTTTTCAAATTCATCATATAATTGTAACTTTCTCATACAGTACCTATCAATATCAGACAACAGATCACCAATGTTAAGTACATTGGTGATCTGTTGTCTATAAATAGAGTTTTTGCTTTTATTATATATTTATTTGATATAAAATAATAGATTTTTTGCTTGGAAACATTGCAAACATTATTGCGTGATATTTTATTTTCAGCTTCTATACTGGTACAACTGCCCTCGGTACCTTAGCCTGAGAAACGAAGTTTACAAATATCCTGAAATTAAAGCCTTGGTACAGCCATACAAAAGCCTCTTCCCCTATTTATCGGAGAAGACAGGGAACAATATCACGACAACAGAAGACGTTTTCTTTTTAGATAACTTATTCCAAGCCTTGGTAAGTTCAATTGATTCACTCATAAACAGCAGCTTTACTTTTGCATAATCTCATCATGACCTCATTCATCTTCCATAAATTATTATATATCTAATTTAATTTCCTTTAACTTTTAAATTCTTGATTTTATTTATGTTTTAAGCATTTAACTGCTAGATGTTTAAATCTAAAGAAAAGATTACTAGAAAAGAAAAAAAATCCACGCGGACTTTTCTTTAGATTTAAACATCCAGCAGTTAAATGCTTAAAAAATAAATAAAATCATAACTATAATTGCTATTTCTTCTTTCAAATGTTTAATACTTGAAAAAGTATTCATTTGACATTGTGGGTTACCTACAATGCGAAGAGATGGCGCTGCCTTGCAGCTTAAGGCTAGGAAAATTTCAACGCGGCTAATAGGGCCGTGGTAGCATAATGGTCAGTGCATTCGCCCGGATAGCGAAGGATGCGGGTTCGAGTCCCGTCCGCTGCCTGGTCCGCGTGGATTTTTTTCTAGTAAACTTTTAATTTCTTTTCAATTTATCTCCACGTGTGTAGATAGATAACAATCAAAATCATATAATAATAATATATAGCCTAATATGATTTGAATGAATCGTAAATATAAAATTTATGCATTGCAATAAGATTTTCTTTTTGAATCCAATAAAAAACCGCTTGTGTGATTGAGAACTAAACTTTCATATTTATAATGTAAGTTGGATTTGATGATAAAACTTGTTTTTTAGGAAAACGTAGGGATCAAAACACCAAAATGGGCTGAAGATGTGATGCCAAAAATAAAAGAAATGACAAAAATTGAATACTTAACAGAATTCTATACACCCGAATTGATCAAACTGGCTTCAGGTATGTATTCCTCTACTATCATTATCTATCTATACTTCTATACTAATATTATATAGAGAAACGATTTGATTGCTTGTTTGTTTGTATTGAATAGGCTTTGAAACTGCTGGACCGATTTGAAACACATTATCCCTGATGATCAGAGACTATAGAGTATTTAAAAAAAAGTTAGGGTTGCGTATGAAAAAAACGATAATGTAACCGAGGGTGTGAAAAAACTTACTAATGCTTACGCTGCGGAAGTCATTGACAATAGAGCAAAGTGATGTACTAAAGATTTATAGTGGACATAAATATCTACAAAAAAGACCGCGATATCATATGTCCAACTATTATGAATAAATGAATAAAAAAAAAAAAAAAAACTTAAAATATAGGTATATGCTGCCGAGGACTTTTTATAGAACTTTTAAAGGGGAACAATTCAGTCATACATGATTTTTGTGTAATTTTAACCATTTACGCAGCGCACCCCTTAACACAAGCCTTATATTGCTTACTATTAGGCTAGGCTAATTAGTGTGTGTTGGAAATATTTATTTATATAGCCTTAAGACTTCCTCAATAAATGCACTATCTAACACAAAAAGATTTTAGAAAGTGAAACTTCTTTACGCACGCTTGACTTGCGGTGTAAGCTGGCGAATGCGTTAAGCGTTACGAAAAGTGTGTTCGGGCGAGGCGAACGGGAGTTGAGTGGGGGATATAAGCAAGAGAAAGCAGTGCGCGCGCAAATATTTCTTTCTCTCTTTCTCTCATAGCTCGTAAATAAAATATGTATAAGTACATACATGTTTGTATTGTACACATATATATATATATATATACATACAGATGGAGCTAAAGAAGTGTCACTTCAGTCGTGTGGTCATAACCACACTCGTTTTTTTTTCAAATCGGACCATTCACAAATTTTCACTATCGTTATGTAAGAGTATGAAACTGTGTATGTAAAACAGGGGTCTTGATGAGCGACATTTTGAACGCGACGAACGCAGCCGTCGCCGGTGACCGCGACCAGCCCAAGTTGAGGCTGTATTCCGCCCACGAGAACAACGTCGCTGCACTCATGGCCGCGGCGCGGGTCTTCAAAGCCCACCAGCCGAATTACGGCTCCACTTTCTCCTTAGAACTGAGGCGGTTCAAATCTACGGGAAAGTATGGAATTGCGGTACGTACGGAAAAAGTTTACAATAAACTATCAGCAGCTATGCTCTGATAAAAACTCAATCTGAATGAATCATCTTTAGACAATGATTCTTTATTACATTCACTCAGAAATGTCAGTTTACTTAGAAGTTTCATTAAAGTTGACTTTGTTTCTTTATTGCGACAAATACCAATATACGTGATATAATCAAGCTTTACTTTTATTAACGACTGAGTGCCTACCTAATTATCTATACGTTAGAAGAGCAAAATGTAAACAATGCGCTTCAAATTAATAAAAGAACCAAATGATGCTTATAGAGTATTAGAAATATATTAGACAGGTCTTTAACTTCTGACGAAGTAGATTATCTTTGTTCTTTTTAACTCCACCCACACTTTACTCCACCACCACATAACATCACATCTGTAGGGGGATTTTATGTAATTATAAAAAAAAATTTTTTTTTTTACTTTTGCATAGGCCGTATACGCCCGTACCGCTGGTGGTCCAGGCGAGCTGCTGCCAATACGAGGCTGCCATGGCCAACTGGTTTGCGACTACGAGACTTTCGTCGCGCTCATGCAAGACGTCATTTGGCCTTTCCCCGAGTTCAGAAAGCAGTGCCCGAATCTGGCGTGATAAGTGATATGATAGAACTAGTCTGAAGATTTTCTTATAAATAATACTACGTATGTGATAATAGAGTAAGCAAGTTGTGAAATGTTGAATAAAATGCATAATGACCATTTGAAGTTTTTGATTTAGTAAAGATCTTAATTTTTCTTAACTTGGGCGTCTTATCAATAAAATTTGTTCAGATGACCAATGGTACAGTAACAGTGATACCTAACATCAGGAAAACAAGCCTGCAATTTAATGATCTCTAGTTATTATTTGTTCACGCGTACATATAATGAATGGTTATTAAGTTAGCAGTATGTTGCTGTCAGTAGTAGTTTCAATGTTTTGGATTCTTTAAATTATTATAATGATACGATATATTTGTCATTATACTAACTAGTGTACAGCTGTAGTGTAGACTATAGTTTTTGTTCTCAGGCTTGTATTTATGCCCTTTTTTTGGTTGAACGCGCTAATCTCAGGAAATACTATTCAGATTGGAAAAAATTTTTAGTATTGGATAGTGCATTTATCTAGTAAGGCTTTAGGCTATATAAAACCATGCTACGCCCAGTAGGAGCGGAGCATCAATGTAAATGATAGAAAATCAGGTAAAAATATTCCATTTGTGAGCTTCCGTTGCGTGCGCTGGGTAAACGGTTAAAGTAAGACAAAAATCATGTATCACATAATTCTTCCCCTTAAAAAGTTCTATAAAAATGTCCGCGACAGTATATGTCCATCTTTTAAGTTTGGCTCACTATAACCTTTTTCATCAAATTAACGTGGGTGAAACCGTATGTGCCTCTAGTTGTAACATAATTGTAAAAGTTAGACACATGGTATCGCCGACTTTTTTGTAAATATTGATTTCTTTTATAAAACTTCAGTACATCAATTTGCTCTTTGTCAATGAATTTCACAGCGTACGCAATAAAAGATATTTTTTTAGTATTATTTCACACGTTTGGTTACTTTTTATACAGAACCCTAACTTATTTGGAAATGCTTTATAGCCTATGTTCATTAGGGATCATGTAGGATTCTAAATGCGAAAGAAATTTTCATAACGGTCATATATTTTGGAGCTTATTCAATACAAACAATCATATATAGATTACAAAATAATTATGGTAGCTCGATACCGCAGTGGTACTTCTTAGCTTGTAGAATTCGCCGTAGCAGAGGTTAAGCATCTTTCCGTAAAATAAAAACCGATCTTAGAATTAAAGGTAATATACCTGAGACAGTCTATTATTAATATTTCATCGAATTCGAGGTTGAATTGACATTTGCTATCTAGTCATTAATATTGTTAAATAGTCTGGTATTGGGATTAATGCAAGTAAGGTGCTTAATGTATTAAAGTCGTCAACTTACGTATGATAAATCTACGATGCTTCTGAAACATAAATCCAGAAAAATCAACGTTTTACGAAACTCAGCAAAAAATATTTTATTTATCTTTTATTTTACAATTTTTAAGTAAGTACTCATTCTAGAATGGGTATACTGTCTAGACATTTTTATTATGAAGATAGGATTCAATCTCAGTACAACGATTATTTATTCCTGTTTATTTAAGGTATTAAATATAGACACTGACTCTCAGACAATTAATTGCATTAGATTAGATAAATTGTAATAATACGTCAGTTCTAGTATAATTCAAGGAGACGACTGTAACCGTACTCTGTGTGACAAAGATATTTGACGAGAGATAAAGTACCTACACCTACACTACTCAGATTAATAGGGAACATTTGTATAGTAACTAAACCTGAAAAAAAAAACAGTTATAAATCAGAAAAAACGACAGTGTCAAGGTGCTGATTAGCAAGGTTTTATCGAGTGAGTAGAAATTATTATATCAAATGTCGCCTCTATGGGTAAAGTAATAAAAATTCAAATTAAGGCTTGTATAAATTAGAGATTATTTTTACTTGTCAATTGATATTTATTAACAAAGTCCTATAGAGTGGGCATTTCTCAGAACAAAACGTCAAGGAAAACATATATATATATATATATATATATATATATATATATATATAATCAACCTTTCACGGTAAATGTTGATCCAGTACTGATTTAGAACAAATGTTGATCCACCTATTTCGTGTGTACATTCAGCTCTGGAGTCAGATACGGCTGTATAGATCGAATATATGAATTCAGCGTCTGACGTCAGTGGATGTGCTCTTACCCGTTTTCAATTTACTCGTCATAAAATTTTAAGGTTTTTGTTGATCCAATAACGGTCAAAAAAATGATATGCAAGCGCAAAATGTGGCTCCGATTTATATCCGACTTTTAGTGGTAAATGTGGCTCCATAGTTGAATATGAAGAGTACGGCAACGTCGCGCTATTGGGCAAATGAAGCAAGCATACGTTCCATTAAAAGTGAATGTGAGACAACATTCTGTCGAGTATTTCTGCATTTTGAATTGTAGAGATGTGTTTTACACGAGTCCAGCATAAGCACTTCTAATAGATTTCTACTTTTTTAGTAAATTTGAGGCAAAGAGAACGATGTTATGTCATATGGCCTTTTCTTGTGGGGCTCAGCTGCCAATATCGAAAGTATTTTCATACTGCAAAAGAGGGCTAGCTGTTGCGCCATATACAACTTAAAAGCAAGAGAATCTCTTAGGGAAAATTTTAATCAAATTAATATTTTAACACTGGCATCGCAACACATTTATAAAAATATGTATAATATACTAGCTGTGCCCCGCGGTGTTACCCGCGGTTTATTAGGGATTTTATTCCGGAGTGAAACGTAGCCTATGTGGTAATCCAGGGTGTCAGCTAACTCCATACCAAATTTTATTAAAATCGCTCCAGGCGTTTATACGTGAAGAAGTAACAAACATACACACACACAAATTTTCGCCTTTATAATATTAGTGTAGGTAATATAAGAAAAAACTATGACGCATTTGCAAAAAAAGTCAAACCCATAACTTTAACTGGAGATTTAAGAACAAGCTTGCCGTTCTATGTTTCAGACTCCAAAATCAAGAGGTTTATTTCTGGGTTGTAGTATTGCACTGCTTAAAAAAGTTCCCCAAGATCTAATTGAGCTTCCACTGACCAAAAGATCTCAGATCAAGAATAATGTTATAAATGAGGGCTATTATAAAGTTGATGATTATCGAAATGATCTTAATGCATGGACATAGTGTTTCTTGTAATTTGATGGGTATTAGTAATTTTTCATAACAGTAATATGGTGCCTATCTAATGCCGCTTCCTATATACTAAATATAAAGTTAACTATAAAATTTATTGTTACTATATCCTAAATGATGTAATGAAAAGGCGACTTCAGAAGTAGCTTTGAAGTAATTTTTCAACTTGACCATTCTGTATATAACAATACAGGGAGAAAAAAACAGCCCTTGCTGAGTTTCTTGCCGGTTCTTCTAAGTACAAGGTCTCCCGCCGTAGTTTTGCGAACCGATGGCGTAGCTTCTTGACCTTCACAAGTGCTTCTAACAGCCTAGACTGAATGAATGATTAGTAGTAATTTCAGTAGAAAATCGGTATAGTTTAGTAGATTCGGTAGAAAATCGATTTATTTAGGACATTCTGAAAAATGGTCATCCAAAACATTATACCAGAAAATGAAATTCAATAAATGAAACTGGAGCAATGAATTTGAAGCACTGTAACTTGACATATGCAGCGTCGGTCAACATTAACTGGCTCATTCTTCCCTGTAGGGGGGGTAAGTTCTCGAGGTCTCCTGTTCCCAGCACCGTCGAGCCGCCCGAACCCCTCTCGCTCGGAGAGGAGCGTGAGACACAGGGTGCCGGGGACGCAGGGAAGCACAGAGTCAGGTTGGGTCGTGGAGAGCCGGCGGAGGCGCCACTCGCACGGTGCACTCAACCTCGATTCGGTCATACATAGGGATTGAGAGAACTTAGGATGTGCCAACCACCTATGGAGGGTACCGCGCATACAGGCATCTTCTCCTTCTTTCGCTCCGACGGCGCAAGAGGTCAGCTCTAGCGTTCACCTCGTGAGCTCTCTCCGTTGCCTCCTTTTGCGAGATTACGTCCTCACAAAAGGAGACCACGGCACGCCAAGACCTGTCGCCGCTCAGCATAGCGTTGACTTGCTAGGCAGAGAGTCGTCGTTAGGGTGTGACACCGCTGACCCACGCGCTTCGCACCTCTAGAGTAAGCTGCGCAGCGTCCTCAGTAGCGCCGCCCTCATGACACGACGGGGTCGCCTTCCTTCGCATCATGTGCAGGTAATTTCCAAAGCAGCTATGCCCGGACGCATCTCTTCCTGTCCTCACCAGAGCCTCAATGGCGGGTAGTTCACCTCGCTCCTTGGGGTCGGCGCGCTCATTGTAAACAACCGTCAAGATCTAAGCATCAAGCTTCCAAGACGGGTTGGCGGCTAGGATACATGTTACAGCCCAGGCGATCATTCGAGAGCCATCAACTGCGCAATTGGCCACGGTTCTCACGGTTCGCAGCATAGCTCTATTCTCTGTGTTAAGGGCGTCCACCCAGAACGGCGCACCATACAGGGCCATATTGTGGAGGACACCCACATATAGCCTTCGACAGGTGGCATTAGATCCTCCCAAGTTGGGCACAGGTCTGCCTAGGGCAGCTGCCGCTCCCTCTAGCTTGGGGCCCAGGCGCCGGAAGTGCTCACTACCTTCCAGTAAGAATCAAGCCAGAGCCCCAAGGTACTTGATTGAGGGTTTTAATGGAACCGTTACCTCGTCCACTTGAATGTGGATGTTAATCCTGCTCTGGCGAAACTGGTCACCATACGGGGCAATAATTATGCAGACAGCATAATTATTGCCGCGTATGGTGACCAGAGTGTCGTCTGCATAGCAGATAACCCCTTTATGGGGCAGCAAATCTCCGCGAATCGCCCAATCAAAACCCACGTTCCACAGGAGCGGTCCGAGGACCGACCCCTGTGGAACCACGTACGTCGTATTGCGAACAACTGCTCGCCTAATAGAATCTGTATAGAACACTTCTCTGTCTTGGAGATAGTGCTCCATTATGACCATCAAATATGTGGGGAGCCGATGGTGGTAGAGGGACTTCCTAATACAGCTGTAGGGAAGGGTGCTAAATGCGTTTGCTATGTCAAGCGATATCGCTATGACAACCTCCCCTCTGCTAAATGTCTGTTGGGACAGCCGCTTTAGTCTGAGTATCGCGTCTACGGTGGACAGCCTTCTTCGGACGCCGGTTGGGCCGGGAGCCTTTATCTTCCCTCTGAGGCATTCCATGGCGTCCTGTCTCTTCGTCAGTCAAATCCTACTCATGTAATAACTGACCGCATTTAAACTCAATTCAAACGAAAACGTTCTTATGTTAAAACTAGCTGTCCCAGCGAATATCGTACCGCCATAAAAAAAGGGGTTGGTGGTAAAAGGGAGAAAATTTAGGGTTGTATGTATTTTTGTATGATGTATCATAAAAATATAAAAATAAAAAAATAAAAAAAATGTCCAAAAACAAAAAATATATTTAAGAGTGGACCACCCTTAACATTTAGAGGGTTGAAAAATAGATTTTGACCGATTCTCAGACCTACTGAATATGCATATAAAATTTCACGAAAATCCACATATTTTTTGTTGTATGTGTTTTTGTATGCAGTATCATAAAAAAATAAAAACAATAAAAATATTTAAGGATGGACCTTAAAAAACTCTTGACATTTATGGGAATGAAAAAAAGATGTTGTCCGATTTTCAGACCTACTGAATATGCATATAAAATGTCACGAAAATCGGTGGAGCGGTTTCGGAGTAGTTCAATTACGCACACCGTGACACGAGAATTTTATATATTAGATTAAAAGTTAAATTTTCGATTCTCAATGGACCAACTACTGTAGTAAGCGGAACGGCAACGTTGTATTGACCTCCATCGGCCAATCACGGTGGAAGTAATAAAGTGCTTTATCCTGATTGGTCCGTTTGAATCGGATCAACATTTATCGGAGCGGATTTGTATATTGGAGCCACATTTGACAAGAGTAATTTGCAGCCAAGTCACGTGACAAAAATACCAAATGTTGATCCGATCAGAGCCACATCAGTATGAGAAATAGCGTAATGGATCAACATAAAGCCTCCGGATCAACATTTGTTTTCGGATCAACAATTAACTGATCGTACGTCTCGAAAGATCAACATTTACCGTGTTGGTATCTCTATATATATATATATATATATATATATATACATATATAATATAGCTAGTTAGGCAAATGACTCTACTCCACCTGATGTTAAGTGGTGATAAAGTCCAAACGCGAAGATAGCTGGTACAGCAGCAGTTATAAACTGCTACACCAACCATCCTCACCTTGCCGGCCTGCAAAAATATTATATAATAAATAATTAAAATATTATTATTATTTATAAATACCAATTCCACATAGGCTCCAGCGCTGCAGATAGAGCTCGAACTATTCATAATGTTTAAATCTAAAGAAAATATAACTAGAAAAAATTCCACGCGGACCAGGCAGCAGACGGGACTCGAACCCGCACCCTTCGCAATCCGGGCGAATGCACTGACCAATTATGCTACCGCGGCCCTCACGGACCGCGTCGAAATTCTTTCTAGCTATTCTTAAGCTGCAAGGCAGCGCCATCTCTTCGCATTATAGGTAAACCCACAATGTCAAATGAATACTTTTACAAGTATTAAACATTTGAAAGAAGAAATAGCAATTATAGTTATAATTTTTATTATTTTTAAAGCATGTAACTGCTTGATGTTTAAATCTAAAGAAAATATAACTAGAAAAAATTCCACGCGGACCAGGCAGCAGACGGGACTCGAACCCGCACCCTTCGCAATCCGGGCGAATGCACTGACCAATTATGCTACCGCGGCCCTCACGGACCGCGTCGAAATTCTTTCTAGCTATTCTTAAGCTGCAAGGCAGCGCCATCTCTTCGCATTATAGGTAAACCCACAATGTCAAACTTTAGATTTAAACATCAAGCAGTTACATGCTTTAAAAATAATAAAAATTATAACTATAATTGCTATTTCTTCTTTCAAATGTTTAATACTTGTAAAAGTATTCATTTGACATTGTGGGTTTACCTATAATGCGAAGAGATGGCGCTGCCTTGCAGCTTAAGAATAGCTAGAAAGAATTTCGACGCGGTCCGTGAGGGCCGCGGTAGCATAATTGGTCAGTGCATTCGCCCGGATTGCGAAGGGTGCGGGTTCGAGTCCCGTCTGCTGCCTGGTCCGCGTGGAATTTTTTCTAGTTATATTTTCTTTAGATTTAAACATCAAGCAGTTACATGCTTTAAAAATAATAAAAATTATAACTATAATTGCTATTTCTTCTTTCAAATGTTTAATACTTGTAAAAGTATTCATTTGACATTGTGGGTTTACCTATAATGCGAAGAGATGGCGCTGCCTTGCAGCTTAAGAATAGCTAGAAAGAATTTCGACGCGGTCCGTGAGGGCCGCGGTAGCATAATTGGTCAGTGCATTCGCCCGGATTGCGAAGGGTGCGGGTTCGAGTCCCGTCTGCTGCCTGGTCCGCGTGGAATTTTTTCTAGTTATATTTTCTTTAGATTTAAACATCAAGCAGTTACATGCTTTAAAAATAATAAAAATTATAACTATTCATAATGTGTTCATAATAATATGGGGAAGCTACTTATTGTAGAAAAACGTTACGGTACGTTTTTGGTTCCAATCCAACATCTTTATATTGGAAATTTCAACCCTCTGAACATACCCTGTGGACGGGCAGAGAGTCGTTGACGATGAAGAATTACAATTGATAGTGGAAGCGGATCCGAAGGTTCGTGTGAGTAATTATTCAACACATTTTATTCTCTTGAAACAACATGGAAAAGTGAAAAGCTTTAAAAATTGGTGAATTTAAGAACAATTACGCGTCTAATGCTGCTGCGGAATAACAGAGGAATCATTTTTTTTACTTATGATGAAAATTTAACAAAGGTAGAAACCAAGGGAACCGGCCTTATCTGAGTCAACTGTAAGTTGTCATTTATTACATCATAAGGTCTGGCCAGAAGATTACGGTAGATCAGTATTACTAAAATTGCCAACTATATGGCAAAGCTAGTTGTTAAACAAACGAGACTAGTCCATTTTTCTAGAACACTGATGCTTCAAGACAACGCTGTATAGACCGCACTCCACAACAGACATTTGTTTAATTTATAGGACAATATTATAGTTTTCGGTCATTACCACTGATTGTCGTATTTTTGATACATTTTTCAAGATCAATGCCAAAAGAGCAGAGATTACATTTAAATGATAGAAAATATATTTTACATTTAAAAAATCATTTACGATATGATTAAACAACAACTTTAAATTATAAATGCAAACAAAATACATTAATCAATGGTACCTGGCATATCACATAGCAAAATTTAATGATAATAAAAGTTTTGTTAGACTTGTATGTACAGTACAGGGTCAGCCAAAAGAGACGAGGATTGCATTTTATACTTGCATGCACTTCCTTGTTGATGGGCGGAAGGCATTTGTACCGCAGCAGGGCGCACGCTGGGGCAATCTTTTAATTTACACTAAAGCATCAAGCGTTTATGAAGTGAGGGGTCTGAGATTACTTAGGCCTATTATATTTCCAAACAAAGAAAATATTAATATAGAATTAAGTAAATGTAATGCAAAGAATTGTGTTTGAGAGTGTTTTTCAATTAAAATTATATATGCGAAGTAAAAGTATTTTTATATAAGCTTTTTTTTTCGAAAAGTGCAAAGACGTAACAGACGTGACCACGCAAGTTTAGAGGTTCAGGAATTTTTTTTTCAGTTAATACCTAAGTACTTAATTTTCGACTATGCCCACAAAAGTTGAGAACTAAACATAGCAGCTTCATATCCCTGAGGAGATCTACAGTCACACAAGGAGAAATCAATTATCTTTTAAATTAAATTATAATTGATGATGTTCCTTTCTTTGCTATTATAACAGACTGCAAAAACACATAGTAATCAGTAATTTAATTTTATTTACGTTTAGAGTGCTGACGTAAGGCACTGCCTAAAAAATACCATGACATTGATTTATTTAAATCACAATCGTCACACATAACAATTAACTTGTGCGCATCGTCATTATCCGTGAGTTGCACTAACTTACTTTTACTGTTTATTGCAAGTACCGGTTAGGTAAAAATTGGGATGCACTATTTGACTATAGTCAAAATGAGGTCATAATTCGACAGTGAAAATCAACTGTTTAAGCAAGGCTAGTTAAAGTTACAGTAAAATTTAACTTTAACCAGCTCTGTTGCTATTTGACTGACTCTGACTCACACTAAGTAAAGCGTCAGCAGTATAAATGATGGCATCATGGATCGTGTCAGCGGCGAGTTTCATTCATTCGTAGTCCACAAGGGCGTTTCACGGGAGACTTGCCGTTCAAATAGCGTCGGTAGATGCGTCCGCGCATGTGCGAATAGGTACCACGACACAATCGATTGGACAAAGTCAATCATCTGCTCGGGCAGGTCGCGGCGACCGTGAATCTGCCAGCATCCCGTGCCTGCCTCAGTGGGATCCCGCCTCGCGCGCCGTGCACTTCCCGTCTCCAACCTGTTCCATTATACGTGTGCTCGTGATTAAATGACACCATTGTAGGGTACCTACTCGTGAATATGCAACTCGGTAATTGACTGGAAACCAATTTAGGAGCAGACCACAATGTAGAGGTGCCGTCTCGTCGAAGGAAAATGTGAGTTATGCATATTAAAGCTCATCAAAACCCTGCAGCACGTGTAATTATAATGACTTTGGAGATTATTACCAAAACTATTATTATGTTCATTATATACCAACAAAAATATTAATTAACAATCAAGTTTGTAGTTATAGTTAATGCAGTTATTCAAACAAATGATAACTAACATTTTAGATAAAACACGTGACATTCCGATGGTGCGACAGTCCGTTTACTAAAGTAAATTGTTAATTAGCCGCGTATTTCTTGTGCATCTTCATCATTAAAAAAAAATCAGTTACCTTCGGAGATGGTATTTTAACTGACTTTAAAACTCATTACAATCAAATGGAGAAAGAAAACAGACAATAAAAAAATGTGTAGATAGGTAGGCTTATTCAGGTACTTTTATCTACTGTTTGAATAAACTAATCCATTGAATGCTAATTCGTTTTTATCACTTTATGTAAATGCTGTTAAGGTTGTGTTAAATAATATACATCACATGGCAATTATGACACACTTAAGTATTTGCTATCTGAAATATATACAGCCTGTTTTCTATTTCAGTAATAAACAAGTTGATTTCTATCAGCAGTTATTTATTAGTTATGTATTAGCTTAAGCTTTCTTCATAAATCTTTTATTTGAGGGCTTATACTGCTAAAACTAGTCCGCTTACTCTACGAATGGAAATTATACGAAGGATGTAAAAGAAATGGATTTTTTAGTTCATTGTAATTTAAGACATAAATTTTCAAATAATATAATAAAATAATTTTAAAATATCACTTACGATGTCAGTTACCTTAGTTACACCAGGGTTTACTTGGGTTTTGTATATAAATAAGAAAATTAACTAATGTCACAAAAAACCTACCCAAGGTTTTACAAATTCTATTAAAATACAAGTAGAAGTTAAAAACGTCTCAGATAACATAATAAACAAAAACAAAATAACAAAAAGAAATAACAACAATAATAATACAAATAATTAAATAATTTTATTTTTTATTTTTGTTAAGCATGTAACTGAATAGATGTTTAAATCTAAAGAAAATTTTACTAGGAAAAATTCCACGCGGACATCAATTATTATTTTTTATAATTTTGATAACATTTAAACAAATTATCGCCAAATTTTCAGATGTAATAGAAGGTTCCACAATAATATTGCAAAACAAATAAGGTCATGTCTGTTTGCTATATGGGTAGACGAATTGCATAATGTCTGAAAACTATTCTTGATAATTATATATTTCATTTTCTATAACTTTGCAACACACATGCAAACGACCAACTATAATCGATGATGCTCAATACTTATTATAAATAATAATATTAATATTAATGTGATGGAAGTTGACATCAACACATGTTTTCAATTTTTGATGTCATCTTTCAATTGACGACACTGTTTGAAACAAAACAGGGAGAAAAAAATAGCCCTTGCCGAGTTTCTTGCCGGTTCTTCTCAGTACAAGGTCTCCCGCCGTAGATTTACGAACCGATGGCGTAGCGTTTGACTTTCACAAGAGCTTGAAACAGTCTAGACTGAATAAATGAGTTTGAGTTTGTAATAGTAAATACGACAGAAATACGGAAGCTTCAAATATTAGGATAAATAAATTTAAGCAAAAACTGCTTTTGGACGGTGAAATGGTATATTATTTGACGACCTCCGTTGTCAAGTGGCTTGCATACCAGTTTTCTTGACTTCACAATCTCTAGATGACTTGAATTCGATCTTCGACAAACAAACTTATCGATATTGTCAGGGGTCTTTTGTTATTTTTTGTGACACTTTTGTTGTTTCTAATTTCTATAAACTGTTTCGTTTGTATAATCATTATTATCAGCTTATTAATGTCCCTCCTGCTGAGGCACAGGTCTTCCCTTCGGAAGGGATATGGGCACTAATGACTGATATCTATGGAGGCGCTCGAGATTGAAAGATTTTGGTCACCTATCCTATGTAAGGGCATTGTGAAAGTTCTTTAATATTCACGATCGCAGACCGAACACGCTAGCGCACTGAACTCTCGAGCTTCTCGTGTGTTCATTTGTTTTGAAACAAAATACTGTATGCGTCTACGCAGGAAAGAGGGCGGTCGCGAGGAGCCACCGGACGCGGCGATAGCGGCGCCTAGTGCGGGCATGCGCACGGAACACACCTGCTGCTGCCTCGGCGTCTTGGTGGGACTATCTCTCCTAGCCGGTTAGTATAACAAAATACTGGGCCCGATAATAACATGACTCTCTGAATCTATAATTAATTTAAACTATAATGTACCTTCCTTCAAACGCTCTTCACATCAAAATAGAATGAAAAGGAGACTGTCATCAAATTTTCAAATAACAAATATAAATAGCCATGTGAAGTGCAGGCATTAAGTTAACGCCGGATGTGACATGAAATGAATACAAAAAACAATCTAAAGAAAAGTTTACTAGAAAAAAATCCACGCGGACCAGGCAGCGGACGGGACGGGAATCTTTAGATTTAAACATCTAGCAGTTAAATGCTTAAAAAATAAATAAAATCATAACAAAAAACAATGTTATGTTAATATGTTGACCAATAACTGAGAACGTTTGTTTTTATTTCACCAGCCCTCGTAGCAGTAATTCTTATGAAAGACACAACTGTAGAGATGACGGCACTACGGCAAGTTCATGTAGTAAGTAATTACATAATAATAAATAAAATATTTCACTAAAGAAAACATAATCTCGAATACCATAGATATTAGATTGGCCGTTGAGAATCATTTTCATGTTAATACCATCTATATATGCATAGCATGTCCATTTAAGCATTAAGGTAAAAACTTACTGTTGATTGGTGGAAAATGTTCGTCTATAATAACAAACTCTATAATTAGCAGCTACTCCTTTTTCACTTTTAAGTTCTATTGCATAAGAGCAACATATAGTAATAGGTAAAAACAAGTTTTTAAAATTTTATTTACAGAGTATATTTAATTGTACGTGTTACAGCTAATGTCACACGGGGAGCGGACGCCCAGTGAGCACGAGCTGGCTATGCTGGGCGCGCCTCCGCCAGACCACGTGTTCGTGCCATATGGCGCAGGCGGCATGACTAATGTCAGTGAGTCCATCATTCTCATAACTAATTTGTACATATACCAGATGAAGTCACATGGGGACGTAGGACACACAGGCAGTGCAAGCTGGATTGCTGGACCCGCCTCCACCGGACCATGTGTTCGTTTCCTATGGTACCGGCGCCGTAACTAATGTCAGTGAGTATATCATTATCCTAACTAAATGTACAAGTACCGACTGTAGTAAGGCGGGGAGCGGACAAAATACCGCTTGATCACGCGTTAGTAATATATAGAGCCAGCGCCGTGACTAAATGTCAGTGTGTGGATCAGTATCTTTACGAGTTCATTTTATCAAAATATATACAAGTCTTGTCTCTTGCTTACTAGCTATTCTTCGATATAATTAAGTCCTTTGCACGGAAAAACAAACAAAAATAAAAAAAAAATGGTAGCACTTCTCAAAATTAAGCAACTTTCTCAAAGGCGGCAAGGGATGGGTGACTCAAAACATATGTTATATCAAAATGTTTTGAATTTAATATTAAAATCATAATGAATAAATATCAGTTGGAAAACATCACTGTTTTGGTGCAGTCTTGCCTTATGGCGCCGGCGCCATGAATAATGTCAGTCTATTAGTCTCGTAACTAAATGTAAAAATGATGCTAAGAGATCATCTTAACAAAATATGTTGAAGTTTTGTGAAACTATTTAAAATTATAGGTCAAAACATTATGGCTAACTAAGGAAGAGGAAAACATTTAAGTTTGATGTTTTTGACTGTGATTTGGTTGATCTGATACTGAATGCGCATTCTATCAAAATGACAAATAAAATTTGTGTGGTACTGGGAATCAAAAACTTGTATTATTCGTAGAAACATTTAAGATGAAACATTTGTTTTCTAAATTATTCAAATGTTTCAACAAGCATTAGCAACTTGATTACCAGCGCCACTTGTGATAACAACGTTTCACACGAGCGTTACCTACCCCGTGGCGTCCTGAAACCTTCTCACCGCCAGATACAAAACATCACCAAAAGGTACGTTACAAACGTAGTTGTCAGTTAGTACGTTGTACAAACGAAAACCGAAGCAGAAAATCCACAACGCCCTACTTACTACCTACTCTTCTATGTACTTATATCTGAAATAATCAAATTTTCTGTAATAATACAAATATATCTAGCACAATGCAATGACGCCAAACGTAGGTATTATTATGTTTTTTGAGAACGCTATAGAATTGACAGAATTCAATAACGAGTAATGCAATTTGAATGTAGGTAGGTATTTTGTGTTTTTTTTATTAAAACACTGTTCATGGGAATTGCGGAGCATCCGATTTCCAACAATGGCCATTTTAAGCGTAGTTCCCGATTCATTACATTAGATGGCCGTAACGAATGGCTTGCGCGGCTACAATCAAGCGAGTGTCGTATCCTTTCGACTGATGCAGTCATTTCTTTGATATGCGTATGCGTCGGCCGCGCCTCCATCCTGCTTATTGATTACTTAACAAAAGACTGTGAATTGTAACGCAACTGCATTAAATCTTGAACCATAAACAACGCCCTCACAGTACACGGCGATGCTGTTAATGCTGGTATATATAATAGAGAAACATGATAAATGCGTTTATAACGAAGCGCTTACTTCCCGATACGTAGCGGGTCCCTCCCATTGACTCGATTCCTGAAGGTCACGAGATGTAAGCGGGAACGAGGTGTCAGTGAGACGCAGATTGCTGTCAGACACTAATAATGATTTATTGCCTTTCGTACGTCACAGCGCGTGTCTGAAAACCAGAGACGCGCGCGGAAACTAAGGAAACGTCGTAAGAACCAGATATCAATCAGATTTTCTTTTGTTACAGGAAGGGAAAATGTTGACTTTTGAAATGGGCGCATTACTTAGGAACCGATACGATGCATTTCTTGGACCATACTACGAACCAGGTATATTTGCCTGATGAAATAGCACCACAGGACTTAAAATTGCTAATCGTTGATATCTTATTACAAACAAAAAACTTTTGCATTAGTAAAACAGAGCCGGTGAAAAATACCTAGTCCAGCCATAAATTCTGTTACAAATGAAAATGTATTTTTTTTAAAGAAGTAATGTAATATTATTATAATTTATACCTACATATTTATTAGACTCGGCAAAAAATAAAAAAAATATTCTATTCGAAATGACCACCTTTGGCTTTTATACAAGCCTTTTTGAAATTACGCTACTGCTTGCTCCAAAGATTTTTTAAGAGACTCAATGTCGCCGTGTCTTTTAGAGCAGCCCATGTCCTCTAAAACTGATCATAATTTTAAGTCTAAAGGGTTAAGGTCTGACTAGATGAGGACCAGTCTTCAGCTCTTATAAAGCCCGGAACGTTGGTTTCAAGCCAGGCTTGGGTAGTTCGTACCTTGTGACCAGATGCAGAATCCTGCTAGAAAGTCCACGGTATATTTTTAAAAGTGTATTACTGAGAGGTTTCACAATATGATCCAAGACTATATCTTGATACACTTTTGCTGAACACTCTATTTTACAAAAATTTAGTTTTGTGACTCCTTGATAAGACACGCCCCACCATACAATCACTGACGCAGGATGATGACCACGTTGTACCATTCCGACCACTTAAGCAGCTTTTTCAGAACCGTGAGGGTACACTTTATCATTTTGATTATTGTAGTGTTCATCAAACGTGAAATTTTTTTCATCAGTAAAGAGGATATTTCTGTGCCTATATCTGCGTATCGCGACAGAAGGCGTTTTGATCGATCCACACTCTTGAATTGTAAAGATTGATGTAGAGAATGTCCTGTATATCGACGATAAGCACCGAGCTTCAGGTCTTCTTTTATAATACGCGACAGAGTCCTATCGGGAATCTTCATTTCTCGCGATAAGATTTTTTGGTGACTTCCTAATGGGGTTTTGACTAATTCTGGTTTTAACAGCATTAACAGCCTATGTAGTTCTAACAGCACGCGGCTGCCCCGATCTTTTCTGGTCTTCGACAGACGAATTGTTGTTGTATCTGTTGATAGTACGATAACGAACATGCGGCTGATATCAAGCTTTTGAAGTGTCTGGAATATGACCGACGGCTCCATACTTTGTGCAAGGCGATCATTGCAATTCTATTCTCTTTCTCTTCTTTAACACCCCATTCCATATTGTAATTTGATAATGAACATGAAAAAATATGTAAATGGGGAAAATTTAAAGAAGTTTTTAAAATAAAATACGCGTTCCAAATTCAAAATAATTAAAAAGTTGAAAAAAATAAGTTTTTATGTAACAGTATCTATGGCCAAACTAGTTATGACATATTACTTATTCTAGAGTCGAGTATTGTGATAGCATCAGATACGGAATTAAGCAAAATGACAGCGTTACTGATATCCGCGGGCCTCTGGCCTCCGTCGACGGAACAGAAATGGAACGACACTATGCTGTGGCAACCCGTGCCGTACACCTATCCACCACACGACGAGGACTTTGTAAGATAATTTCTATAAACTACCATTGCTATAGGTAATGTTCTATTTCATTATCTGCTTACAATTACAAAAATTAAAATTAAATTCCCCAGTGCCTGAAAAGAAAGGTCTATGACCAGTGTGTGTTACCAGTGATGACTTATGGGACTGAGACGTGGTCTCTGAATGTCGGCCTCATGACAAAACTCAAAGTCGCGCAGCGTGCTATGGAGAGGGCTATGCTCGGTGTTTCCCTACGTGATAAGATCCGGAATACGGAGATCCGTAGAAGGACCGGTGTGTACGACATAGCCCGAAGAGTTAGCACGCTGAAGTGGCAATGGGCAGGCCACATCGCTCGAGGACCTGACAACCGTTGGGTAAGAAAGGTCCTCGAGTGGCGACCACGTACCGGACGACGCAGCGTGGGGCGGCCCCCAACACGATGGACTGACGACATCGTCAAATGTGCTGGGAGCCGCTGGATGCGGATAGCGCAGGACCGCGCATTGTGGCGTTCTATGGGGGAGGCCTATGTCCTGCAGTGGACGGAAAAAGGCTGATGGATGGATGGATGGATTACAATTACAAACTCTTAACTTGATTGTCCTCATTTACTCGACAGAAAGTATTTATTTTTTTAAGAAGTCAACTGCTACTTGTATTATTGTTATATACAACGTGTATCAGAAATAACGCACGCACACGAAAATAGTTTGTTACAAATATACAAATGAATCAAATTCAGTAATTTTTATTTAATCAGTTTTACCAGTGATATCTCAATTTTAGTCAAATTATTTCATGTACCGTTACATTCAACAACAGCCCTTATTACCTTGTATTATGTATCATATTCTTTTGTATAAATAATTATAAAATTAATGTCAATTATAAAAAAAAATACTACATACTTTATTATCGAAATCGATTCAGAAGTCAATTCAAACCAAACTACTTTCAGCGTGTGTGTTATTTCTGTTACACGTTGTATATACCTATGATCCTCATCGACATCAATAGCTTATTGTCACAAGTCTTTTTAATTTAAATACTGAACTATATAAAATTTTATTTCAGCTTCTGTATGAAGACAATTGTCCTCGATATCAACAGGAGAAGAACAGAATATTGAAAGCATTTACCGAAGAGAGTCTACTGGTTCCATACAAGGACCTTTTTCACAAAATAGCTCAGATGACTGGCACAAATTTTAGCACGCCCCAAGATGCGTATAACTTAAATAATTTATTTCTCATACAAGTAAGCTATACCTTTTACTAATCCATATTTTAATGCATTAATGTCATTGATTAGTTACACTACAAATTGATTTATTAAATTCCAGTCGTCATAATCTATAAGTAACGTTTATGGCTTCACGGCGATTAAATAACATAAATATAAATTTACATCCGATCCACATTAGGAGCTTGGACAACCATAATTTAGTACTGAAGCAAAACTTTCGAATTAACAAAAATAATGAATGCATTAAAGCTTTGTTATACCTTTGTTTGGGCAATAGACAAGTAGATTTTTTATATGTAGACAAACCTTTTACAAGAACAATTCTACTTGTTTCAGATATAAGTCTGAAATCAAACCTTTCCTATCCGAGCGAAAGCACTCGACAAGTTTCGACATACCATTTATATAAACTATAGTCAGTCTAACCAAACGAATTTAAAACAAAGGTAAACAAACCCTTTACCCTTAGATTAAAACAAAAAGGGATGATACGGTACGCTCATACTAGCATCAAATAAAATATGATCCGACTCAACTATAAAAGCAACTCTCACACATTTCTGTAAATAAACATTTAATTGAGCGAGCGAGACAGATTTGTCGCTTCAACGCAGCGAGAGCGAAACGGCGCGAGTCCGCGTCATTTTGCAGCCGACTGAGTTTTCTTTTCTCTCCCCTACAGACGGCTGAGTTGTATTGTTGTCCTTTTCTTGATAAAAAATGGCGAATCTATAACTAACATTCATGGCAAACCATGATTTTGGAGAAAAAAATGTTATTTTGGTTTTACGAATGAAAAGTGTTGCCGTGACATTTGTTATTTGATCTTGAACTTTTTTCTGTTCTTTATAAAAGCATCGAAATCATTGTTTTATCTTTATAACACAGAAAATACGCAATATTGTTATATTGAGTGCATTGTGTTTTAATATCCAATTGTGACTAAAGCGAATTGTGGTCATGCATCACAATTTAAGCGGATCACTTTCGAGCCGCGACTGCCGTATCTTCCCGTTTTGTATTAATCTAAGCATTTACCTCTCAATTCCCATACAATGAACATTAAATGGATTTCTCAACACATTAATTTTCCTAGGGGTTTGACATATTATTTCGCTTTCTTTATGAAAAATCATAGACAAAAACTCGTCGAGTCGAAAAGTAAGGTTATTTTGGCAGACGGAGATTGTCTGTTGTCTATGGTTGAACAGTGTTGCACCGAAAAGTCTATTCAAAATTAGTTCAATTGACGTTATGATTATGGGCTAAAAAACTCATTTTTATCAGTAATCCAACATTTGCAAAATTTATTTGTTTGATATACTTAGGTGATTTTTTATATATAATAAACGTAAAAGTTGACTACTGTTGAACGAAGTAACTAAAGTTAATACAGGACGTTCAACAGGATAATGCTGCGAGCTCGCTAGCCGACGAAACTAGATATTTAATAAATCACGCAAACCAATCGGTCAAAAAGTTTTATTAAGTAACGAAATATAGTTAACTATATTGCCACATACAGTTAACAGCCTGAGCTCGTTTTTGAGTAATGAAGATAAAAAAATATTGATGTTACAAATTAAGCCTTATAGATATTTAACAATTTCTAAGAATATGGTCATTCGATTGGCAATTGATTTTGATAAGGCTCTATGAATCCCCAACACTAAACGGTCTACCTGTTTGTTTACTTTTGGTCTAAATTCAAATGAAACAGACTATAGACAAGTCCGTTAAGGTTATACATTCGCTCGGATAATGTTAGGTGTTGTTCGATTCCAGACTTATATATGGATCGACATGTACTTATATTGGAGAAAATTCCCTTACTATAAAGGACATCTACGAAATCTGCCCCAGCATGCACAAACGAATGTTCTTCATTATGTCCTTTCTGTTATTTTTTTTACTTTATTAGCAATAATTCAAAGTAAACGGACATTCTGTGGTAAAAAATAAAAAGTTCTGTAACTACTACACAATTTGCTGTCATGTCATCCTTAGAGTAATTAGAGTATTAAACTGTCTCATCTAAATGAGGGTTACAGTTTTCAACTTTTTTTTTTAATTCACTTCTATTCCAAACATTTTGTAATGGATAGCCTTGATAAATGCAATATACGCGATCATAGGTATTTATCAACGTAACAATAGAACTAGGTACCTACTTCCTAAGTTAATAATACTTATCACTAGTATTTATATTATATTGCTAGATAACTTTTGAAATTATGTAAAGATAGTTTATACTCCCATCCCATATAATATCTGTGTATTTTTATGAAAATCATAATGATAACCAGATACAAACATAATTACGATTCATAAGAAACAGGTAAATAGAAAACCTTTAAACATTTCATTTTAAGAAATCTATTATTAAACAGGTAGTTATAGGTATCATAGGTGCCAACTGACAACACTCATAAATCAATATGAATATGAAAATTTATTATTTTTATTATTAATTACATCTTATGTTAATTTAATTCATATTACTTAAGGGCTTACTAAGAGGTAAACAATAAATCTATTCAGAACATTATAAAGTGTAATTGTTTACGATTAAGTATAATAATTATAACCTCAAAATCTAATACATTCTGTAGTAGGCCACAGTTCCTAAGTTGTCCGTGTTTCAACAAATGTATGATGAGAATTTATGAATGATTCCGAACACAACTAGTATTTTCTCATTGCTGTGCGTTCTGTGCTGTTGGGCATTAAATGTATGGGTAACGAGTGATGTTTAAAATGTAGTGTGAGTGCTTTCAAAGTGTGAAGATAGCAGATGTGAAACGAAAGTGTTGTCTAGCTACCATTGCCTAGCCAGCCTAAACTCAACTTTACTTCTTCACAATAATTCATTTTACCATACGAGAATTTTTATATTTTAATTACAGAAAATTACGTATTTTTAATTCTATAATTACTTTTACAGGAGGACATAAAGGTACCTAATCCAAAATGGGCCAAGCATGTGAAAAGAAAATTAATGGATGTTGCGAGGTTGGAATACTCTATGATGTTCCACAATAATCTACTAAGGAGACTTAGTGGAGGTAAGAGATTGACACCACATATATGTCTGGCCGGTTATCAAAGATAGACCTTAACTACCCGATAAAAAATATTGAGACAATAAAGTTAGAAATGAGGCCTACAGACGGACGATCAGCGGAGGCTTAGTAAGGGTACCGTTGTACGTTTTGGTCTCGGAACCCTTTAAAGCGCAAATAAACGCTTAAATATCTATTTCGAATTATAGCATAGGCTTAAATTTTTTTTAACTTATCTAGCAAGCCGTTGGTTTTGCACGTGTGAAAGATATTTTAAAGTGATAAAATATAGCCTTTCTCACTGAGGAACAATGCAGCTTTCTAATATTGAAATAATTATCAAAATGGTAAAGTTGTTCAAGCGAGATTACCTACCTACAGACAAACTTTATCTCTTTTTAATATTAGTATATACCTAGTCAGGTTATAAATTCTGTCACATATTTAATATAAAATAATTGAAACAAGTTTATTCATTATGTAACCATTTATATACTAAAATGAACTTAACAAAACATAGATTCTTATGACAATAAAGTTTATTCAAAATGACCTCCGTTATTTTGAATACAGGCCTTCAATCTGCGCGGCCAGTCGTCTATCGCAGCACGAACGAGATCCATGTCAATATCGGCCGCTGCCTTAATCAAGGATGTCTTGAGTGACTCCAAATTGGGATGAGGCTTTGAGCACGCCTTTTCCTCCAAGTGTTGCCATATCTTGTAATCTAACGGACTCAAATCTGGACTGGAGGAGGGCCAGTCTTCGTGCCGGATGAAGTCGATTTCACGCACCGCCAGCCAGTCTTGTGTGCTCTTTGCTCTATGGGCTGGCGCCGAATCTTGTTGGAATACCCAGTGCCTGTTATTGAACATGGTATGAGAAACAGGTTCCACGAGGTTCGTTAGGACTGTATTTTGTTACACAACTGCATTCGTTTTTACACCTTTCTCACAAAAATGTACCTCTTTTAAGCCCCAATAAGACACTCCCAACCATACCATGAGCGAGGATGGAAAATGACCTCGTTGGACACGCGCAATACGGTTGCTCGCTTCTTCAATACCTTATCATTTTGTTTGTTGTAGCTCTCTTCTACGGTAAAAATTTTTTCATCCGAAAAAATAATTTCCCGATATTTTTTTCCCGCTACCGCTTCAACAAAGCGCGGCATCTCTTCAGTCTCAGGTCCATTAGACGAGCATCCAAACGATGTCCTGTTTTTCTTCGATATGCCCGAAGCCCTAAGTCTTCATTTAACACCCTTTTCTCCATGGTTCTGCTTAACCACATCTGAAGGGCCAACAGTTTCTGCTTACGTTTGGGATTTCTTTGAATTCGCGCCTTCACAGCTTTTATCACTGCTGGAGTCCTAACAGACCGTGGGCGACCACTTCTTGACCTGTCATTTACACTAGTCTTCATTGTATCGTTTGATGGTACGATAAACGAATCTTTTGGTTATATTAAAATTTTTCAATATGTCAAAAACTTTAATTGGCGCATAACCGCAAGGATGCAACGCAATAACTGCAACACGGTCTTCTTTAAGCGTCCACTCCATATTTAAAAATGAGTAAAATTCTAAAAAGTATACATTTTTATTTTCATGAACAATTCGAAATTAATAAACTTTTTTGTGGCCAGCATTCTTAAAGAAAAGTTTTTACTATGTGACAATACTTATGACCTAACTGTGTATTGTTGCGACTTGTGTACAATATATCTTTGGATAGATTTATATAAATTTGGTCTAAAAAGTAAACAAATCAACTGGAAAAAATGTAGAAAGTAATATTAAATGAATTGAGTGATCTTGTTTATCTGTCACAATATAAATCAACTGTCTCGAGGTCGCAAAATAAATGAGTTTGGATACAATTCTGCGCTATTCTTAAAAAAAGGCTTTTCCTGTTCAATGAACTGTTTATAAAAAGTTTACTTATAAGTACTTTAATCGTGACTGAAATTGTGCCTGGTCATTTTATCCCTATTCAGGATTTTATAAATAAATATTAAAATTAGTTACTGCTATAGGATTTTTTATTTTCAAGTTCAGGCGGGGCGCGGGGGCGGGGAATTATATTAGATCACTTGCGCTACAGACAAAGTATTGTCAATTTACTATTGTATAGTTCTCTCAAACTAGACTGTAAGTAGGTATTATTTTAGGTAGGGTTACCATTATCTGTTAGTCAGCCAGTAAGTTAGAAAACCAGCCAATGCGAGTCGAACTAGCGCATGAAGGGTTCAGTACCATTATCTATATAACATTAGACACTATTTTACAAAAATGGCAAAAAATGACGTCTGTTGTATGGGAGCCCCCCACAAATATTTATTTTATTATTTATTTTACAGTGAATACACAACTAAATATATTCTCCTGCTATTGAAGCTACCTAATATCACTGACTTGTGAAATAGTTTGTTTCCGAGGTAGAAATTGCTATAATCGGCATTTTCAAAATTTGTTGCTTAAATACTACTACTAATAATTATATATGGGACATCTGTAGTGCATCAAAATTTCACATTTTTAACTAATTTTGATTTTGAGATAGACCCCGTTACAAAAATGGCCTTACAACGCGCCTTACACTGTATGCCGAGAGACGCGCACCTAATATGGAAGCAGTCCATTAACATAGAATATGCGTAAATAGTATCCGTTTGCAGGTGCTTTACTCCAACAAATAATCAAAGAAGCAGCGTCCAACATAGCGGACGCGACGAAAGCGCGAGTCATCGTTCGCACGGGTACGCCCGTTTCCGTAGCGGCACTGCTGGCAGCGTGCGTTGCCCCGCCCCCGCGTCTCCCCGATCCGGGGGCTGCCTTACTGTTCGAGTTGCATGAAAGACTACCGACACCACAGAGCAAGAAGGATCAAAAGAACTTGACCGACGGTCAAAGGTTTGCATTCAAGGTAAGAACGTCGTTTAATAGCTATAGTTGGTGTTTAGTTTAGTGGCACAAAATACATAGTTCAGAAAGTGATCTCATGTATGTAGTTCTCTTTTCATACCTACGCTAGGCGATCGCGCTCGGATTGTCAAGTTTGGCTTGTGCATAAAAGCGTACCGTATCCTGTTCTATAATTTACTGTTGAGAATGAAACAGGAAGAATGGAAATGTAAACCAATTTTAATGTTATTATTATACAAATAAAATACGACTATTGACTGTTTAATGTTGTATTCAAACATCAGTCCACTGAACAGTTTCATAACTTTTTATTTTTACTTCCGGTTTCCACAAAGAGTTAACAGACGCGTGCAAGCGGATGGAACTCGCGCTCGCATTGGTCTCAAGCGGTCCGATATATCGTGTCCGTGAGCGGTGTCTATGTGTCAGTTAATTGAGCGCACTTTGTACATTAACTTCTGTACTATCTGTTTTGTGGTAGTGGTGTTGTTGTGTAATATACGTATGCATCTATCAGAATTTTATCTTTTTCTCAAAAACAACAAGACTTTTGTGAAGTTAAATCACGTACACTTTATACGTGACGATAATCTTCCCCGAAACCGATTAGAAGTCTCTGCCCTAACACGTATGTTCGTGTACTAGTTTAGTACATAAGATAATAGCTGTTATGGAAATACATGCAATACACCCGACGTTAGTGTGTCATTCACCACGAGCCCTCAGTACATCTCAGTTCGTTTTACAAGTAATACTTAAAAAGTTAGTTAAGGGTTTCAAGCATTTGTTGGATGTAATTATTTCACTATTTATAATGCGATTCAAATAAGAATAGGAAAGCCAATGACCTCTATCTGTCAAATGTCGCTTGAAAAGTACAGTTTGCAAAAAAACTCGAAACACTTTTGTTAGCACTCGGCTAATTCTATGATAAAAATCAAACATTTTTAAACAAACAATAACAAATATTTATAATTAATATTGGTTGATATTTTTTTCATTTATTGAGCTTTGGCTATGAATGGTTGATAACCTAAATCGTCAACCTAATGTCACTTTATGTTGCGTTCAGAAACTAGATTTAAAACTTTCGTTTACATATAGGATGCATGTTCATATGTGACCTGCATGATTATTCATAACTACTCCGGCGGTAATGCAGAGATGAGCGGAATTGAAGAGCTAGATTCTGATTAATGTTTTTTCTCACACAGTCAATAAAGAAATATTATTAAAAATCGGTTTTTTCTCTCAATCTAAGTAAATTAATTTTATTAAATAAATCAGATGTTTTTTCTCTCTTAATCTAAGTAAATAAGTTTTATTAAATAGAAACTTTTTTTGCTCACTCTACCTATTTGGTTTGAATTGACAGCTATGACATCAAAATATGGCGCCCAGTCGGTCCTATTCTTAGTTGAATCGCATTATAATAAACATATCTTCATCTATGCATAAAGGGATTATTTTGTAGTATATATACGTATACAGTGCCGCATGAAATATCAAATTTGATGTGATGCTATCATTGCAGATATATTATTGGGACGACGACTCAGCCGAACCACGTCTTATGGAAGTTCCTGGTTGTAACGCATTCTGTCCTTTGCAGACGTTCACGGAACTAACAAAATACATAGTGTCGCATGACTATAAAAAAGACTGCACTATGGATCCTACGTCACAATAAAGAGTTTAGTGTTAGCGCGTAATATTGCACCTAACGAATGCTTTCAATAAGCAAAAATCAACTTCACATAATTTTTTTGTTTGTTTGATATGAAACCAAAAGTAAAACGAATTTTAGTTATAATAGAAGCAGTGTGTGTTATGTAAATATTGATGGTGTTGCCTTTTGATACGGATTCAAGTATCAAACAAAATTACGTAGCATGATAAATTAATATTTTGTAATAACGGAATAAGGCTGTGTTAAAAGGAATTTAGCGCTTTATAAAAACGTGTGGAATAAACAAAATGTGGGACAAAAACTGAGCTTTCATTTATATTTCAGTTATTCACCAAATTTCCAATTGCTGTAAGTTTCTTACCTTCATCGATTTTGATGCCCGTTTCCTCGCGTGGAATATTTTTAGAGATGTCACCAAATTCGTCAGCGCCCCAAGTTTGACTCCCGCGCTGCTTGAGATACTCGGATATTAGCGCCGCTATGTGCAATTGGCAGCACATGGCCTGAAAGATTAATCGAATGTAATTTTTGTTTATAACTACTACACTAATTAAAAACTATCACAGTCTGTATATATGTAGTCAAGTTGACCAACAGACATGTCTAAACGGAGCAGACTGGCATGGTACATGGGGCAAGGGAGAAGTGGTAAGCATGTCATAGCTACGCGTCGTTACCATAGGAATGCGAAGCGATACGTGGCGTTTTAACGATCTAGTACTGAAAACGATCGGCTAGAAAGTGCAATGCCCACTTTGTATGGAAATTTGTCTTAACATGTGGCTTTTCTGTTACACAATAAAAGAAAATAGAAAAACAACATCATCGGTTCTTTAAATTTGCCTAACGACTGCACATGCAGCCGGGACCAACGTTTTAACGTGCCTTTCGAAGCACTGTAGAGCTCAAGATAAAAAGTTTTTGGTCACCCATCCATTGATCGGTTATTGCGAAAGTTGCTTAACTATCATGATCGCAGACTAAACGCGCTTACCACCCTGCGCCATCGAGCTTTGCAATATTGGTACAAACCTTGTGATCTTCATGTTACACGCTATGATCAGCTAAGGTTGCTAGCCACGCGCGCCTCAGTCTCGATGTCGCGTGACACGACGCGGCTAGAGCGTACTGTAATCCTGCTAAGTATAATATTTCATACCTCATCGTGATCTCGATGTTGCGCGTCATGTTCAGCTAAGGTTGCCAACCAAGCGTGCCTCAGTCTCGATGTCGCTCGACACTACGCGGCTTGAGCGTGCTGTAATTCTGCTAAGTATAATATTTCATACCTCATCGTGATCTCCATGTCGCGAGTTATGTTTAACTAAGGTTGTTGGCCACGCGTGCTGTAATTCTGCTAAATATAAGATTTCATACCTCATCGTGATCTCCATGTCGCGCATTATGTTGAGCTAAGGTTGCTAGCCACGTGTGTCTCAGTCTCGGTGTCGCGCGGCACGACACGGCTAAGGCGTGCTGTAATTCTGCTAAATATAAGATTTCATACCTCATCGTGATCTCCATGTCGCGCGTTATGTTCAGCTAAGGTTGCTAGCCACGCGTGTCTCAGTCTCGGTGTCGCGCGGCACGACACGGCTAAGGCGTGCTGTAATTCTGCTAAGTGGATGCTACCTGCTCCTTCAGAAAGAATAAGGATGTGAGATTAAGAAAAAACGGCTGATTTTCAGATACAAAAAGAACAGTCCCTAGCAGAGCGATATGATATAATTTATTACGATTTTATCCTGCTCATTAGAAAAGTACTATTAATGAATTTGGACAACAAGAGGTGATGCGTTCCCTTTCATTTAATATTAGTTGGGAAAGAGAAAAATTATGTCACATTGAATCATGTCTTAAGCTTTAAAGAGGCTGGTAAAGCAATTTAAACGCAAAGAAAATTTAAGTCATCTTACACCTATAAATATAAAAAACTAAAAAAAAGTTAGGCAATTAGCATCTTGAGGTGCTAATTGTCAAAATCCAGTGAGTAGAAAACATACTATAATGCCATCATCTCTCACAAAAAAATATATAAAATAATTAATGAGACTATTTTAGTAAGTTATCAAATGCCAATATTTCCTTTCAGTAAAATACGGAATACGGTAAAGACTCCCTTTTAATATTCATCTATTATGTTCATTAAATAAAATGAAAACTATGGCAAACACAAAATAGGAGAATTTTACAGATGCTACCTGAACCACCTTGACCTCCAACGCCAGCGAGTCGTGCCCGAGCTCCAACCACGGTGCGAACTCTTCGCATCAACTCCGCTACTTCACTAGATAAACCTGAAAATTAAGTCAACGATAAAACGAAACACCGCCATTACCCTCTCTGTTGATTGTAGCTAATATCATGATTCTTATGAGATGACGAAGTTCTCGAAAAATAGATTTTAGTACAGCCCTCAACGATATTAATAACCCTAGACTGATACACGATAAATATGTACCATTCAAGCACTTCTTGGTTCAGTCACCGTCTCGTGAGGACCGTTGAAAAGTCAACATGCCGCACAGCTCAGTGAAAAATGCAAAAAAAAGCCTTATAGTAGAAGATATTTGTAAAAATCAAATGCATGTTCGGTTATGTAGTCGTCACTTTCCCTCGCGCTACTTGCCTGTTGGATGGATAACAGTGCTTTCAGAATTACGATATACAGTCATACAAATAAAGTCAAAATTCTTCCGCCTATAACAACAAGTCGTATCATTTTATGAGCTTGCATTTCGAACTGTCACAACTCTTTGAAGTATACCTTATAAGACTATGCATTAATGGTGAATTTAAATGTTTAATATGCCTTTTATCGTTTTTGGCTATGCGATCACCTCACGAAGCTCCATGGATAATTCAATGTACCTTTTGGACTGGTTTCGGCCACGATTTTGTTCGTGATGTTGTATCCAGGATTTTTAATATCGTTGACTGCTCCAGATAACATCTGTATGCGGTGAATATAATTTACCGTTATTTACCTACATTCTATATATAAGGCTAAAAAAACATCCAGCCTGACACCTTTTTATTAATTATATTTTATACAAAGATGAAGTTTATCCTCTAGCAATGGGGTGAAGAGGAATGGTTTATCAGAGTAACGATGTTTTTATAAATTTCGACAAATGTAATACGTACCAGTTCCTTTCATAGCTTTGTCTCCAGTCGCAAAACAGTTAATTACTGATAGTGATTCTTGAAATCGTTTGCAGTTCAGGGCTGTTGAACTGTCCAGTAACTTTGACACAGCTATGATGACCTGCACATAAGAAAAGTATCGTAAAAGAGAGTAATTTTAACCCTGGTACCTATCAAGCGGGAAGAACTTTAAACGGCAATGCCCACTTTATATGGAAACTTGGCTTAACATGGAGAGACATTTTAACAAGTAAAACAATACAATGCAAGAAGCTTAAACTACCCAGAACCTTTAAAAATTTGGTATCGGTATCCTTTAAAATAATTTTAAGCACCGCGTTGAAAAAAGGTAATATAAGCACAGAAAAGTCATTTTCGCAACAATCTATAAAATTCGAAGTATTTATATTGTAGGAAGGCCAAAGGGGAAGATCTTCCTCCAAGCTGGGTGATGTTAGCTCGGGGGCCGCGGCCCGACTGATGTTGGTCGGGCATCGTATATATGAAGAGTTAGCTTCCGAATTTCATTTGCGCGATGTAGGCTTCCATACTATTATTGATCGCAGTGCAGGTAACGCCATCTCTTGAGGATGGTGCGTAATGATTTCCTCCATCCGTTGTCTATATGTGGGGCATATAGATGTCGCCGCCACATCACTCCCCTCCGAGACCGGAGGTCGATGGTCAGTGTTTTCAGCAGTCAGTGCGTCAGTCGAGCTTGCAAGTGCCAGTGTGCTGCAGGATGCCCCAGTCTGCGGTGAGTCGAGACGGGTGGGGTGAAGGCGCGTCGCCAGTGCTGCAGAGTTGCTCCAGTCTACGGTGAGTCGAGACAGGTGGAGTGTGACGGTGGGTCCGAGCTGCTGGTGTACAGGGCTGCCACGCCGGTGTGCTTGCGGCCGACAAGTGAGGTACCGGTCGTGGGCTGCGAAGACCAGGTCGGGATAATGCCGTCAAGTGCTGCTGAAGGTCCGGAAGCGTCGTTGACAGCTGCGATGGAACCTTGAGGCTGATGCTGGCTTGCTGTGTGGCTGCTGATGTTGCATGACTTGATAATAATAATAATAATAATATACCATTTATTTTCTCCTCACAAAAGGTGTAACAGTACAATAAGTAACTAACTTAATCAATACATTACACATAAACCTATTATGTTGGAGACTGGTGCCCGTAAAAGGCAACTACGAATAGCTACCTGTACTAACAGGTCACCAGGCCCCGACTATGGTACATAAACCATACGTGTATTGCATATCTTAATGGAAAATTGAATACCTACTCCAAATTTGAAAAATACATTGTCAGAGAGAAAAAAATTACATGTCATCTAAGAAGTGCTTTAAAATTATACTGCAGACTGCATTGACAAAGTTATTAGAAGGTGCAATAGTATATTAAACGTAATACATAAAAATATTTATTATACCTTTGAGAAACCAAACAAAGAATCCCAAATCCAGAAGGCAGCCATCACCATTATCGACCATAAAATTAAAATAGCAGTTTGTGAGTTAGGAAAAGACTGAACAATTCATGTTATAATATGTGTATAGATTTTCGTTTCATTTCTGAAGAAGTTAATAGTTTAGGTTTAACACTCACGACCATCGCATCAAGCACAATTACGAGTAGAGTAGCCAACAGGCTTACATTCTATCAGGTAAATAGGCAATAAAAGTAACCAAGAACACTAAACCTTTAAAATAATGATAAATAAATAATTAAATATCGAAAGTCAGCAATTTTTCGGTATCTACATAGTTTAAGGTTTTCAGCCAGTTACTGACGTGTTCCTTACAAGTACTTTTATTTAATGGATAAATTGAAAGAAACTTATTAATTTTATTATACAAAAATGTTCCTAGGAAGCAATAAAATTTATGGGGAAGTCTGGTCTGGAAGTTTTCGGGTTGGCAGACTTTGCTTTTCCTGCGCTTGTCTTTAATTGAATCAGGATCGTAATTAGTTTCGGTGTGTTTTTTAAGAACTGTTTGTAATATAAAAGTTTGTCGTACCGTTAGTAAGTCCCATTGTTTGTATAAGTTAACTGTAGGGAATCTATAGGGAAGACCAAAGCCACTTTTGAGTACTGCTCTTTGAGCTTTTTCGACTTCAATGAGTTGAGTTTTGGCTGCTCCACCCCAAGAAGTGATACAATAGTCGATCAGTGATTGACATAAGGCAAAATACACCATTCTTATTGTTTGTCTATTAGCTACGTGTCTTAGTGTACTGAATACAAATATAAGTTTGCGCAACCTAGAAACAAGAGTTGAAATATGAGGCTTAAAACTGAGAGTTTGATCCATTGTGACCCCTAGATATTTTATTGTCTCTGTTCTGCCTAGTTGAGGGCAGGTGCATTCGGAAGCCGTTACATTTTTGCAAGAGGGAGTGTGTGCTAATATTTGGAAGGTAATGGGTGGAATAAGATTTTTCCTATGTGCAAAGGTCATGATGAGGAAGGGGTATGAGGTTTGATGGCTGCGCTGCGATGGTTGAAGGTTGCTTCTTGCTGCTGTGCTCAGTCGAGGGTCACCAGTGTATGAAGGCCAAAGGGGAAGATCTTCCTCCGAGCTGGGTGATGTTAACTCGGGGGCCGCGGCCCGACTGATGTTGGTCGGGCATCGTATATATGAAGAGTTAGCTTCCGAATTTCATTTGCGCGATGTAGGCTTCCATACTATTATTGATCGCAGTGCAGGTAACGCCATCTCTTGAGGATGGTGAGTAATGATTTCCTCCATCCGTTGACTATATGTGGGGCATATAGATGTCGCCGCCACAATATTACCAATAGGATGTCTAGACACTGGGTATATACATTTTTTGTTACACATACATAAATAAAATTGAAAATTAATATCTATTCTTTTAATTAATATTGCGCAATATGGCGCGTGACGTCACATGCATAATAACAAATTTCTAAACGAAAAAACGCAGTGTTCTTTTGACAGCTTGGGTGCGTCCCAAACCTAAGGTCCAAGTGCAACTTCTCATTCTGAGTGTTCAATTTTGTCATAAAAGTATGAAACTTCTATCGAATTTTACATTTGTTGCACTTGTCTGCAAATGTCATCTTAGATCCGGCCACTTCTAGCAGTTTTCGCTGAAATGACGTGATGATTACTTATATTCTGCCAATAATAGCCGTTTTCGCTGACATGACGTGATGGTTACTTAAATTCGACCAATTACAGCTGTTTTTGATCATATGACATTAGACCGTATTATTTTCATTTAATTTTATTGTATTATTAATGAAACTCTCCATTATGTGTATATTACGGATATAGAAATTGGTTAAAAAATAAATAAAATAATATTGTGAAATTTTTGTTTGCCAAGCACCTTGTCCACGCTGAGCCTATGATGGGCATTGTCCTTTGTCACCTTGATGTCATCACACAAACTAAAGCATTATTATTTGTTCAAGGTAATCCGCACTCATTAAGACGTTCAGTAGTACAAACGATTTTCCAGTTTCTGACGAAGTTTCCTCTTAAGAGTTAATTCGTTGATCGATCGTCTTACGTAATATAAGAATGGCCCCATAGTAAGTCACAAAATATACACACAATACAAATTTTTAAACCTAAAAACTCAATAATTTGAAAATTGCCAACCTGGAGGTGAACCCTAGTCAAGTTGCCCCCGGAGCCGTGTTGGAAGTTAGCCCTCATCAACAGATACAGTGCCGCAGCAGCTTCTCGTCGCAACCACGCGGCGCGAGCCTCGCATAGTTTTACTACGGCGCTGACCACACCGGCACATAATGTGCTGCCACCTACGAAATCAGAATACGGGTTTCAAAACTGGTACAAGAAAGTATTATAAACAGCTAGCGGTGTAGTCTATAGTTTTTTTTTCGGGCTAGCGGGTTATACATTTACGCACATAAAACTGTCGCAACCACGCGGCGCGAGCTTTGCATAGTTTTACTATGGCGTAGGTGGTAGCACTTTATGTGCCGGTGTGGTCAGACACCGGCGCATAAAGTGCTGCCACCTACGTAATCAGAACACGAATTTCAAAGCTGGTACAGCAAAATATTATAAACAACTAGCGGTGTATAGTGTTTGTCTCGAGCTTGCGTTATACATGTACGCACATAATAATGTCGCAACCAAGTGGCGAGTTCCTAGTATAGTTTTACAACGGCGCTGACCACATCGGCACATAAAGCGCTGCAACCTACGAAATCAGAACACGAGTTTCATAACTGATACAGCAAAATATTATACACAGCTAGTGGTGTACTCTGTCGATTTTGTTTAGGGCTTGCGTTATACATATACGCATATAAAATGTATTATCTATCTGATGGTCCACATTATAATCGGTTGGGTCGTTTAGGGAATAGAAAAACGCGAAATTAGTTATTTAGTTTAGATAATAAAATTTGATTAATTACTGGAACTGATAGATATCTCAGCATTACACAATATTTTTAATTAGATTCTAAACGCCAATTTTCCCTTGCAGATAGCAAAATCTTATAACAAATTATAGGCCAAACACTGGAGAGTGGGGAGCTACAGTCCAGTTATTTAAGGCGTAACTAATGGTAAATATGTAGTTATTGAGGTTTTTGATATGGAAATGTATGTAGGTATTCTATAAAGGAGTTAAAAGGTTTACCTTCAAACAGTGTTTCAGAAAACTGATTGATGTAAGCCCTCAGCGCTGCAAACAGGTGTTTATAGAGAGTTTCACTCTGCGGGTAGTGCAGTAGTTTAAGGTAGGGTTTGGCCGCAACCCCGTCTGCCGCGCCCAGGTTCTTCATGAACAGACACGCGCGGTCTATTATGATGAGACCGACTTCTGTCGCTAGGCAACCGGCCGATAGGACTGTATGGTCAGCTATGGCTTCCAACTCTGAAATAATTCTTATTTTTAGATTCAAACTGCAAAAAAAATCTCTGTAAGGAAATTTTACAAGGAAAAAAACCAATTAGATCAAGCTGGATTCGAACCAGAGCCTTGCGCTATTCGGACAATAGCACTGATCGGTATCCGTTATGCTACCGGGGCCTTAATGGACGAGTAGAATGTAAATTATCTGAAAACATTTGGACGTTTCACTACCTACAAATATACTTTAAGTATTTTTCCTTGTATTACAATGAACAATAATTATGTTATAAAGCTATACAAAGCGTCACTCTCGTTAAGTTCATCAAAGTGTTCAATGCAGGATAAATAAAATTACTCATCTTGTTATCGATGCGAGAACATAATAAGAAGGAAACAATAAGAATAAGATTGAGTGTACCTATTACCTCCATTTACACACGCGTGACGTACTGAAAAATGCAGGACGCTACACCTTTCAAATAACATAGGCTCTCAATTAGGGGGATTTCATGTGTCATTATTGATGCATATGTTTAAGTTTTTAAAATGATAAAAATTTTTCTTGCTAAACTTTCCAAGTAGGTATAATATAAAGAAAATATAACTAGAAAAAATTTCACACGGATCAGGTCCCGTCTGCTGCCTGGTCCGCGTGGAACTTTTTCTAGTTATATTTTCTTTAGATTTAAACATCAAGCAGTTACATGCTTTAAAAATAATAAAAATTATAGGTATAATATATTTTAGATGTTACAACCAATTTTTGAACCCATGAGCATAACTAGCAATGTGAATCATTGAATTATACCAGCCATAAGCATACCTGTAGTGACAGTGGTAGTGACTAGATTCTCCCTGTTCACAGTATTGTTTTTATTCTCAACGACTATCGACGGTTCCTTGGAGAAGTCTGGGGGACTCATGCGCGCGGGCAACGTTCGAGCCTTCACTGGCTTCGGTTTGCCATTGCAGTCGGGCGTGGTAGCCTTTAGTTCCGATAGAATTCCCTTCCTACCTATATACTGAAACTGCTCTCCGCATATTCTGTGCGAATAATAGAAAAAATTGCTAGTTAAAATTTTACTAAAAACAAAAATTTGGTTAAACAAAAACGTAATGTTAAACCTAAAATTCGCACTTATTTTCTTTATAATTATATCTCAAGTTATAGATTAAGTTTAATTTAAAAACTGTAGGTAAACAGCGGGCGCTGGTAATTTTGACCGGAATGTGCCAGCCGCCCGTACTTCTCATGGTTCCGTTCTCGTTCTCGTTCCCCACACCCTTTTAGCCTGCAGGCGAGAACTCAGTTAAGCAATCTACCTACATGTAACACTGTATGTGCATTTCTTTCTTTAAGCCTTTAGTTGGTATATATAACACCCGTATACTAGAATTTCCCTCAGCAAGCAATCAGGCTTCACAATACCCAACTTTAAATGTAATAAAAAGTCAGTCGAATTTCGAATCTTTTTGAACGTTAAATTGGACGACTTACTCTAAAACATTGAAGAACGCCTGCTGTTGAGCTGGCGAGTGAGTTTTCCACCACTCAACGAGCCTTTCCTCGTCCAAGTACTTTAACACAAACAGGAAACACAAAAGCACATCACGCACCTCCTCTGCAGACATCACACCGAATCTGAGACATACACAAACGAAAATCAACCTATAATATAGGTCAATGTGAGTTTATATTATCTGCATATAAGAATGATAAGGGAAACTGGAACCTCAGGGAAGTTAGCCTCCCACTTTTTGAATTTTATTATTATTTGTTGTTCCGGATTGTTCTACATTGTTCCAGAGTTTTACTTGAAAAAAACAAAAATTTGAAGGTACAACAAAAAATACCTTTTTTATGGTAGTCCCCCCACTTTTGGCAAATTAAATATTTTGTTGGTTGTTCCAAGTTGTTCTAGTTGTTCCTAACATTGCTCCAGAGTTTTATTTGATAAAACTAAAATGTTGAAGCTGTCAGGCAAAAATAACCTTTTTATAAAAAAAATACGCGCTTGAAACAATAAATAAATCAACAATGATTTAGAACAATGGGGATTTTTATCAGAATAACCGTCGGCTATATCGTTCTAATTTCATTTAATCATTTTGAATAAAATTAATAGTAATCAGATATGAAAACATTTACAATATAGGGTAAACTACCCAATTGTTGGTACTTTAAGAGTAGGTTCCATGTCAGTCAGACATTATTTTAGGTACCATAAAATCATATCTAGACGAGTTAGTATACAACACATGTGAAAGGTGATCAAAGATATAAAATATTTTTATTCTTATTTTCATAACTATTTGTATGGTAATAAATAGACTATACTTTAAACCAAAATACTACAGAAAATATTATATCGGTACAAAAATTCTCAGTATTGGCATCTATTCGTCTAAATTATTGACCGAAAAGAAGTTTTTTTTGCGTATCAGCTTCTAATATTTGTTTTTTAACACACTTTATAAGGTGACTTGTAACAAATGAACTATGTAATAAAATTTAATAATCTGAATTACATGCACTTCTAATTCTTGTATCATCATTAAACTTGGCAATTATATGTAGATACGATGACAATACAATATTATTATTATTTTAGATTTCCAGTATTGGAACCAAGCACAGTAAAGGAAAAAAAGAGTATAAAGAAAATGTTGTTGTGGTGGTTAATGCGTTAGGCGTGCGATCGTTGAAGTTTAGCAACTTTCACAATGGTCGGTCATTGGGTGGGTGACCAAAAACTTATCTCTGTATGTCGCTCCTTCTGATTATCTCGAGACCATGAATATACAAGCAAATTGTAATTGAAATGACTCACCTATTGACTTGGTCGCCTATTTCATTCAAATCCAGTCGTCCTATATTTCTGGGAAGTGAATCTCCTCCAGACATTGTAGACACAGACTCTAGTGAGCTTTGCGACATATTATTTGTGTTATCTAAAAAAAGTTCCGTGTCATAAATTAACAATAGGCTATATTTGATAAATGTTCTATTAGACCGTAAAAAATGTATTGTATTTTTTTGAGACCTAGAACGCTACAAATCTTTAATTTTAACATAGACTTTTCATGGACATACAAAAACGCTGTCGGCCATTTTAGTCAATAGATTATCTATGCTATGACGTCAACCAGTAGTAAACAAAAACTCGTAAGCACGTAGAAAATAAATTACACTGGTCAACAAAATTCAAACTTTTTTTTGTCACACGAAAACTTATACCCAATTTTGAATGTACTATGGCCACCAAACAATAATATATCAACAGAAAAAAATTGACACATCAGGTTTCTTTGTGACATCAAGATTTATATTTTTATGAAAATTACAAAAATCAGTAACATATAAAAAATATTTCTTAATGTAAAATAAATATCTATGATTTTAGTGAATGTTTGGCTTCTGGTAGGTCCCTTTTAAGTCCCCAGCAGTAATCTGCTAGCATTCCTGGACTCCATTTCCCTTGATAGCGCTTTTCTATGAAGGAAATGTCCTGATGAAACCTCTCGCCTTGTTCGTCGCTCACAGCACCCAAATTTTCGGGAAAAACATCCAGATGAGAGTACAGCATATGTATTTTTAAAGACATATTACATCCCAAAGCTTTGTATGAAATTAAAAGCTCACTGATTAAGTCTTTGTAATTTTCCGCTTTATGACTTTAATCTAGACCCCAAAAGCTCAGCCTGTTTTTTAGACAAGTTCAAATCGCGTACTAAATTGTTTAAATCACTTTGTGTCAATAAATGCGGTTCTTTTGAAGTTGACGGCTCATAACTTGGGTCACTATTTTGAGATATCTTACTTTGTTGACTAAGAACAAATTCCGGACAAGGACCAGAATCCAGACTTTCTGCTTGATTTGGAAGCATTGGCACAGGCAGTTCGGTACTATGTAGGATTGGTCTGTTGGCCGATGACACGATTGGGTACTGGACATTGTGTTTAGACTTAGTTGTTATGCCTTTTGTTTGAATCAAACAAAAATAACAATCACTTACATGATCCTTTGATTTCGTCCAAATCATTGGTATACCAAAAGCCAAATGTCTAGATTTCTAGACCAACCTAATAGGAGTCTAACACACGTTGAACAACATATATGTGGAACCCAGGGTTTATCTTGGTGACGTACTGCAATAAATAGCACTTTTCAACTAACGGCGTAAATTTCCGACGCTGAGGTGTTAAAGTTAATTCTCATAACAAAAACTGTCTGGCTTATTAGAACACTTTCGCGGCATATCTACAATGCAACAAACGTAAGTATGTTGAATGCAATCGTTATACAGTCGTCTTAATTAACGTTATTCAAATAAAAACACGTAAATGAGGTCAGAAATGAAAATGTAGCTGTCACAAAAAAACTGGATGTGACTGATACCAAATAATGATTATTTTTGAATGAGGGTACATCAACATAAATAAAAATCATCACAAAGTTCGTGTGACAAAAACAGTGTTGGCCAGTGTTATCTGAGTTTATAATAAAAAAAACATGATTTCTAATAAATACCACGAAAAATATAGTGATTATCATTATTGTTTTGTATGAGAATACAAAAACGCATCCTTGAAGACTCCAGGAAAGTTGTGGATTAAAGTGCTGAACTTTATTATTTTTAACAACTTTATTACACTTATTCATTTGTGGTATCAGTTTTATGTTTATCATTATTGTTTTGTACGAGAATACAAAAACGCATCCTTGAAGACTCCAGGAAAGTTGTGGATTAAAGTGCTGAACTTTATTATTTTTAACAACTTTATTACACTTATTCATTTGTTGTATCAGTTTTATGTTTATTACTACATTATAATATCAAATGCACTGTACTTACATAGATGCCTTGACGTTTCTCTGCTCCGCAGAGCAGAAATCGGGGTTTAATGCAAAAAATTCATCACCCATCAATGCGTCAATTCTTGGCAGATTTGTGCTTTCTGCTTTCACAAAGCCGGCATCCATAATTAGTTTTGTCAAAAAAAACAGTAAACGGAAACTTTTCTAAAGTTAAAAGTGTTTTAAGATAAATTTAGTCGACGAAAGAATCCACCCACAGTATCACGCGAATGACATTTAGTTGTTTACTACAACAAGAGACGTCACAAACATGGCGGATGTGGCGAACAGCGTTTTTAGTGTTTAGAAAATATAGACTAAAAAATATTTTTTTTTAAATTAAATTTCTACAGCAATATTCTGCTTTTATGAAGTAAAATCGATGTATTTAGGTTCCTTAGACCAAATACTTTAAGAAATAAACGTTTATTTAATACAATTCGACATGAGTCAACTAGCCTATTGTAAATACATATCAAGATACATGCAATAAAGCACGATATGCTAGAAAACGATATAGAAAACAAATTTCAATCTAGCCCAAGCAATAGGGGCAAGAAAAATAACAAAATTTTACCGCATTCCAGCTTTTTTAACAAATGTTAGGGTAGGGTAGGTAAAATCGGGGAATGTACGCATTTATAGCTATATCTCCGAAATTATTGATTTCGGAGATAGAGATTTTTTCGGATGCTTCTGTAACTTCAGCCCGTTTTTGTGCCACATTAAGTTTTTATTTCATAAAAAAAATTGAATACAGAAGTTGTAGGGAATTTTATGTCGAATAACTTTAATAAGACGTTACTTATCAATTAATGACATTTTTAAGCTTTATAACGGACAAACTACAAAAATGTTCAAATATACAACAATAATTGAAAAAAGGTAAGACTTACAATAAAAGTTTTAGACAAAAAAGTCATAGAATTTAGTAATAATCAAAAAAAGGTACATTTTTTTCCGTAAAGTCAATAATTTCGGAGACGTAGCGATAAACGTGTTTTCCAATATGGCGGCCAATTGTGACTACCCAACATTCCTCCATTTTTAAACTTAAGGTTTTTATGACTTACCCTAGCACCTGTAAAAAAACTAGAATGCGGCAATACTTTGCATTACGATCAAGTATAACCTCGATATCTATATCTTGGGCTAATTGCAGTCGATAGGCCGTTTAGATTGACCAGAACAAAATGTTTCTCAAACAGTAACATTTTAATTTTCATTTGGTATTCCTTTTCACTTCTTAAAGAAGAGCAAATTGTTCTTAATCATAATAAAATTACTATATACAAATCTAAAAAACTGTTTACCTTTCCCATACAATTGACTAGTCTGTACGACAGGCGGGTCTTTGAAGTGGGCGGAGTGTCGCACTGGGGTGTGGTCAAAGTGTAAGGTGAGGCGGTTCCTTCTTGGAGTACTGTTAGCCGAAGCGACTTCCTTTTGTATCCCTAGTTCTGTATTTCTAGTTATTGCGGGAGCTACGGTGGCGTCGCCATCGGGCCTATCGTGACCGTTTTCCACTACGGGACTCGCAAGGGATTTTGTGACTAAGCGATGTGCGTTTCCTACAAACAACGAAAGTAGTTTTACATTTTTGGGTATAGCTTACAGTTTCGGTGGTAGTTTTTTAGATTAGATTGATTGGATAGTCGTTAAGCAAACTTTACTGGTGAGGTAATAATCTGAAGCAGTTAAAACGTAGTTAAAAAGCAAAGCATGGAAATAAAACATTAATTTTATGTCAACCCGAAAAATCTTTTTAATGTGTGATAATTTATGAAAAGTAATTGACTTGGTGGTTTTATTAACTTGAATATCTTATATATAAAATTCTCGTGTCACAATGTTAGTTACCCTACTCCTTTGAAACGGCTTGACCGATTTTTATGAAATTTTATATGCACATTCAGTAAGCCTGAGAATCGGCTACTATCTATTTTTCATACCTCTAACATTTTATTTAATTTGCTGGACAATTTTTTTTATTTTATAATTTGGCATTAAAACATACATACAACCCCTTTTAAATTTTCACCCGTCTACCCCTAATTTTATGGTGGTACGAAGTTCGCTGGGCCAGCTAGTTATTATATATATCTTTTCGTTATAAATTCGCAAATTTTAAATTTTCTTATCAAAGACAGTTTCCCTACACCAATGTATTAGCTTATATACTTGTGAAAGTTTTAATCCGTAGGCAATTACCCAATACGATGGTCAGCCACGGCGCGTAGAGATGAGCTAGTCTAGCCCGGCATTGTCTCGTTCTGTATCTATCGTCGTGTTCGTGCTTCGTTAGCAAGGAACGTAGCACTCCAAGCGCTGTGCGACGCTTTTGAGGCGCCTCCCTCAACGATTGCTCTACCTAATTGGATATTTACTTATATTATTACTCCATAGTACGTCTCAATATAGCCTCACAAATGTGAACTTTATGACTTTGTGATAAGAATATCACAACTTTCATGCAACGGATAAACATATATTAACAATATGAAGATTATTTCAATTTAATCTTAACTCAAAGTAACTTACTTGTTTTAATAAAGTTCCCGCAAGAAAATGGGTCATAATAAATTCATCTGTAAGTTTTAGCTTAGCCGGATCTATAAAATAAAATAATTATTTTAATGTGTATATGAAATCACATGTTGTTTTACAAAGAAAAAGAAGAAGACTAATTTATTTATTATATATTTACCTTCATCGGAGTCTTTGGTTAATAAATTGGCTTGTAATGGCAAGTTGAATGGCACAAAGTGTTCATGGGTGCAGATCGTCTGAAGAAATGTAAATTTAAACTCAAACAATGCCTTCGGATCGCACGCCTTGAATTTTTCTAAATACTTCTTTATTTGTCGGAATACAAAACCTCTGTCCATGAACGATAGACATGACTGTAAACACGAAAAATATATCGTTACCATGTTTAGCAGATTTGAACCTTGTTGACTATGTAACAAGCGCTTATTACCTTGAGAAAATTGGCAAGATTCTTGTTGAATATATGAGTTTGCATGGGCTGTTGTAATATATACGATGGTTCAACAATCGTCACAAGTTTATCAATGTTATCCAGTAAATCAGCGTGAAATCTTTCATTTCTAGACATCTAAAATAAAAAAATAAATATAGCAATTGAAGCATATAAACGGAAATCGATATTAAATGACTATAATCAAAATATACCTTGATTCTTCCTGTATTAATTAAGTACTGAGCCATGCTTTTGATAATGATGTCAAAAAAAAATGCAGAATATTGCATAAACTTATGTCCTAATAAAAAGTCTTGTTGGTTCGGGTCCACGAACATATGCAATGGCGCTGTCAAAACCGTGTGCAATTTGAACTCCACGCAATTGAACACATACTGGAAAATGTTAAAAGCAATGTTAGATTTGATGAAACACGATATTTTGTTGAACAGCAGCTGTATTTGTTGTTAAATGAATATTCTATCTATAGTTTGAACGAGATTGCTAACTTTTGTTTTCTTAAATATTAAATTTACACCTTTTTGCCTTAACATAAGTTCCATTATCGCCTCATAATAACGTGGCGGAAAAATAATGATGAGCAAAAAGGAACCCACCGGTGGGTGCGAGTGTTTCTCTTTCTTTTAGGATAAAAATAGTAGACTTTCTCCTACCGGCTCCCTTTTCCTTATTTCAGTCATTTTGAAAGTACGAGTAAACAATCAAATTTTATATCTATATAAAATTTAGGTCAATATATAGGTAAAAAATAAACTGCCAATGATAAAGTACGCCCATTATGTTACAATTTTTTTAATTTACTGTGCCACAACTTAATCTAAATTTAAATTTATTTACATACACATAATTCCAAAGAAGAAATTCACTAAAACTAAATAATTAAGCAATCATACTTTGACATAGCTGTCCAGTAAATCCTTCCGTCCATAGTCATGTATCATGTGGACAAAGTGAACAATCAGCTTGACTATTTGATATCCCATGTCTTGGTTATAACTTTTCTCCACAGTCTGAAACAAAGTCATAATAAATTTTAAATAAATAATAGTGAAAAGTCGACCTAATGAATTCCTAATATCTATTAACTTACCATTAATTCAAACAACTGATTTAACACTGTTGGCAAGAAAGCGACAAGCGAGCTAAGTTTGATAGCATGCGCAGCTTTTAAAGCGTTGCATACGTCATTCCAGGGAGGTGGGGAGGGCGAAGTGGGGGGAAAATTGCATTTAATAAGTCGTTCCACTTGACTGAAGAGATTGTGAAGGTGCGGATCACGAGTTGCAACCGTCGAATCTAATACTAGCTGACATCGGAACAGCTGTTTTTCACCTTCCACCCATACTACTTCGGGGCCTGCATTCTGTGAACAATGTTAAGCATCGTTATTTGTTTGGTAAAAAAGATAAGTTCTCCTCTTTGCTAGTTTGGTTACCGAGACACATACACTTACCCCTTTGCCTAATCCAAGTGGCTGAATAGAAAGATAGCCAGAGGGCAAATGTGTTGCTATAGGTAAGTTAACAATTTCTTCTACAAATTTGTCGTTCTTCAATAATGGTACCCAAGCATACCTGAAAAAGAAAGGAGGTGGAATAAGTATATGATTTTTAAGATTTTGTAGTAATAACATCACTACTATCTATGTAGTTTCCCATTGTTGCGAGCAACGCAACTGTTTTTAGAAGTTCCAGAAACGTGTATAGATAAGCAAATTTAAATATTTCTATGGCAAGAATAGATCATTCAATTACATTTTTTAATATTTAATTAGATAAATGCCACAGTTTTTTTTAATGTTTAAGTGTCGCCGCACATGGGCCACCGACCACAACCACAAAACTCCGCCACCGGCATATTTCTTGTAGTTTTCATACATTTTATATGGACTCGCCGTTGCTCACTTCTTGTGGCCCGCACCGGTCACTTAATGCGCCGTTACAAAACGCCGCCACACGTCACTTGCGCGATTCCCCACCCCTGACTCCCTTACCTTAGTCGGCCGCTGCCGCGCGCTTCAGCCACTTTAGTAGCCGGTTCTAGCTTCTCATGGCGGCGTTTGTGGCTGTGGCGTGTGGCCCGTGTGCGGCGACACTTATAGGCTAGGCGTTTGACCATAATCTCGCCTGATGAAAAGCGATGATGAGGCCTAGGATGGTACACGCCTGCCTAGAAGATGCCAGTTCACTCTGGCCTTGAAGATGTCCAGATTATATTGGTATGGGAAAACAGACCTCGGTAAGGAGTTCCACTCCCTAGCCGTTCGCATAATGAAAGCGGAAAAAATCGCTTCGTGCGAATGGGAGGAATTTCGACAACATAAGGGTGAAATCCTTAAATTAAGTCTTAAACTTACCCAATACAAGTTTCTACGTTGGCGTCGTTCTTCTTAGCCACATCGCACGATATATGATAGAAGGTGAACAGTAGATGGTGTTGCGGTGTAAGAGTGGCCGGGAGCCTGATTTTCGCTTCATCACACCAGCTCGGGCTGGCGTTGTGATGGAGTACTGAACACTTGTGTTGATCCGTCATACCTGTGCGTCCGTACACTACCTGAATGCAATAAAAGATTTCCAGTTAGAGAGAAGTCCTCAAAATAAAAACATAGACGAAGAGACTGTACTTACTTAACCAACTGTAAATCGAACTAAGTAGATGAATGGCCGTGTGAGAAAAAAAATAGAATATCCAAACAAAACTTCTTAATATTTGACAAAAAATACCCATCTGCAAAGATTTATTGTCACCAATATGACTGGCCCTGAGTTCAACGGAGCACGCGATATTCGAAGTCGAAGCTGAGCGTCAACGGGCGCACGTACAAATGGTGCACCTAAGCTGCTTACGGCTGTTTCGGTTCTACATTCAACGTCGCCAATTACAACGTGAGGGGTGAAGAAGGGGGGGGGGGGGGGGGGGGGCTTAAGAAACCCTTACCTGTAAAGGTTTATTGTCCCCAATATCACTGTCCCTGAGTTCCACGGAGCACGCAATATTCCTCGCTCTAGCGAACACTTTCTGCGAGTCGAAGCTGAGCGTCAACGGGCGCACGTACAAATGGTGCACGTAAGCAGCGTATGGTTGTTCCGGTTCTACGTTCAACGTCGCCAATTCCAACGTTAGGGGCGAAGTCGGAGGGAGAGGGAAAGGCTTCAGTGCTGCGTAAGCACTCGTCATGCAATCTGAGAAAAAATGCGTTCAAGTAAAAAATAGATCAAATAGTTTTATTTTGATTTGGTGTTGATCGGTGCTTCATTGGCAATTTTTTAAATAGATACCAGCAAAATAGCATAATGTTAGGGTAATCTTCAAATTTTTGGAACTGATTTTTCAATCATACGACATAGCATATTTGTCTGAACAGTAGTTTTGACGATTCAAGAGAGCTAATTGATTAACTATTCAAAGCAACAATATGATATATAATATATAAATTAGCTGACCGCTCTTTTTTATTTCCAATTGATATTAACACCCTAATAAGTTAGATATAAAGTTTCAAATATATTTTTGATAGATTGTATTAACAACTGCGCATTTTTGCTCAAGTAAAAGTTTGTTTTAGTGACATGAAAAACTTACTTGGAATGGGTTCATTACTTTGTTGAATACTAATATTGAGCCATCCGGGTATCACAGTTAGTTTGGCTAATTTTTCTGGTTTTCTAAAGTCAGACAATATTTTTAGGAGATCCTCATCAGACATTTTGTTTGGTTCCTGACGATAAATGGCAGGGAAATCCGGAGTAGTGTCCAAATCATTACTATATAATCTGCAAATAAATAGTTACAATGATAACATTAAGCAAATCAACCGATACATTAAACACTGCCTATGGCGGTTATTATACATTGAGAAAAACCGGCCAAGTACGAGTCAGACTCGCGCCTGAAGGATTCCGTACCATTATCTATACAACATTATCATATCGAGCAAAAAAACGGCGAAAAATCACGTCTGTTGTATGGGAGCACGCCTAGAAAAACATTATTCTGTATTTAGAATTTGTTGTTATAGCAGCAACACAAATACATTATCTGTGAAAATTTTAACTGTCTAGCTATCACGGTTTGTGAGATACAGCATGGTGACAGATAGACGGAAAGCGGGGTCTTAGTAATAGGGTCCTGTTTTTACTCTTTGGATACGGAACCCTAAAAGATGTAGTACATTATGAAAACACATATTCAGTAGTTTTCAACATTTTGAAATAAATAAAAAAATTGAAAAGAACCTTATCATCATTAATAGGTTGATGATGATGATAAAATTATTAAAATTTTAATTCAAAACAATAAGAAACTTTAATTGTAAAAATTAACAGACTTACCTAAAAAGCGGTTTCGCCGTCCAAGCAAAGGGCATCCTATAGCTTCCCACTCGATTCGCATATGCTTGCACAGTCTTATGTACCTTGAGACCCAGCCTTGGGTCCTTAGTGGCCTTCAGGTACGGTTCGAGTACCTGACTCACATGTCCTTGGAGGATTTTGTCGATTTTCACGACCAAAAAGAGATCTGGATGTGGATTGTTCACTGAGAGGACTACCTGCAACAGACATTGTGCGTATGAATCTGATTGCAGTAATTTGTCATGTGTATTTTCATAAAAATACGAGAGGAGTCCGATGACGCAAGTGGTTAGCTCGGTCGGTCTTCGATCATTATGAAATGAAATCGAAAAGTCATTTATTCAGTCTAGGCTGTTACAAGCACTTGTGAAGGTCAAGAAGCTATGCTTTTGGTTCTCAAAACTCCGGTGAGAGACCATGTACTGGGAAGAACAGGCAAGAAACTCAGCAAGGGCTGCATTTTTCTCCTTGTATTGATATATACAGAGTTGTCAAGTCGTCACCTTCCATTACATCATTTAGGATAAAGATATATAGTTACAATAAATTTTATATTTAGCTTCCTATATGGAAGCGGCATTAGATAAGTACCATATTACTGTTACAAAAACTGACTAATACCCATCAAATAACAAATTACAAGAAACACTATGTGCATGCATTACGATAATTTAGATAATCATTAACTTTATAATAGCCCTTATTCATAAGAGTATTTTTAATCTGAGATTTAAATTTGGTTAGTGGAAGCTCAATCAAATCTTGGGGAACTTTGTTAAACAATGCAATACTACACCCCAGAAATGAACCTCTTGATTTTTGGAGTCGGAAACATGGAACGGCAAGCTTGTTCTTAAATCTCGTGTTAAAGTTATGGGATTTACGTTTTTTTGCAAATGCGTCATAGCTTTTTCTTATATAATATATTATATTTTCATAAATGTATTACGATGCCAGTGTTATCCGATTATCTCGAGCTAGTCTGTGCCTTGGAAAACACGTTAAGCCGTTGGTTGATCGAGGCTGCGTCTGAAGTCGTTAACACCCACCAATACGTACTGGGCCCGCGTTTTGGGATACGACCCAATCTCTCCATTTCACCCATAGGATGAGGATGTTAAATCTGTCAAATCTGTTGACCGGATTCTCATGCGTTTTTTAACATCTGTTGATTTTTCACAGATAATTTTAATGTAAATATGTATAATACATGTCAGAGTACAAAAATATACTAGACAACAAAGCAAAGCAAAGATTAATTATCAGTTTTTGCTCAATAAACGTACTAATAGATGAAATAACCAAACTTCAACCGATAAGCGACGTCCCTATTGTTTAGCTTTAGGTTCGGCAGCACTAGCTGTACAAATGGACTGACAGATGTGAAGGGGGCTTCCCCGCGTACGCGCGAGCGCGTCTAATTTAGTGGATTGTAAACTTGTTACGTGGATGTGACTACTTAATAAATAAAATTTCTAAAGTAAAACGAGTTTTATCTATCAGTACATACCTGTCTCTTAGAACGAAACCATTCGTCCGGTATCTGTTTAACATCTAACTTAACATCGTAGCTAAAATTCTCGACCAGCGACTTGGTGCACTCGTTGTCTCTGACTAGATCCTTCACAGCGGCGGGGTTAAGGTCAAAATAGAAGTTTTCTGTGAGCTTTCTGCCGCTTCGGGCGTCGTATAAGGCAAGAGATGTGTAGTACGGCTCCACTTGACACAATAGCTCCTTGTCGCCATCTATCGGCGCTTGTAATCTAAACTTTAAACTTTCGCATTTGAGCAATATTCTTTGGCCAAAATGTTCTCTGTAATTACAAAACGGATATTCTTTACTACATTATACTTTGTTTGGAACTTTTCAGGCAACTATTTTTTAAGGAAGCGGTTAGAGTTTCGCGCAGTTCTTTGCAGTATCGTGCCTCTCAAGGCTATTCCTTATTAACAAGTTGAGTAATCATACTTATTAAAGCCGTGTGGGTACCTATGACAATTTAAACTACTTAAAACTTTTTAACCAAAACATATTGATAGATCTGAATTGCCATTTAGTGCTTAGGTTGACATGTCACTGACTCCAAATATTAATTTGACTTAAAATGTAGATATTAGTAAAGAATATGCAATATTTCTTACTTTTTTTGTTTTTACGAAGTCGGTTTTTTTTGCAAAAAAAGTATTTTTCTTCACTTTTATAAGCCAAAGCAACATCAACTAAAATATAGATGTCCGAACTGCGACTCTCTTTTATATTTCGTAGAATAACCACGATACACCCACCACCATACGATATGTGTACTATTTGAAGAGTTCCTTTATTTATCTCAAAATGTATTTATTAGATCTTTACCAAATTAATACGAGACCATCTCTGTAACAAATTCTTCTAAACAAAGAAAAAAAGTCTGCCAACAATCCTCAGAGATATGCGCGAACAAAAACAAAAATATAATGACGAATTGAGAACCTCCTCTTTATGGGTCGGTTAATAAAAATTACTACTCACAAAAAAATTTTTAGTCAAGATTTTTTATGTTAGCCAAAGACGCTTGTAATAAAAAAAAATGGGTGCGTGTACTTATGTAGGCGCGTGAGAAGTTATCCTTCTTTGGCATCGTTTAAAATTAGTTTTTAATTGCATGCAAATAATTAATTACAATAAATTAATAAAAAGTCTGGAAAAGGACGAAGTCAATAAAGTTCAGTTTTAATTTGAAAAAATAAATAAATAATCAAAATATTCAATTAAAATCGCTACTGAATATAATTTATTAGAACATATGTGATTTGCACTTGTATGAAACTCAAACACGTATTCCGAATATACAAACTAGAAACATGTGGATAAATATTATAAATATGAATACCTATAACTGTTACTTTATACACATATACAAAAAATAAAGATGTGGTTTTTGGTTCTACTACACCAATGGTCAAGAGATGGCGCTGTAGTCTCCTGAATCGCGCTTTGGTTCCGTTGTTCCAGATTAATAAATACTTTTGATAGGCCTTCACAATGCAGTCGTTAGCACCCACTAAATAGAGATTCTATTTCTATTTTGTTGGTAGATTTTCTTAATGTGCGGTAAACACAAAAGTAACGTCGCTTATGCGACCAACTTCATGCTGTTAAAATTTTGTGTTACAGTGATGCGCGCGCATCTTAAAATTTCACTCTCATCATTTTTTCATAACGCGCCTAAAGAAGTATAACTTCAAAAATATTACACGCGCCCTTACCTACCCTTTTTTTTGTCTGGGAAATTTCTTACGCATCCTTCAACATCCGATGGAGCGAGAGGACTCTTCCAGCCAGCCCTTAGGCCGGATGAAGTGAGCAGGGCTCTACCTAACGCCCTGAGTAGGGCCACTAAAAACCAGACAATACTCCTACACCGATCACCCGGCGTACATTCTGAGAACCCACCAATGCGCGCCGGGAATGCGGATGTGGTCGCGGCAAACGTTGCCGACTGTCCGCGCGCCGTTACCTACCCTGACCCAATCTCCTACCCCATGGACCCCGGGGGCCATTCGCCTCGGGTTTGCTATGGCTATCGCTAACGATTTTATTTTGTTATTTCTGGCCGTCTGAGGTTTTCAAATGCCTCGCGCTTTTTTTTCTTTTGCATTGGTAATAACAATACAGAAACACAACCCCGCCAAAAGCTGGTGTTATTTTACTGTGATCTTCTGAAAAGGTGGAGGTTATTTATACAAATATTCTATTGTTTTACTTACTTGAACGGTTCTAGCTGAGGTTCGGGCGAAGGTGCTCGTTTGTATGGCAAGCTAAAAACATTGTACCGGCATTCGTTCCTGGCCGCTGCTATGGACATGTCGGTCTCTCGCGAGTACCGTAACAGTAGGGGGTTCATGCTGTGCTCTAAACCCTTAAGAGTGCCGTATATCGGAGGTGGTGGTTCGGCGGTTAGAGAAACATCTGCGTCTGTCAAACAAAATATAAAGTATAAGGAAATCTACACAACATCAAGACAAAGTATCGGATGATTTTAAAATCTTTAGCTTCTTAGTATAAAATATACTTGTTGGTGTTTTGGAAATTGCGTGAGACACATTTAGACAAATTTCATGGACAATCATCACCACAGTCCATATTCAAGTAATTGGAAAAATCATTCACGGAGGTTTTCAGCGGATCCTCTGGTACTAATCGTTATACAAATTTTGCTACAACATCCGTAAATGTAACCATTGAACATTCATAATATAGATGTTCATTTCATGCCGTTACTTCATTTGTAAACTTGACAACAGCCTGTCCATATCATGCTTTATAGGGAATGAAAAGGATAGACTGATGTCAGGCTTACAAATAGCAAACACAAATAACTCTGTGAAGTGCCGGAATTATAATTATTAAACTTACTGGGAAACATATCTAGCAAATTTTTAATTACCATTAGAGCCTATGGAGCCAATTTTGATATTGACTTTTGTCTTTAATCCCAATACCAAAATAAATACACAAACTGCTCAATAAAATATGATAAAATATAATTTACCTTTATCTAAAGTTTCATCGCTTTGATTGTTTTCTTGACTATCTTGATTCTTCTTCAAAGCAGCATTGAAAGCGACGATCCACTCATTCAAAGATTTCTCATTCTCAGTCGCAAACGTGTAACCTTTGCCACCCGCCATACGCAATTCAAAACAATATCTACCTCTTTTGGGATTCTAAAAATAAATATTTTAAACTTAGTCATCTTTAACGTTATTGAGGAATTCTATGAGCATTTGTCAAAACAGTGATACAGACCTTAACAACGTCCGAACAGAAATCCATTACAATAGTGAGCTTTGTGTCCGTTTTTTTCTCGTCTTTATACACCTCCAGTACATAAGTGCCATCCGCCTCTCTGAGCATTGAGCAATATCGTTTCTTGAAAGATTTTGATGCGAGGTTACTGAATATCCTATCTGATCCGATCTCCGGCCCTTTGAGCAAATACCCTTCTTTGGTACCGAAGTCGACTTTAGCCGCTTGAGCCTCATGTTCCAATTCCGCTTCCGTATCTATATCATAAACCTCTTCCGGAAACTTGGATTCTATAGCTCTGTATGAATAAAAATAATGATAGAGATATGGAAATGACAGGAAACGCTCTTTACGTAATGTAAGAAGATCCAATTCTTTAATAGAGCATCTGTGTTTAATCGACAAATAAAAGCATCAATCAGCATACATTTGATAAACTGTGTTTGAAAAAAAAAACCTTTCACAAAGTATATATATATATATATATATAGTGTACTAGTAGGTGACCGCGACTACGTCTGCATGGAAAAATTGGTTTCCCATTCAAACTTCCGTCCTCCTATTCAACCTCTTCAGAAATGATTTCAGGGATATAAACATAAACAATCGTCCTTCCCTAGGACTCAAATGGTCTCTATACTAAATTTCATTCAAATCGGTTCAACGGTTTAAACCTGAAGAGGTAACATACATACACACTGACGCATTTATAATATAAGCATGGATGGATTTCATTACCGCGACACGACACAACCATCGAATGTTTAAAAAGAATACATCAGGCTTAGCTATATAATTTATACAAATAGATTGTGAATGTTTAAACAATTTACGAATTTACCTAATTACTCATTTGAACCTACGGGGAATCCCAACATCAACATTGCGTATTGCTTGCAGTAAACAAAATTGCTCTGGGCATTTTTATAACGCACAGACACGATACACGAATCAGATAAAGTAGAACAAAAGCGAATGGCCTTGTAAAAACTGTATCAAAGCTAAAAACTGTTGTTTGCGGACTCACGGTCTAGCAATCCATGTTAATTGTCGTGCTAATGGCCAAACGAACTGTTTGTTTGTTACCGATTTAACACATACCAGGCAAACATGATGTGTTGTTTGTTGGCCATTATGCAAGTATAAGTGAACTAGTGGCCCGCCCTCGCTTTGCTTCGGTGTAGAGCTGTAGTGAAGGCTATAGTTTTTGTTCTAAGGTTTGTATTATACACAATGACCTTCTTAATAATAATTAATCCTTCCATTCCAAGTAAAAAATTCATTGCGTAGTTTAGGACACGTTGTACCGAATGCAACATTGCTCTGCCGTTCCGAATTGAATAAATATTTTTGTATTGGACAGTGCATTTATCAAGGAACGCTATAGGCTATATATTACCAGTAGCAGCGGAGCATGCTGAAAAATGTTGCAAAAACGGGTAAAAATATGTGATATAATCCATTTGTGAGATTCCGTTGCGTATGCTGGGTAAACGGTTAAAGTTACATAAAAATCATGTATGACGGAAATCTTTCCCTTTAAAAGTTCTGTAAAAAGCCCACGACAGCCTATGTCTATATTTTAAATTTGACTCACTATAAACCCTTTTCTTCAAATTAACGCGGGTTAAACCGCAGGGGACCTCTAGTTGTGACATAACTCTAATAGTTAGACATATGGTATCGCGGTCTTTTTTGTAAATATTGGTATCCTCATAAAACTTAAGTACATGGCTTTGCTCTATTGTCAATGACTTCCGCAGCGTATGCGATGTAAGGCATTTTTTTGGTATTTTTTACACACTTGGGTTACATTATTGAAGTTTTCATTCGAAACCCCAACTTTTTTGTAAATACGCTATAACCTATATTAATCAGTGATAATGTAGCATTCAAATGGTAAAAGAATTTTTAAAATCGGTCCAGTACTTTTAGAGCCAATTTGTTACAAACATACTTACATACAAACCTTTCCTCTTTATAATATTAGTATAGATGGACAAATGCGCGTTTTCATTTTTCAAACAAAATGTGCTTATTTTATTCGGTATACCATAGATACCTGTAGGTTAGTTATTTTGGATAAAACGTTAAATTGTAACGATGACTAGTACTTTTCTTTTATAAGACAATGAAAAAAAAAACAATAAAAATAAGATAACGTATGGCTATGATGCGCGCTAGGGCTGCTCGGAAATATTGTTCATAAAGCTATATTGGGTACCTTGGTACTTTAAGATAAGTCCCGGAATAGCTACTGTACTTGTAATGTATGAGATTCCAATTAGAGGCGTAATTGAGTAGCGCCTGCCTCCTGAGCAGGGGGCAGGGGGTCAATCGTCTAACGGAATTGCTATGGCTATCGCTTTAGATCGCTTACGATTTCATTTAGTTATTTCTGACCGCTGAAGGTTATCAAAAATGCCCCGCGCTCATTTTCGGTAATATTGTAATTAGCAATGCAAAATAAAAAAAAACAGCGAGTGGGATTCGAAATCCTTCGGCGATCAGAAATAACAAAATGAAATCGTAAGCGATAGCGATAGCCATAGCAATCTCCTTAGGTGATTGGCCCCAGGTCGCCGTTGTTCTCACATCCGGCACGGATGTGGTCACCGCACGCCAGTACTACACTCTAGACTGTATGTCTAGATTGTGTATGTGTATTCATAATGTTGGTACCTTGGCAAGTTGAGATAAGTCCCGGAGTAGCTGCTGTACTTGTAATGTATTAAGTTCCAGCTGGAGGCGTAGCTGAGTAGCGCCTGCCTCGTGAGCAGGGGGCAGGTCGCCGCTGTTCTAACATCCGGCACGGCTGTGGTCACAGTGCGCCATCGCCGCGGCAGTACCACGCTCTAGATTAAAGGGACATTACCATTCTATTACGTTAAAATTGGAATATAATTTGATTATCGGTTTTACAGGGCCTTTTATGTTGATAAAATGTGGATTAGATATGCCACCAGTGAACTAATTGTTCAACTTTAACTCCTGCCGCGATCATCTTTATCATAGATAGAAATCGTGGCAGGAGTAAACAGCCGCAAAACAGAGCTGTTAGATATGTGTTAAGATAATATGTATGGAAATGAATCATAAGCTGATATGCTGCAGATGTTCTGCTTGAATTCATTCCATCATCAGAGTAAGTAAAACTTTGAGAAATATAAAGCTGACCAGACTAAATAATATTATTTATTTATACATAATTCCGTCAATAAAAATATTTTAGGTAATTCTGAGCGATATGATTAAAGGCGCGCGTGCCATTTCAAATCTATATGGTACTTAAGCATCAAGTAATTTTACGTGATTCCCAACACTGAATCGGGATTAACGTTCTTTTATATTAACAGTTTTATTAGTAAGATAGAAAGCGTATGTATATTAATCTGGAAGCAGATTCATAATACCAATAAAATGGATAGAGCCAGGTGGAAACAACTTTATGATAAGTGTATGTTTGTTATATTATGAAGCAAGGACAAAAGAGCTGGGGATTGCTTGAGTACTATGCTTGGTGTATACTCTAATGTGCATTATTTTTCGAGAGTGAATTCTATGGTTACATATTACGGGCGATGTGATTTTATGATTCATGGGCTATAAAATTGTGGGGGCATACTTTGCTTCACTATAAATATTTCAAGCTGAAGCTGTAGTAAAATATGTTGATATAAAACATTCTGGTGCATTATCTTCATCTTTTGCCTCAGTGTCTCATATATCACATTTCATTTACCGTAATTTCCTATGTCCACAACATATTAAAATACCTAAATTAAAAGCTTACCGAAACATCATCAGTGGGATAAAGGAGAATATCCCTAAGAGGATCATTCAGCAGCAAAGTTTTGTTTTCCTGAATATATTTTTCGAAATCCAATGCATTGCATTTATTGACTACTATGTTCTGAAAGAAAACAAAAGAGAGCTTTAGATAAAAACAGCAAGAATCTTAGTTTCAATACCATATTATTCAAAGTATTCTTCATAGTTGGCACAAGTTGGTTGTTCTATATATAACTATAATACATAAAATTGTAGGAACTTAAGTTTTATTGTTGCTTGTGGTTCAATAACCTTATAATAGTCATGAACTTGGTCATAATAAACAATAAAAGCATATTTTTAAAAAGAAGCATTTTCATATGACTAGAAGTGCTTATTTTGACACACTAAAGTTCCTTCAACAATCAATTTTATTGTATCAAACTAAAAGTAATCAAGGATTAGCAAATGGTTATTTGCTAATCCTTGATTACTTTTAGTTTGATACAATAAAATTGATTGTTGAAGGAACTTTAGTGTGTCAAAATAAGCACTTCTAGTCATATGAAAATGCTTCTTTTATTTATGCTATTTGATAAAATAATTTTACCAGAGGTTGAGATTGAATAATCATATCTTACTCTAAAAAACAGTATTTCCTACCATCTCTACAAACAAGCACTGTTATAATGAACAACTCATTAATGTTGTTATATGCTGTTAACAATGTTATGTAAATATTGAATATAGCCAGGGGCATAACTGTGTGTAATACAATACAATACAATACACGGAGTAACTCCGTGATCATGGCGCTTGCAACAGTGCCGAAATATCGGAAACTCGCTAAAAACAAGGTACATGGTAACAATCCCGTAAATAACTTATATTACTATAATGTTAGTGACCATGAAAGTTTAAAACAATACAGTGGTTTAATAATTACTAGCAATGTAATTGGCTTTAATGAATACTAGGGAAATATATAAGAATTTCTTTATTGTTCTCATCTTTACTTTATAAAGTACATTTCTACAAACAGACAACCAATAGGAGCCAATTAGGTATGTGGTTGATCAACATACTTCTACATTCATTCTGATTCCATGCAGTTCATTTGGACAGAATATTTATTCCATTGAAGCCTTTGTATTTAAGTGAGCCATTGCTTATGTTGAAAACAGGATATTCTTAGGTTTGCCAAAGATCAGTGAATATTTAAGTTTATTCTTTGTTATTTAGGCTTAGTTTGGGAACTGTACTGGGTGCATGTAAATGATACAAATAAGTACCTTCTTAGTATGGACAACAGCAGGTGGACTACCACAAAATGTCCACAAGATAGAATCCCATATGAATATGTATTTTGTACCCAAGACGCCTGTTTCTAATAGTCCCATATTCACCACAACATAAATACTTTATATGCATTTTAAGGTTTATTAAAATTAATGTTTTCATTTTGCAAATTATAATGACAGCAGAACAAAACTTTGGCAATTTCATAAAATCAATGATTTTAAAGTATGCAATGGTGTTGATTCTGGCTTCAGGCATGATTCTCTAAACCTAAGCTTTATCATTCTCTATACAGAATGAAAAGGAGAGACTGATGTTAAATTTAGTTTTAAGAATCGACACCATTATCTTTGAGCATTCCTGTAATTAGTGGAATCATCATCATCATCAGCCTATTAACCCCACCAGTGCAGACAACTGCTGGGGTACAAGCCCTCCCTATGGATGGAATAGGGAGATTGGGTTACATCAGCCCAGTGACGATAGGTGGGTGCTGATGACTGCAGATGTAGCAGGGATCAAAGGCTCAACATGCCCTCCGAAGCATGGAGGAGCTCGAGATAGATTTTTTTTGTTCGCCCATCCAATACCAAACACTTTGAAATTTGCTTAACTTCAACCATTGCAGCCAAACATGCTAACCACTTGCTCCATTGAGCTCCTTAAGAATATATTCTATAGTGGAATACTGTTTCTGATTCTGAGGTGAGACTCTAAACTGAAACAAGATTTGATAACAATCTCTCCTTTTCATTTTGTATGTATATTATACAATTTGCTTGAGTTAGCTTATAAGATATTCAAACACCCTTGTCAGTAGCTAACCTTTTTTTTTTAAATTAACATATCAATATTTTAAAATCAAAGTTCATTGCCAGATATTTGTACAAACATCTTTACCGCCCCAATTATAGAGCTTGGTTCATTTTGATTAAAATATATTGCCTAAGATTTATATTTGGTTTAATAGTTCAGAGAATAACTAGTTTTATTATAAAAAAAAAGGTTGTTATTGTTGCTAAAATTGAATTTAGTATTTAAGATATTTTGTAATATTTTTGTAAACATTCTTTCATACAAATTAAAAAAAACAGTAAGATTGCCTTAATTGTTAACAAACAAAAAAGCATATTTTTGTGCTAGTTTTGTTTACTTAATGGATTATTTTAAAATATTTTTCTCTATCAAAATAACTGTATCATAGATTAAAATTATACGTGTATAATACCAATAGTGCATTAATATATTTCATATTTTTATATAAAATTATGTTTTATGATTCCAAATTTTCAATTTATAACATGTTCAAAGAAACTACATCAGATCTATTCCTGTTTCTATGAACCAGACGTATTTTATAAAATTTCAATATATTAGAGGAAAACAAACAAACACAAACTAATAACATTATCAGAAGCTTCCAATAATAATAAATTTACCTCATATTCTACGCCACCCTTCTTAGCTTTAGAATTAATAGGCGGCATGTTGAGCGATCAGCTGAATAGTGTAACACCATAATAGTTTACATTTATGTCAATGAGTCTCATACAACAAAATGGTAATAATCACTAAAATGCTTTAAAATAGAAGACAAATCCAAGATTATCCTAAATCAGAATTCAGAACTAGGTACTTATTCGGAATTGATTGACGTTTTGTTCGAAGAAACTCAAACGACATTTGACAGAAGATACAGAGTTACATTCCACTATACACTCCGGTACAACTGTTTGAATTTGTGTGGTGGTTTTTTGACGAGATATTAATTCGTCCATAGTATATATTGTGAAATAAAATTGGTGTGATTTTGTGTTACAACCGTCTGCATAACTGAAGAATCAGTGAAATCTTTAATATATACGTTATTCCGGTGGAGTGGACGTGAGAACTTTTTTGTAGTGTTGACTACCTCACAAAAGATATTCGAGTAAGCTGACAATGATGTCGATTCTGGAATAATTCTTTAAAGCTAAACTTAAATTTGATAACAGTGTATCCTTGTCCTTCTCTATACAGAATGAAAAGGTGAGACTGATATAAAATTTAGTTTTAAGTTTAGAGAATCACGCCAGAATTGACACCATTGTTCCCCACATTTCGTGCCAAACACTCAAGAAACATTAGTGTGCGTCACACCCTTATTATAATGTAAAAAACTAAAGACAAGGCTGTATGGGCATTGTTCCCTTTGCCTTCTCTAAAAAGGCAAAACGTTAAAACAAATTGAATTTGTGTTTCATGGACTTCCTAGAGTAAAAAAAGGCAAAATAAGAAAGAAAAAGACCTCCTAGACGATCAAAAACGACGATCAGACTTGATGCAGCTTGACACAACGTCCAGCATGCTTCTAAAGCATCCAAACTCATTTTTATAAAGTTTCCGTTGCCACAGAGTGAACTAGTGTTGATCGGGCGCTCGGAAACATTGTACATACAAAAATATAGAATATTGTATCGAACGGATAGATAATTAAATCCATTATTTTTTTATTAAGTGCCAAAGAAAAAAATATTCAAAAGTAAATCAAAACATAAAAAGGAGTTTATATAAAGTATTAAAGATTATAATAAGAAGCGTCAGTAACAGTCCCTAAATACAGATATGGTTTTTCGTTTCTTGCTCTTACAACTGCTTTGTTGCAAAATAAATTAATAAAGAAATGAACAACGCGATGGTTCAAGCCATGTTGTTTGTTAAGAGACTGATTTCTACACCATTATTATCATCGGCTTATTAATGTTTCCACTGCTGAGGCACAGACCGCCCCTTGTGTATGGAATAGGGAAATTGGGCTGGTGACCCGCCTGGTGGGTGCTGACCACTGGAGATGCAGCCAGGACAGACGGTTTAACGTGCATCTGAAGCATGGAGGAGCTCGACATAATATAAGATTTTGGTCATCTATCTAATGACAAGAGATCGACTCATCATGTGACGGAGCCCAATGATTTCAAAATTTATTGAGGATGGATAATGAAACATTTTTGTTGCTGTTGCGTGCACTCGCCATGACGTTCTAATATGCACATTGAATATGTTGCTTAACAAGCAAACCTGTAGAAGAACAAACATGCTTGAAAAACACGTATCTGCTTAGCCAGCATAGTTAATTCAAACACCACGAAATAAATCCTGAGACAGACACTTTCAGATCGATTCGTGGAATTGACAAATTAACATAGTGTTATTTTGTCAATTTCACGAATATTTTTTTAAATTAAGAAGAAATAGCCTCTAGTTATATTTTCATTAGATTTAAACATCGAGCAATTAATGCTTAAAAAAATAAAATTATAACTTCAATTGTTATTCCTTTTTTTCAAATGTTTAATACTTGTAAAGGTATTTATTTGACATTGGTGTCGATTCTAGCATGTTTCTCTAAACCTAAACTTAAATTTGACAGCAGTATATCCTTGTCATTCTCTATACAGAATGAAAAGGAGAGACTGATGTTAAATTTAGTTTTAAGTTTAGAGAATCACGCCAGAATTGGCACCATTGTGGGTTACCCACACCGAAAAGATGGTGCTGCCTTGCAGCTTAAGAAAGGCTAGAAAGAATTTGACGCAGCCATGAGGGCCACGATAGCATAATTGGTCAGTGCATTCGCCCGGATAGCGAAGGGTGCGAGTTCGAGTCCCGGCTGCTGCTTTGTCCGCGTGGATTTTTTTCTAGTAATATTTTCTTAAGGGATAAAAGTTGTATTATCTGCAAAAGTATAAATAAATAAATATTTCCAACAGTCACACTAATTAGCCTAGCCCCAAAGTAAGCACTTTAAGGCTTGTGTTATGGGATACTAGGGTAACGGATAGAATACATATACAGCACATATATAAGTATATTTATATAGAAATACATATTATTATTAAACATCAATGACTGGAGTACAAATGCTCGTATTCATCACTCAAACATTTGCCACCCCCCGGGATTCGAACCCGGGACCTCTCGAGACGGCGACACCATGAAACCCGGCGTACAAACCACTCGACCACGGAGGTCGTTAAAAGATAGTCGTCAGAAGAAGTATAAACAAGATAGACCCTGTTTAAATAATACGTTCATCTTGGTTCATGCTAAAACTGAAGTTTTTATGTTAAAGTTAGGGAAAGGTTGCATCTGGAGTAATAGTACCGAACGTACTTAATTTTTCCTTGTAATATTTTGTATTTAATAATATTTTGGAATGCAACGGATATTTAGTCCATACATCCACGACCTTAAAATTTCTTTAAAGACGTGGAGTCGTCTTTTTATTTGTATTTTCTGACATTTGAATGCGAATTGATGCTCCTTGAATCAAAAACGAACAGACCCCTTTATGCGCAGAACTATTTTGGACTACCAATTTTTGTAAATTTGGATATGTTAATGCTAATAGATCTTTATTCACATACGATTTAAATCTTTGATAATAACTACTTTAATGAAGGTCATTATTAGATAAGTACCTTTTTTATTGTTCGAAAACGCAACATCAGGCACTTCCTCTACATTTATTGTGAGTAAGTAAACAAAGGCATTTGTTCTATTTATTTAATTTTAAAATGAGAAATCATGTTAAATTAATTATGATTTTATTTATTTTTTAAATTAATTACTTACAATTAAATAATTTAATGCAATGAGGGCTATCGCGTATGAATCCGCCGCTAGAGGCGCTAGTGTAGCATGAGGTCTCCGAACTGTCAAATGTTATTGCTTGTGGGTTGACTACGCTGGTTTATCTCTAATTAAAATAATGTTGTGAATATTTGGTAATGGCTCGGCTTAATTATGGCAAATATGAGTTACGTGGCAATGAATGGCAGTTATTTAAAAGCGGAGCTAAGAAAAATTATTATGTCCTCCTTTTTTCTGAACAAAACGGAACTGCGCATCACTGTGGCATGGCCGATTATGTTAAGGATACGGTTCTTTTGTATTAAAATATGATTTAAATGTAAACTTTGATTTCACGTGCGTATGAATAAACTTTAAAAGTTTAAATTTAGGACCTCACTCAACAGTGGCGCCATCTGGTGAGACAGAAAACGGTAGCCCTCAGAGATTGGAGTGTACATGATCTTGACACTTTTGAGACGAAGTGACAGTCAGGTTTTAACGCACAAGCAACACAACATACTCGGCTTGGTATCATAATAATATCTAAGTAGTATGTGTTAGTATCTAACGATCATAATATGCTCAGTATTATAATTTCGAATTGACTTCAAATGTACCAAAGCCGTACCTACTTTTGAAGTAAAGTTCGGACAATATTACGTCAAAATTTCATTGTGTTGTATCAACATCATTGCGAACTTTTAAGCGGGCTACTGTCATCCTTGCCGCAGGGGCAATCTAGGGTGCACCAGTGGGGATGACCCTTAATTGCCTCCTTAATTGTAATGTGTGTACTGTAGGCAAGCTGGGATAATTTTCTAAATTGGCACTGCGGCAGGGGTGCAAGACCACCATGGAGCACCCCCACTAGAGTCCGCATCACACAAATTTTGTTTGGAATCAAAATCGCCAAAGTCGGTGAGGTGCAGGGAGGTCAGCCCCGCTGTGATTGGACGCGTCAAGGTCAAATCATATACTCAGTGCAGCGAAGTGATGAGGGTAAGATCGATTTTAGAAAATATCGATAAACAATTTAGAATAGACGCCTAGTACTGTGGTGCGCGAGTGTAAGCAAATGCGTAATCATACCCTCTCCACTTTCTTCCAGCGTTCTAATTACATGACGCGACTAGTAACTACATACTAAATTATATATAAGCAACACAAAAAAAAACACGCCCAGGACAAGAAGTATTAATGCAACGATATTAACTACCCTAGATACAACAACACGAACAAAATCGTGGCCGAAACGTGTCCAAAAGGTACATTGGACGATCCACGGAGGTCCGTAAGATGATCGCGTGGTCAAAAACAATAAAATGCCTTATTTAAACATTGAAAGTCACCTTTAATGCATACAGCATAAGGTCTTAATTAAAATGCATGCGTCAAGTTCGTAAAATTTTACGATTTATTGTTATGTGTGAAAGAATATAGACCTTATTTTTTTTGACTTTTCGCGCGCAATTCTGAATGCGCTGTTAGCAATATAGCAGGTACAGATCGGGAAGAAAAGAGATGGCTAAGGGCGACGTATAACTGACCATGCATTTGAATATCACAAATATTTTATATTAAATCAGTTTATAGTAAGTATTACAACAATAAAATTTGCTTTAAGGGCGTTAATTAAAAAACATTAATTAGCTACCCGTCGCAAAAACGACACTTTACGTACTATTAGTATTTTTCTGTATTTTTTCACGGAACTCTTTGGCATCTTGACTTTTCAACGGTCCGCGATTGAGTGGAGTTCAAGTACTTCTAGATGGGGACACATTTTGAGCGCTCGTGGTGTTTCTAGGGTATTTAATATCGTTAATTCTATGTCTTTATCTAGGTCATAAACTATGCGCACTTAATTTCATACAAATCCGTTTAACCGTTTTAGCGTGAAAGAGTAACAAATATGCATACAAATTTTCGCGTTTTTTCAATTTTATTAGGATATGTTTAAAGTCAAATAAACACTGTTGGTTGTATACTCATGACATCTATTATTGTATACGATGAAATAAATAGTTTTTATTTATTTTTTCAATTTCCATAGCTGACAAACTTATCGATAAACTCGCCTTCCCGGTGATAAA